AGCTTTTTTTTCGTGCTCCGTAACCTGACCTGTGTGGACGTGTTGTAACAGGCTAATGAAGCCTCTTCACAGTTGTTGTACAGTGTAAGTGGTGTGTGAGATCGGTATGTGGAGGGGGTGCTTTGACACCCTAATCCCGCAGCGGAGCTCGGCTTTGTGCGACCTTAGCTGGGAGGAGAGTGGAGAAGGGAGGGGTGGCTCGGGGGCAGATGATTGAAGAGGGGGTGCTGGGATTGAGGGGAGGGAGAGGAAGGCAGGATGAGGGAGATGGGGTTCGCTCATTCTCCTGCTCTTACTAGGAGAGGAGACAAAGAATCCCAAAAAGCCTGATTTATGACAGCAGGGCTTTTCAGACCGGTTAGCCTCTTCTGACCCGACTGTCTTCTGCCACTGACTTCTTCTCCTTCGTCTGTCATCCTCCCTTCAGTCGTTGCTGTAGACATCTGCTGTGGCTGCTGCATGTGAGTGACCCTACCTGTTTAGTTTATCTCACAGCCTTTAACATCTGTGTTTTCTTAAAATGAGATTTAAAGATATGAATTTATTGCAGATTGTGCAGCTTTAAAGATGACTTGGATACAACAGCATCCTGACAAAAACACTTCTCTGCAAAAAAAAAAAAAAAAAAAAAACGGCTAAAACTTTAATCCACACGTGCCAAACCTAACGCTAATGCTAAAAGACAGCTGGCCACATCTGCTTTTGCAGCAATTAATGCACGAGCCTCGTAAGCAAATTTCTCCCCTGCCTAAATATTTAGTTGTGGTTTTTCTCAGTCTGAGCGGCAGACAGCTTGATCGCTGGCTCAGCGGTGCTGCTGGCACATTTGGGCTCAGACTGGCACAAGAACTGACATTATGGCAGGGTGGGGCCATCTCTGTCTGGCTGATGGTCACTGAAGGAGTGGTCTGGCGAAGACAAGAAGGGATTTTGTGTTTGTTTGTACAGAAATAAGAATTTTGGACCAAAAATGAGGAGAGAAGTTAATTATCACAGCAAACTTTGAAATATATTTACTTGTTTTAGATTCATGAGCTAAATCACTGTATGTATTTGCAGTGGAATATATTTGTTCTTACCTTAAGCCAAGACTGATACTTTGAATGTTTAGTTAACTTTTCAATTAACAGGAAATAAATCAGTTATTTCAGTTTTATCTTTGATTAATCAACGCTATTATTTTTATTTTCTTAAATGCCCAAATGGGATGTATCCTTTTGTGCTGCCATGTTGGTCTCTACTTCTTCTAAAGTCAGTCCTAACATAAAAATCCATCCACCCTTCTCTGTCTGTGTTTGGAATTATGAGTCTAAAACAAACCGTTTCCAAAAGCCCACTTTTGTGATGTCACAATTGGGGAAATTAAAATACTACTCAGAGCCCCTCCTGGTTATCAGAGCTTCTCAGCTAATAGCAGCCTGAGTGGGGGGTGGATGGGCGTGGCCAGCAGCAGCTTGTTTTCTTAAAGTGAGAGAGACCTGAAACAGCTTTTTCTGGACGATACTGAAACTGAGTTGCTTTTTGTGGGGGGAATTTTGTGTAAATAACGTCATGAACAAGTTTTGTATTGACCCCAGATCTAAAATCCAAGAAAAAAAGTCATATTATGCCCCCTTTAAAGCCAAAAAAAAAAAAAGTTACATTTTTGTCTTCTGGAATGAAAATAAATTCAGTTAGTTAAATATTTTTTCAGATTTTTTGTGTTTTTTAGACCAAACTTACAACAAAATAAGTAGAAATTTATTTTTGTTAATATCAGAGAACTTAAAACAATTAGGATTATTTGTATGTAGTCCTAAATGTGTTCCTGCATTGTTGCTAATCAACCAGCTCACAGTCTTCCAAGCCCCACACACACTTTTACACACTCACCAAATCTGCCTGTGGGTTCTGCTTTTTAATTGGCCACCAGTGGTAACGAATACACATAGATGCAAGGCTTTAGATGATTACAGTGCCACCATCAAGCGTTTGTGCCCCCTGGTTTTCTACTTATGTAAAACAAATTTGCTTGCAGCTGAGAGCAATTCCACGGAAGTAGAAGCTAGCTGTTGTCCTTGCCTGGCCTTTGCATCTAAAAACATGTTAATACCTCATTAATTTGCCTTGGAGAATATGTTGTTTTCTTTTCTTTGCACTAACTTGTAGAGGAATGCTTTATGTCTCAGGATTCATCCTGTGATTGAAGATCTGTCTGCTGTAATTCTCTAATGGGCCTTGTTGGTGCAACGGCCAGCTCTTTGAGCAGCTACCAGTCACAAGTAATCAATAACAGAAAGAAGAAGGACGACAGAGTCTCTTTCTCTCACTAGATGGACCCCCAGCTTTTTGGAAAAAAGGATTCAAGGCTGGCTGACATGAAATTTATGACAACATTGAAGATATTCTGCATTAAAAAAACTCTCATGGCCTCTGGGACATAAGATTTTCTCACTTTAATGTCACAGTATTAGCATTTTGAAGCCTGACAAATGTGGACGTTTATCATTATTTCTTATTTGTTTTCCGGCTCGACGTGAGGTGCTGAGGGTAAATGAAAACAGAGATGAGTCAGGATGTCAGAAGGTGACAGGAGCTTAGTGTGCGTTGTTAGTGAGGTCTCGGAGGCTGAGATTAAGGTGCGGATGTTTGAGTGGAGGGATAACGAACAAAAGAGCAGGCTCATGATGAAGAGGGATGCTGACTGGGGAAGGGAATCCCAGCTGATACATCTCTGAACTTTTGTAAGGATTCTCATCTTTCTGTCACTCTTCCCTCTCAAGCTTTAGTTTATTTCTCTTTCTGACATATTTCTCTTCTCTTTTTTGGAGTCTTTTTGTTTATTAAGAGTTCATAATTCAAGCCTTTTCCTGTATGGGTCAGGAACAAGTCCTGCAAACTACAGAACTCTGTTCACACCATGCAATTTACCATATTGCTTAGCTGCCCTCTGCCCATTTTTCCATCTGTGTCCTCCGCTCTACCCACCCCCCTCTGTTAGTCCCCAGTCAGCAGGACGCTATTGACCTTTGAATCCTCCCGTTTCTCTCTTATAGAGGCGTTTAAAGTTCAAACAGAGAGGGGAAATGGATTCTTTCTGTGAATAATGAATAGTTTTACACAAACATGCAGCAAAAATACCATAATCCTTAATCACCCTGAGACCTAATTTTTCTGTTTACCTAATACTCGGGGTGAGGGTTATTCCTGTTAAATCGAGACAAAGCTGTTTGTTCTCAGGTCAGAAGATTATCGTTGCCGAGACGTATCTCAATGGGTCGGCGTTAGCTCGGGCCTCTCGGCCTCCCGGGACACGGGGCCGGTGTCAGGAGCCGTCGCAGGGAGAATAGTGAGCCACCATTGTCTGTTTGTCAAACCGGTCGGCTGCAGCACGCTGGCACGCACACAGACATTTACTGATGTCCGCACGCTCACACGAAAAAGAGCATGTCAACAGAACAAGTCAGTGTCAGGTCAGCCGGCTGAGCTCTGTGGACAGCAACGCATTGTTGGACATTTAACAGTGCAGGCATTCAGTTGTTACTGGTGACTCAGGACCAGTGGGCTGCACACAACATACAGTGGGATCAACAGCACCTGCCTTCACATTGTCACATTAGTGTGTTCAAAGTTTACAAGCAGAGAAGAAGTGAAAACCTCACAGAGATTGTTTTTTTTAATATGATTGGTCACTCTGAGTTTAACATGTAGGCTGAATGTAAAAATAGTCTTCTACCTCTATGTCCTGCATTAGAAAATAAACAGAGAAACGCTCAGATTAGATCTCCTTCACTGTAAAACAGCATTCGTGGACAGAGATGGCTGTGGTTGGTTTAGCATCCAGGAAACAGCAGAGCACGTCACAGCTAGTAGAAGCTAACGATTAGCTTTAGCAACTCCTCAACACTCCATTAGACTTGTGTTATTTGTGGATACAAAACATCAAAGTTGCAGATCAAACGGAGGCAGCGGAAGAGTGGCATTGCTGTTAACCAATCAGAGAAAAGATGTCTGAATGTCAGGAAATACGATGTAAAATCCTGCTGGTTTCTGCCCCCACTCCTCTGGCCACCTTCTACTTCCTAAAACAGGAGCGCCAGAGCTTTTTTCCACTGAGATTGACTCACAAGGCATTGAGACCACTGCAAATGTATTGGGGAAAAAAAAAACAAGTGAATGAGAGCTTTTAAAAAATCTCCTGAAGAAAAAAGGATGGAGACTCTAAAGGATATCGGGAGTCATTTAATCAAGTTGTCATCTTTAGCTAGCTTGTATTGTGCTCAGCATTTTGCTTCTTCTTCTCCAGTTCACCCTCACAACCTCCACCGAGACCCTCTGGAAACTAATATAAAGCGTAGAAGTCATTAGATTCAAGCGTTCACATGAAGTTCAAACTGACACGAAAACAATCTGCTCTTAAGAGCTTTCATCAATCCCAGAAAGCCTGTTGTTTTTGTGCTCAGCTTCACCTTTACAAAGGCATCAAAAACACTCACAGTTAGCAGAAATCTGCCATTTATTAGACTTATTAGATAGCATTCAGGACCGGAGGTTTTTTCTACACTTTGTTATTTTTTAACTTCATTTAGACTCCAAAATGCTGGAGATGATGACGGCCGACTGGGTATTATTTTCTTGCTGACAGCAGTGTTTTTACTCCTAAATGACGTTTCTGATTCACCAGACCGATGATCTTTTTAACATCCCTCACTGATGAGGCCACTACTGTGTAATGTCCATGCACCAAGTTTATTTTTATTTTTAAACATTTAATTCCAAATAAAAGGAATAAAGTTTCAAAACAAGTGTGATTATATATGTTTATTTGTGTGAGACTAACCTAAACTTGTATTTGTTTCCCCGTGGTGCCGACACACACACGCACACACGCGCACACACACACACGCACACACACACACACAACAAGGCACGGCCAAGCTAATGACTCATCTCTCTGCCTCCCCTCCCTTTTCTCTCTCTGTCTGTTCCTCTATCCATCCGTCTCGTCTCTGCCTGTGCAGGAGACATCACTCAGAAGGGCTATGAGAAAAAAAGAAGCAAGCTCTTGGCTCCTTACATCCCGCAGATACAAGGTAAGGTTTGCAGACCTTTTGGATTATTTTCTGCCTCCATGAACTTTTACCTGCTTAAACACATTTTGTCCTGATAGACAAACAAACAGAAAATTAGAAAAAATTCTCATTGAAGTTTTGAGAAAAAAAGTGATGCAAAACTAAACAAAAAAAAAAAAAAATTCCCAAACCAACAAAATTTTCAATAAAGAAATTCAGCTTTTTTTGGAAGATGAGAACGTATAGTCCATTATTTGATTAAGTTAAGATTGTGTTTAATCTATAAAGTGAGCATAATGTGTATTTCTGTATCAGTTAGGTGTATTTTTATCCTCCTTGGTGCATCGTTTGAAGTGAAAACTAAAGAGGAGTTTCTCTCTTTCTACTTTTCCTCCTTCTATCTGGTGCGTTTGGTTTGGCCTGCTTTTAGGAGTGGAAGTCTGAGTTTGCTTTGGATTCCTTGCTTTAGGCTTTACACTGGAGTGAGTTAGCAGGACTGATATTCAGCTGGACTGGGTCATGCTTTAGGGGTGATGTTTTTGTGTAGATGACACTTTCTGTTGCCCTCACCGCCTGCTGCAGGCCCTTCCTGCTCTCTCCTGTGCAACAGTCAGTCAGGAGGCTCTCGACTGCTGACCGATAGAAGTTTGTCAGCGGGGAGGCGGGTGGTGTTCATGCTGTAACTTCCTGAGGAAGTGAAGCCTCTGTTGTGACTTTTCCACCTGGACCAGCTGAGTTCAGCTGCAATGAGAAAATCAAAGCTCTTTATGTTTTCCTCTTCCTCCTCGTGAATAAAGCAGATGGATGTCTGATGTCATTTCCTGTCTTATACAATCTGTTTCTTGATTTTATTTATTTATTTTTTGTTACGTTTAAGTCAAGATTAGTGCCAAAAAGCCTTTCCTGTCTGTTGGCTGACTCATTTTTGTTCAGTATCTATTGTCAAAAGAATAGCAGGATGGTCATTTAAATTGATCACAATAAGTAAAACTCACCGTTTGCATCCTTTTGTGCTGCTATGTGGGTCTCTATAAATGCTCTAAACATGAAAATAATCTGTTCGTCCATTTTCTGTCAGTGTTTGGTTTTAGCAAGCCATTTCACAAAGTCCCCATTTGTGACATCACAAACGGAGATATTAGCATAGAACCATCCCCTCCCAGATATCAGAGCTTCTCAGCTCATAGCAGTGTGAGCCGGGAATGTGTGGGCGTGGCCAGCTCCAGCTTATTTTCTTAAAGTAGTATATAAAAATAGATACCCCATGGAATGGCGCTGCCTATTGGAGCTGCCGTAGTGGCCTGCCGCCATCTTGGATGGGTCTCCATTTGCCCTCGGTGAATTAATTTCTACTGAGGAAAGTGCTTATCCAACTAAAAACACATTTTATCAAGCTTTTTAACAAAATTAGACACATGGTATGATAATTACAATATAAATATAATTAAACAAAATAAAATAAAATATAAAGTCCCATCAGTTAGGCTAAAAAAGTAAATAGTAATCCCATCTGTTTTCTACGCTGTATGTTGTGGTAACCGTAGGCTGCACAAAAATGGGCACAGTTGCCCAGTCTGTGTTGACTTTGTAGAGTGAGGAGACCCATCCAATATGGTGGCAACGCTGTTACACTCCCCAGCAGCCAATGGGGCCTCTACATATCCATGTCTATTCATTCTGGAAGGCACTGAAATTGTCAAGAATAAAACTGCTGAAATAGCTTCATGTGAGAGGAAGTTTGTGTAAAGAGCTTCCCAAATACAACTAACAAAAAAATGATCAAATTTCCAGAAACGCTTGTTTCTTTTGAAGAGGTTATTAATGAGTCCTCACCTTGATCTAATTATAAAATTTAAGAAAGAAGTTAAATCCAAATTATAAAGAAAAGTATCTGAGACCCACCTGGTTCCAGGGCCGTGCAGAGACCTTTGACGGGGCGGGTGCTCAAAGTAAAAAAAAAAAAAGGGGGGCACTTATAGAGCAATCCAACAAGTTAGAAAATTCTGATAATGAGACCGTTGGGTTCAAACAACATAATAAAAATATATCAATTAGTGTCATTAGTGTTAATGTTAGTTCATAAATAATAGTTTTAGTTTTTAAAGCTGACTTATATCTAGAGATGTTACAACCACATTTTTGCCCCTGATCTGAGTCCAAGTTGTTTGATTTTTGATTATCTTCCAATACTGAGTCCTGTTCTGATACCAGGTGGTGATGCAACACATTATAAAAGAAGAAAGAAGTTGTCCTTCTGTCTGTATTTGTCATTTTGTTATTTTAGCCTGAAAAGGTCACTCATTCAGGAAGTACATTTAACAGAAATCAAGATACTTTATTGCTATTGCACAGGTGTACAACCAAAGATATTTTGTGCTTACTAAAGACAGCTCTAGTAAGAGGTAGTAAAATAAATGCAACCACAGAGAGTTATCCAGTGTGATCTACAGCTATGTTAGCTGAGATCTTTTTCCTGTCAGTAGAAAATTCTTGATCCCATTCCATGATCTCACTGAACTTAACACTGAACATTAGAGCTCTGCTACCAACCTAACAACAACATCCTTTGGCCAAAGGCACCATCATCACATATGTGGCAGGAGTCTCAGAGAAACTTAGAAGAATCTTCTCCAAACACAACATCCCGGTAAACTTTAACCCAACAACACCCTCAAGACAGAAACTGCTTCATCCAGAAGACCAAACACCCAAACAGAAGCTCAGTGGTGTCGTTTATGCAGTCTAGTGTAGGAGCACTGTTCAGATGTTTACATTAGAGAAACTAAACAACAATTACACAAGAACATAACACAACACCTCTTCAGGTCTAAACTCTGCAGTCCACCTTCACCTGAAGGACAAGGGACACACCTTTAACGATGACAAAGTCCAGATTCTGGACAAAGAAGATTGATGATTTGAGAGAGGATTAAAAGAAGCTATCTATGTCAAAACGTGAAAACCCCACTTTAAATAGAGGAGGGGCTTAGATGTCACCTTTCCAGCACCTATGATGCAGCTTTGAATCTAATTCCTAAGCAGTTTCAGTCTAGGTCACACCTTCCTGCATCTAATCAACACGATGACTCACCATCAATAGAGGCTAACGACTCATCGGGAGATGGAGAGGCGGGGTACTCAGAGTAGTTTCTGCTCTTTAAATAAAAACAGACAGCTACAGCTTATAAGCCTGACTCTCCCATATTCCAGGTAGAACTGACATAGCTCCTCAGATGAGAAGTGAAATGTTTTAAAGAAACCAAAGAAGTCCAGTTGCGTTCATCAGTCGCCTCTTGTCAGTGCGCCCCAGGGCAGCTGTGGCTACATCGTAGCTCATCACCATCAGTGTGTGAATGTGTGTGTTAATGGATGAATGAAACACTGTAGTGTAAAGCGCTTTGGAGTCCTTACTCTGAGAGGTGCAATATAAGTGCGGGTCATTTGTCATTATCATTTATCATTCATCTGAACCCTTTGGAGTAATAGTCAATAATAAAAAAATACATAATAAAGTAATTAAACGTATATAGTTATGCTCACATTCACTTTTACCATCTCTTTGTGGGAGGCGGAAAATTTATCACAGTTAACCCTCTTATGACCATAAATATAACTGGTATTTTTTAATGGCTTTAAAATTGTAATAAAAGTGTAAAATGTTTGTAACTCTGCTCCTTTTTTCAGAACAACCTCAGCTTTCAGTGTCTGGTTTGTATTTAGTGTTTATGATTATTAAAGTCTGTAAAACTGCAGCTTAAATGAAAATAAAGGATTTGAATTTTCTTTACATTTATTACTAAACAGGAACTTCAAAATGACTTGAGCTAACTATGTCAAAAGAACTATTTTAACTCAGAACTGCAAACACTCAGAAAACAGTGTGACCCCTGACCTCATGTTAACCAGTTTAATGACTGCAGCCTGTCTGTGACCACAGGTCTACGCTCTGGTCCAGAGAACGGGATACAGTAAAATAAATACTAGGTGTCATAAAATAACACTCATAGGCTACCTCACAGCTGTAGCTACATTTCTACCAGCATTATGAAGATCAATAAGCCAGGTAAATGGTTAAATGTAAACATTTCATTACAAAAAGTCAACTAATAAAATTCTGCACTGATAAAATTATTTTTTCAGTTAAATAAATATTTAATGTAAATATAAATAATGCTGGAATGAAGCTGAATCATTTAGTAAACAGTGGAGTGTTCAAATAAAAACCAGTGTGACTTTAATCTGTCCCTCCTCATGTCACCATCTACAGAAACAGCCTTCTGGGACACCTGACCAACCAGGTGGATTTTATTTGTGACGTTTCCATAACTTTATAAAAGCTGCTGATGAAGATGATCAGACTATCTCCTCCTTTCGGTTCTCGCTCTCCCGTCGCGGTTCGCTCCGTTTTTTTCTGTGATGCTGCAAAGCTGGGTTCCCTCTAATAGTGATTTTTGGAGTAACATGAATTACATCATGTAATACCTCGTTGAAAAGCTCATTTTATGTACTGTTAGAACCCGTTTGAAGTATTTTTATTTGATTTGTAATTCAGAAGTTATGACCCGGAAAATCTAGAGTGAAGAATATCAACATCTGTGATTCTTTGTTGTGTGTTTCTTCAACACTTCAGGAGAAGTCTCTCTCATGTCCCATTTTCTGTCCCAGACATGCAGCTACCTGACTCTGCTCCACACACACTAGCCACGGACTCAAACGCACGTAAACAAAAGCTCTGATATTAAAATCCATCCAGCTGACCTGATACAGGCAGAAAAAAACTTACAGGTAGATGAACGCAGACTCCTGTCCACAGGCAAAACACCGGTCTGTCGTCTCCATGGCTGCAAGGTAGAGCGACAGCAGGGACAACCAGTCACATGTTAGTATGATGCGGAAGAGCCAATCGGTGAGCTCGTAGGCGGGTCTAAGGGAAAATAAGCTTCACCTTGAGGCGGCTGCCTCCGCATGGTCCTAGTGCCCGATGTGGATCACAGTGTAACAGATTTGTACGGTAAAATCTGACGAAAGACCGGAAAAAGGGCACTTTGGGCACTTCGGACAAAAGGGGCAGGTGCTCAAGCACGTGCCTGCCTAGTTCCACGTGCCTCCAAGAAACTTTAACGGCAGATAAATAACCTCAAAATGCAAATAGTTGAAGGTTCAACAAACTTTTTTTCCCCCGTTGTTCAACATTAGGCACTATTTATTCATTTCAGAAAAAGAGTTTAAATAAAACTTATGAATCTACTTGATTGCAGTTAATCAAAGCCATTTTCTGTTTACTCTCTGATCATGAGTCCAGTCACAGACTTTGCATTTGACACTGAACATCCACTGCAGTTGTGTAATTTGATTAGAAGCAATATCCTTTTCAGGGTTTGATATATAATTTGGTAAATCTCATGAGTGAGCTGTATTTGCTCTCTAAGAAGTGAAACACAAGCATGTATCATCATAACCCACTCCGGTATCCAAGTGCTGGTGTCAGACAGGTGATATAAATTCATCAGGTCTTGCTGTGAGCCAATAAAAACATCTGTTGTGACGGAGCAGACCTCCGATTGGCTCTGTTTCGTGTGTCTCTAAAGAGGTTTCTGCCCAGCAACCCGGTCTACTGTTTAGACCTGTTTCCTCTTGAGCTGAGGAAAGGCTGTGGTGTGACAGAGCTGTCAGGACCAACATGTATTCATGTGTTTATGGTAAGCAGTGCGTGCATTTAAAATGTGCCACCTTCAAACGTGTCTTCAAGATCTTTCTTCAGGTTACATTTTTATGTAAGGCTCAGTTACAGAAAATCCAAGTAAAAGCAACTTATTTGAAGTGTGTGAGTGTTCTGTGTGCGTTCTGCTGACTGCGCGGCGTTCAGTGATCCACGGTAAGCTGGCCCTGCAAAGCTGAGCTGTCTGATAGCTGTCTGGCTGGTTGAGAGCTCGACGGGTCAGCCAAGTAGAACTTTCCGGCTAAATGTGGTGTGCCAAGACTCATTTATCTGATTTGTTTACCAGAATGACCTGCGCAGTCTAGTGGATCAGGATGAAACTAAAAAGAAAATGCATTAACAGCTCATTTAAATGAATCTATGTGCTTAAAGTGATTTCTTTCAGCACTATTTTGCAAATGCATCACAATTAAGAGGTGTAAAGAAAGCAGTGCAGCTATATCCTGAAAGGATGCTGTACTTGTGCACAAGGCAGGCATCATGTCTGCACTGTGCACAGTGAGTACGATGAGTCTGAATCCTTGTCTTTGTATCATTCATGGAGCTTAATCACCTCCTTTCAGTCCCGTCTGTAAAATTTGCTTTTTTGTTTCACTTGGAAAACTTGAAGGCTGTTGGAAAGCTTTGATAGAGGCTTGGATTAATTAAAGTGAATAATCTCAGTACCAAATTACCAAATTCAAAGAGACCAGCCTAAATAGGGATTACACTAAGCTTGGGAATGCTCGATCTGGTTCAGCAATATTCAGCCCCGTTGCTTTGAGGTATTTTGCTCCGATTTCTGCAGTAGATGTTTTGTTTTGGTCCCAAACTTCAGGTGTAGACCCATCTCTGCAAATCGACAACAGAATCCAGACCTCCTCCCAAGCTGTTCTTCCAGTTTCCAAACACAATAAGTCACGGGCCAACAATGCCCGGGATGAACGCTTCAGATCCGGTAACAATCAGCCACTTCCTCTTCAAAAGTTTCAAATGTACTCGTTTTTTATGCGTAGCTTACTTTTGTGAATGTGTCTCCTCAGATCTGCACACAGAGGCCGTCCAAGCAGCTTTGGCTAAGTACAAAGAGAGGAAGATGCCCATGCCCTCCAAGAGACGATCAGTCTTAGTTCAGTCTTCAGTGGAGGCATGCACCCCACCAGGTGAGACGCTTGTAGTTGTTTTTAAGCAGTCTTCAGTTAGCCTGGCTAGCCACCCCATCTATACGTATGTTAATATACACTCACTGGCCACTTCATTGTGTACATCTGTCCAACTGCTCGTAAACGTAAATTACTAATCAATCACATACATGGTGGCAACTCAATGCATTTCAAACCGAGCTTCAGAATGGGGAGGTGACGTGGCATGGTTTTTGGTGACAGACGGGCTGGTCTGAGTATTTCAAAAACTGCTTATCTTCTGGGATTTTCATGCACAACCATCTCTAGGGTTTACAGAGAGTGGTCCAAAAAAGGGAAAACATCCAGTGAGTGGCAGTTCTGTGGGCAAAAATGCCTTGTTGATACCAGAGGTCAGAGGAGAATGGCCAGACTGGTTCCAGATTGGATCCAGCCTGTCAACAGCTCAATGGTTCAGGTTAGTGGTGACGGTGTAATGGCGTGGGGGACGTTTTCTTGGCACACTTTTGGCTCCTTAGTACTAATTGATCATCATTGCAACGCCACAGCCTACCTGAGTGTTGTTGCTGTCCATATCCATCCATTTAGGACCACAGTGTACCCATCTTCTGATGGCTACTATAGTGCGCCATGTCATAAAGCTCGAATCATCTCAGACTGGTTTCTTGAATGTGACCATGAGTTCACTGTACTCAAATGCCCTCCACAGTCTCCAGATCTCAATCCAATAGAGCACCTTTGGGATGCGGTTGAACAGGAGTGTCGCATCATGACTGGCAGCCAACAAATCTGCAGCAACTGTATGACGCTATCATGTCAGTATGGACCAAAATCTCTGAGGAATGTTTCCAGTTCCTTGTTGAATCTATGCCATGAAGGATTAAGACTGTTCTGAAGGCCAAAGGGGGTCCAACCCAGTACTAGCAAGGTGTACCCAATAAAGTGACCAGTGAATATATAGTCTGGTCACGACCCATAAACAGAGCTCGGTCATGTGATGGAATCTACGGTTGTCTTTCAAACTGTTTCCATACACAACTGGACACTGCTTAGACCAATCAGAGCAACAAACAACAAGGTGTGTTCATAGCAACGGAAATCAGTCAGCAGGGCAGTCCGCCATTCACCATCAAAGAAGAGGCAAATACATCCTGTTTTGAAATAAAGGACGAAACATGACAATGTGTCGTTTTTACCATCAATCTCTGGAAATATCCATTGAAATGTTGTTGTAAATGAATTAAAAGATACCCAGTTGTTGAAAATTTTTGGCGGGTTCATAACATATAACCATAAAAATTTGGTCTAAATTACATGGAAGCGTGTCCAAGTCTCTGGGTGATGCCATATTAGATGCCATGTTTCCGTCTACGGAAGCCCGTGAGGACAGAATGCATTTACTGATTTGTAACAAATGGTCACAAAACTTTCAGCATGAATAAACATTCTTTTACACATTTACCTCTTCACTCGTTGATGAAAGGGAATCAGATGTTCCTGTTATTTTGCTGGAGGTTGCACTCCCAAGGATTTTTTACCGTAATGGCCATCTTTTGGTAAGGGCTTACTTGAACACAAATATAATGATTGCTTGCAATGATTTAGGTATCTAGTGCCTCCTATTGTCAGGTAAAATACACACTGTCACTTTAAGTACCTCTATCTGCTCATGCCTTAAAGAAAAGCCCAAATCTAAATTGTCCAAAGCTGATGCGAAAGCATTTCAAACGAGTGCCGTTCCTGATGCCATCTTTGTACCTTTTCTCCGTCATCACAGCTCTGGTGTTAAGCCCGCCCAATGACTGTCTACAAACAAGAGCACTGCTATTGGCCAGACCTAAAACTCTTCAGACCAATCATAGAACTGCTGAGGCAACCGTGGAGCATGACTAGACCGACCGCTACTGCTGGTTTGTCTAGATTTCTAGGCTAGTCTTCAACTATAACCAAATCATTTTTTCACTTTTGGCGATGCTGATGAGTTCAGTGATTATAAATGATGCTACCAAGCGTTTTCTACTGGAGAGAAGGGTTCAGTTTGATGAATGTGCCCATTCTTCGTAACGATAGTGAACTGATGTCTCACTGTTTTTTATCCAGGCAGACCTTCCCACACGAGCTGCATAATAAAGGAAAAAATCTAGCATTAACATCTCTGTAAACGGTGGCCTTTTTCCTGCTTTTGTAACCGTTTGCAATGTGTGGGCAAGTTAGAATTTTTCATGTATTATAGAACTTCTGCTTTAAATTCTTGGTTGAATAATTTGCGTGAGATTTATTAACACCGTCTCAAACACTGCAAAGACCTTATCTCTGGTGTTGGGGGGGGGCGGGGCTAGAGCCTCCAGCCTTGGATTAGGAAACAGGACACAGCGGAGGAGCAAGTAACCGGATTAAAAGCTTCGACACTGGGGTTTGAATAGGGAAAAAAAGAGAAAGTGTCTCCATGTTTTTGGTAACTAACAGTTCAGAATGTACTGCAATGTAAAACTTTACATCACAGATAAGATGATTTTATATTTTTTCAGCATTAAAAAAAATTAATCAGTTTAAACAATAAAAACAATCAGGAACCATAAAAGAAAATCTGACTTTTGTAAATGTTTTGACAAAATCGTCTGTTTTCTGCACACCTTTTAACCTGAATACAAATATCCTTTTTAAAAGAAACGTTTCTACTGTATATTCCCACAGATTAATGATGCATCTACGTTTGTTCTCATTCTTTCTGCCTCAAATTTATTCCCTGTCCCTCTTCTTCCCTCAGCCTCCAATCCTGCTGTGTCCAAGTTATTTTAGCCAGAAAGAAACTGGAGACAGACAGAGGAACCACAAACAGAATCATAAATGTGATATAACCCGCATGACTCCTCTGATTGCAGAGACATCAAATTGATTCATTCTAATTCCACCTCCTCCAGCCTCCATCTCACAGCCTCTGTGAGACCAGAGCAGAAGCTTAGAAAAAGCAAAAGTGATTTTAATGGGGTCTCGGCTGGCTGACTTGTGTATATACTCTGTGAGTGATTAGAATGATTAATTATCTGAAAAATCCTGCTAGTTTTGGGGTTATCTATCAGATGTGTGCTCATTAAACAAACTCGGACCAAGTGTCAGAGCTTACAAGCGGGCTTTTTATTGTTATAGGTGAACTTTGTAAGAATTAGACAGTAAAACAGTCACAAGTAGTTGTTCATAATTGTGAAAGCACAGATAGTATTTCATGGTTGTTAAAACATAAAAACTTTAGTTTCCTATCAGTATCTGGCAACCCACAGAAACTGAAATCGCAGTAACCAGATCTGACCACAGCGTTCACCTTTCATTTGGTTTTTTAACTTTGTTTTTTTTCCCCTCTGACTGCAGTCAGTTTTCTGCTGAATACTCAGTTATGGCAAGCCAGCTTTTATAAATAAACTTGTCAAATGCACAGACATGTCAGAGATTGAAAGGAATATTTTCATGTATTTAGAAAGTTTTTTCTGTTTGGCTTATTTTTAATGGGACCAAGTGGTCTGATGCCTCTTGAGATAGTTAAAACAATCAGTAGCCGGATTTTAAAACTCACCTGTTATGCTCTTGCTTTGACCTGTTGGACAGACACCTCCTCAGCGTCCGAGGACGAGGGCTCACTGCGGCGACAAGGACGTCTCCCCACCTCCACGCCCTACCAGGGCCACAGTCATCCAGCTGTTGAGCACTGGTTCAACCGCGTCATCCAGGGTTCATCCACATCGTCCTCCGCGTCGTCCACCTCATCCCACCCAGGAGGGAGGTCCGTCACCAACACCTCTACCCACATAGGCCTCAACGCCAACGCCACAGCGACCGCACTGGCAGACCTCATGGCACACACACAGCTTGGTCAGTGACAATCCCTCACAGCATAGATGGCTTAAAGGGGACAGATAATGCTAAATTCCATTTTTTTAATCATTTTGTGCTGCTATGTTGGTCTCTATAAACACTCTAAACATTTTTTAAAATCCTTCCGTTTTCTGTTAGTGTTGTTGGAATAATGTGCCTAAAATAAGCTGTTTTGAAAAGGCCCCGTTTGTGATGTCATAAACGAGGAAATTAGAGCAGTGCTCTTCTACAAGCCCCTCTCAGATATCGGAGCTTCTCAGCATATAGCAGCTTGAGCAGGGAAGGGGTGACCAGCTCCAGCTTGTTTTCTTAATGTGACAGCCCTGAAACGGCTCATTCTGGAAGGTACTAAAAATGTCTAGAATAAAACTGCTGAAACCGCTTCATGCGAGAGGGATTTAGTGCAAAGAACCTCATGAACTTGTTTTGTATCAACGTGTCCTCTTTAAACAATCTACGTTTGAATTCAAATCAGAATCTAGTGGTAGACGTTTATTCATCATTTTAATTTGTTTTGCATCTGTTCAGCAGATGCTCAATGAGCCACTCAGCATTTTCAAATCATATTTAAGGTAAAATATTCACGCGGGTCATGCCTTCCTCCTGATACACAAAACGTCTTGGTAATGACAAAGAGGATGGGGTTTTAAATCTCTCAATTAGCCACCACCATCTGCCATCTCGCTGTCATTCAGCCATGTGAGAGAGCTCATAGCCTTATCTCAGGCAAAAATGTTGCCTCTTGTATCACGAGCAAGATTAAAGTAGGTTTAACGCCCTCAGTCTCTCAGTGTGAGGAGTGTCTTCCAAACCTGTGTGTGTGTGTGTGTGTGCTGCTAGAACATTATCCCAATCATTTCCCTCCACCTTGTGTCCCTTTTTTAAGGTTGCATAAATTAGCTGCAGTTACCGTCGATGCAGCCACTCATCCAAGCATGCATGTTCGCAGGAAACCCTTCAGACAATTAGCTGCTACGTTCACACGTTGTCTCACGCGTGGGTCTTCCAGACATTTTTCTGTAGGGCTGGGTGGAAAATGCCAACAGGGAGTTCAGGGTAAAGGCGTCCGATGTGTGATCTCACATGCCATCCCTCTGGAACATCCATTAGGCATTTGTAGACTGCAAAGCATTTATTAGAAAAAAAAGTTCAACTCGGTTGGTGTAGGTTTAAACCTTATTTTTCACAGTTATATTTAGGAGTCTAAGAAATGTGTTATATGAGTCACTTATTAAAGGCAAACTACAGAAATATAAAGCTCAGAACTCTCACAAATACTTGGTTTGAACTGATTGAAGTAGCATTTGGATTTGCGCTTCTGCTCTTGGATCAAAAGGCAGTGTGTTTATTAACCCAGGAGGAATAATTTATTGGCAACAGCCCAAAGTCAGCCTGACCTTTTAACCCCAGACACCCCAACTCATCACAGATAACCACTCAGCCCCTCCTGACGTGACGGGGCTCTCAGAGCGCTCCTCGATTCACGTGGAGCGGCCCCACTTGGGCTCGGTGCGAGGCGTTTCCCGCAGCTACAACCACCACACCAGCGTCATGGAGACCGCAGATGGTGAGTTTCCTGCTCACACACGCATGCACACACACACACACACACACGCACGCACGCACGCACACACACACAAAGTCACCTCCTTTCCCCCCCTGCTGTCTGTCCCTCTGTCTGGCCCTCAATCGGTCAGCCTTTCCAGGTTGAAGCTACTGTCCAACCCTTTTATGTTGCCATGGTTACGGTGCACCTCTGCAGCCCCTGCATACTGCAATGTTTGTAATGAATCAGAAAAAATATTATAAAATTATTGATGTGGATAATTAGTGGAGTTTCTGCAGTTTTAGTCAGATAAAGTCAGCCCTCCCCCCCCCGTAAAGGACCGGATGCGTTTAAAATTTGTATTGATCTCCTAGCTTCTCTTTTTTCTATCGATAGGACTTCTAGGAAATAAAAGTGGAACCTTTAGAGCTCAGGTTTTAAAACAATCTTTAAAATGCATCAACCAATCACTCATTCATTCATTACTCAGGACCCTGAAGACAAGAACACGCTGTCCTGCATGCTCCAGAATCCCTGTTCATAAATTCATCTAACAGACAGTAAACCAGCCCACCGTCTTCATGCACATCAGTGCAGGCAGGTGTCGAAGCTGTGAAGAAACCTGCAGAGTCATTTTTATTTAATTCTTTCTGCCGCTTGCTAGCTGGCTCTGACTTCAGCGCAGCAACTGGTAGATTTCTCACATGTTCAGAAACACGTGGAAATGTTGTCAGGATTTTTTATTGATGTGCTGATATGTCTCTCCTCTAGGCTGTGAGTGGGCAGGTGAAGGATCCCTCACTTTAATTGATGGTATTTATATCTGCTCCTCCAGCTCTGTGGCGGTCTGCTATGTGTGTGTGTTCGTGTGCGCGCGCGTCCTGCTACGTGTGTGTGTTGGCCACTGCGAGGTCTAACGCTTGTCCAAAGCGTGATTTGTTTTTCACAAAAAAAAAAAAAATTGAAAATCCACAGTGACATCTGTTATGCAGTGTGTGTTTATTGATGTCTTACACGAGCGTGAACAGGTGTGTGTATTCGTTCTGCCTTGTGAATAATGAACATGTCGACTTGGATTCGAGGTGAGAAAACTAAAAGCTGTTGGTTTTATGTTTTTCGCTCTGACAAGAGGAGGCCGGCCTGTAGCCACACGGAGCTTCAGCCGCAGCAGCTGTCATGCACCGCGTCTGTTTTAATATTGGATCGTATTTGACGAGTTTAAAAAAGAAAGGACACTTCTGAGACTGTGAATGCAATAATTTCTGCAGGCGCTCAATGATTTATTGCTTTACTTTAGATTTCTGCTGGAAAAACCAAAACCAACAGGGAAATTTGCCACACTGTGATCTGATCACATGATTAGAAAGTGGAAAAGATCTGCTTTAACCCCATGAAACAGCAAGCATGATATTTAAGTCCATCTTGAGATGGGGATTTTCAAAGGGAATAACAATGGCTTAGTTTTAATTTATAAAAGTTTCTCTTTGTTTCTTAGGTGACAACACCATAACCTCACACTATATATGGCTGGCAGGGAATTCAGACATCATAACATGTAGCTATTTGCTATAGCTAGCATGTCGCCTCAGGAGAGCGAAGGCAGTGCAACAGCCGCATGTAATGTGTGCAAACTTTGTATTTCATGTAGTTAAAAAACTACTAATTTGCCTCTAAAACACCCATTTTACTGCAACAACTTGGACCCAAAACACTGAGCCAGCCAACACCAAAAGATACGTAAATAAACAAAGATAAGTTGCTGACAGACAGCAGAACATCGGGTTTTGCAGTCTCCTGGAGTCTGTTATTTATCCCGGTTCTCAGGGTCTTACGTTGTGTTGACACTGCAGAGGTCCACGTTGACGGTGGCGTTGTGTTTAAAGTGGACATCGTTTTGAGATATCATCATTTCCATACTGCAGAGAGGACGTCTTTGTTGCTAGGCAGCAGGCGAGGTGGCTCGTTGATTCCTGACTTATTTCTCTGAGCTTTGTCGGTGATTTCAAAGAATTATGACCGGGTGTCTGCGACCTCCAAGCGACCTTGTGGTCTGTTGTTTTGTTGTCACAATGTGAGTGGCAGCTCATCGTCCTCTAAATCGCCACGCTGACCTTTCCTCCTGTCTCGTCTGTCTTCTTCTTCGTCCGTTACTCGTCATTACTCCGTCCATCGTTTAATCCATCCAAACATCCCTCCGCTCCAATATCCACTTGCTCCCACATCTTTCTCGTGCTTTGTTCACACACACACACACACACACACACACACACACACACACACACACACACACACACACACACACACACACACACACACACACACACACACACACCATTTTTTACTTTTCATCCCCTCCAAATTCATTTTGTAGGTGTTCCAGTCAACAGTCGGGTCTCCAACAAAATCCAGCAGCTGCTCAATACGCTGAAGAGACCAAAGCGTCCACCGTTACGCGAGTTCTTTGTTGATGATTTTGAGGAGCTCCTGGATGGTAAGCTGACCCGAAAGTGTTTATTATTTCCTTCTAAAAACAAAAAAAAAAATCCCAATTCCAGCGTTTTTACCTTTTAGCTTTGTCACCCTAACCCTAAAATCGGCTAAATTCACTCGATAATCGGTAAGTTTCGCGGTAAATCTAAGGTGCGTTGAGAAGGAGGGTGTGTACACATTCAACCAGCCCTTCCCAACCATTTCCTCCATTCCTGCCTGGCGTGATGTGTGTTTTGGGTGGTCCCCTGCCTCTTTGAACAAACATTGTGAAAATGAAAATATGGCAGGAGCAGCGACTCATCAGCAGGTAATTGGAAAGCCTCGCCTGGCTCGGGCCCAGAAGTTGTGGTGGTCCGCTTAGTGCCGACAGAAAAACACAGAGAGGTAAAAAGGCGGCTGACTGAACCCTTTCTGTTTCTAACCGAAGGGGTTGCATTTGGGCAAGAACAGAACTTGTCAGCTCTGTTAAAAAATACTCTGAATTCCACATGTTGGAGGCTTCGGGGTGATTTAAAAGTGTTACAGGGTGGGGAAAAGGGAAATCTAGCTGTAGGTGTAATGCAAAGGAAAATAAATCTGTCTTGTTCAGTGTTTATGATTTTTAGTTCAAACTAATCTCCCATAAGTCACCTCCTCTCACACTGTCTCTTAATTTCACCCTTCCATTTCATCATTTCATCTTAATTTGGTTTTAAATACATTGAAAAGTCTCCTTTACTTAAAAACACACAAATTCACCCTCTAAAAGGAGGTTTCTCGTTTTGTTTTTAGTCCAGCAGCCGGATCCCAACCAGCCCAGACCAGAAGGCCAGCAGATGAGTCCCCTGGAAGGAGAGGCTCTAGGGATTGTCACCAACTGGCCTCCATCTTTACCAGCAGCCTTACAAAGGTGGGGCACCACTCATCCAAAGAGCCCCTGTCTGACATCACTCGACAACGCTGGCAAACCCGTTTACACCCTAACCTACGGTAGGTGGCACCAAAACACGTTCTTCTATTAATCAGGCCCCCTTATCGTTATTTTGTGATCATTCGCTGATCTGATTTTGTTCATTTGAAAATCTTTGATGCTTTGCCGTCTGCAGGTAAGCTGTGGACCCGCAGCCAAAAGCTGGCCTACACTCTGCTGCACAAACTGAGCAGCAGAAACGAGCCGCTGTTGATGCCTGGAGACAGAGTAAGCCCTGAGAGCAAAGCCGCGAGTTCAGCGATGATCAGATTTTTGTAACTTGATTCACATCCCGCCCTCAGGTTGCACTCGTTTTCCCTAACAACGACCCGGTGATGTTCATGGTGGCCTTCTACGGCTGCCTCCTGGCAGAGCTGGTGCCGGTGCCCATAGAAGTACCACTGACCAGAAAGGTAAACAAGTCCTACCGTTTTTTGTGTGGATTTCCACGTGTTTGTGCTGACCCCTAGTGGACGCTTAATGTTTAAAATAAAATGAAGACAATTAAAATCTTTTACTGGAAGCATCTAGTTTATAGATTCTCATCACCATCCGAACACAGCAGCAGCAGCAGCAGTATGCGGTATTTGATTACAGATTGTCTAAATGCTTTGTGGTTTCCCGCATCACCCACCAGCTCAGGCCCAACATTATCTACACAGGCTGAATTTTAATGGCTGTTCTTGATTGCATTTATGAGTGTTACTGTTGGCGCTCGCTGTGCTGTAATCAATAAAAGATGAGTGAGGTGAGATGATGAGTAATTTTAGTCAAAGTATCAGATCACAAGCCAACTGCTCGGGTGAGTCGGGAGCTCACTGGTTAATCCTGACAGCTCCTATCACTCATCCTGCTCTCTTTTGTTTTTCTGTTTATTTCTTCTCCCCCACACACACACACACATCTCAGAGCTATGTATTTTCCTCTGTGTGTGTCTAGCTCTAAGCTAATTTGCACAGCCAATCTAATATGAGTGAGTGTGAGTCAGGTTTTTGCCACAGTCTGTGTTTGATGCACAGCAGTAGTTTTTTTAAATAATGATCGTCTGTCACTCTGCCTGCTTACCTGCTGCTGCTTTTATTCTGAAGGATCTGAAGCGGCTTTCTTTTGTCCTTCATTGCCTCCAGTGACATTCTCTCTATTCTTTCATACAGATGATCCTTAAATTTGTTGTGCGGTGAATCTTTCTCCTCATGGGTTTTATGTTCTTTGCTATCCCAGGATGCAGGGAGTCAGCAGATTGGCTTTCTGTTGGGCAGCTGTGGTGTCACTCTGGCACTGACCACTGATGCTTGTCAGAAAGGCCTGCCCAAAGCACAAACAGGGGAAGTGGCCACGTTCAAAGGTACAGCTTGGTTAGATTTTATATTGACTCTGATTATGGTTTATTCGGCTTTTAGCTGGGGTCCGTAGTGTGACGTCTTCAAGTAGGGGAGGAGGAGATTTTGAAAATTGAATTGCTATAACTCCTCCTTCTGAAAGGAGCTGAAACCGGCAGGAATCCAGCTCTGGGAATCGTGACATAGCCCTTCTAACACTACAACAGGCTAAAACAATAGTCCCATGTAGCATAAAGGCTAGTTTATACTTCTCCATCTGCGTTGGTGCGTAGACATGCAACATCTTACTCCATCATTGCAAGGGCTCTCCAACAGGCTCGCGAGGACGGACAAAATGGTAAATGGCCTGTATTTGTATCACACGTTCATAGGGTTCTACAGCCTTCCAAGGTGCTTCATAACACAATCAGTCATTCACCCATTCATCTACAATTTACCCGCAGCTGCCCTGAAGCACACTGATGAAGCGAGACTGCCGAATACCGGCGTTGCTGGTCCCTCCGACTACCACCAAGGCGGGTTAATCGCTTGACCTGTGTACAAAAGAAGCTTTCTCTGGCGGTAGCCGGGTTTGAACCTAAAACCTTCCGATTACTGGACAACCCGCTCTACCTCCTGATCTACTATTGACCCAAAGCAGAGCCCACTTTTCTAAATATCCGTCAAAGCAGCGAAGACCGTATGCCTGTCAGTGGTCAGAACACCGCTTCCTTTAACTCATTCACTGCCCGCAGTTTCCTGATCAGAAAAGCGTTTTTCAGCGTTTTCAATGTTTTTTTTTAAGAGTCACAGAACGTTGCGCGCTAGGATGATGTCAACGCCAAAACTACCAAATCAAACAGGAGACTCACCTCTTACATCAGGAAGAATCCGCGCGTTTCGAGCTTTATCAGTTCTTTCATAATCTGTTGTCGAATTGTGATCGACAGAAGCTTTTCCGGTTCGCGTCTCACTTTTTTTACAGCAGCGGCCCAAAACAATCTCCTAACACAAAGATTTTCTGCTTCCTGATTACGTGACGTGTGACGTACGCGGATGAAGATCAGCTTTAGAACTGTGCGGGGGCTCGTTCCGACGCCAACACAGTAAAAAAAATGCAAATGGCGACTTTCGTCCTCATTGGCAGTTACTGAGTTAACTTTGACAAATTCCTGTGCTTTAAAAAGTCTCTGAAATACATCAACACAATATAAAAACACTAAAGACGTGACTGCATTGATGGCAGGATACCCCAGAAAAGTCCGGGCGCAGAATTGCTTTACAACCGTATATTTATGCCGATGTTTGCAACACTGACACACCAACGGAGAAGCAGAAAAGGAAAACGTCTCCGTCAATGTGTGAATGTGAACACAAGGATGCCGACGGAGAAGTATAAACTAGCCTTTAGGTTAAACTCTACGCTAATCGCTTAGATCCAATACACAAAACATAAATCCCTTTTTGTTCGCCCTCCTCTTCAGTTAGCTTGAAGCTTACAGAGCGACGTTAATGCAATGCAGGTTTGCATTAGCATTTAAGCTAGCACCATAGTAGCCTACGGAAAATGTATTTTTATTTACTTAAAATTCAGTTACAATGCTCTCAAAAACAATAAATAACTTAGTATTTACCTGTTTAAAATACATTTTAATCTACCAACTCTACATTAGTTCTGGCTTCTTGTCGATCAACAAACTTCCTCCATCTTATAAAAATGTCGCCAGTCTAAATTCTACTTGACTGTCGTAAAAGTCTCACAGCGAGTTTTGTAGAAGGATTTTTAAACGGTTAAAACTTTCTTTGTGAAGAACAAGGCAGTCGATGATCGTATCTCCAGTGCATGCTTTGGCTTCTCCATGGCAAACTTCTGACTTCTTCTGTTGTCGCCCCGTAGTGCATGCTGGGAACTGGGTCAACTCTATTGGTCGACGCTCTAGGCTCGCGTTAATGATTTGTTTTGCTGTCGAGGCCAGGGGAGGGACTTAAGGGAATTATAAATGATGAAAGATTGACAACTTTATATAATAGAACAGGGTCAGATTGTCAAATTTAAGCATTTTTAAGTAACTTAAAGCATTTGAAACTACGTACCCCAGCTTTAAATGATTTGCATCTCTGTCTCTGCAGGCTGGCCTCGGTTGCTGTGGTTTGTGACGGATGGAAAGCATGTTGTAAAGCCGCCAAAAGACTGGCACCCTCAGATACGGGAAGCCAGCAACGATATAGCTTACATAGAAGTGAGTGCAGTTTGAAGAATTTAATAGATTATCACAAGGCACTCATGCTTCAGAGTTTTAAAATGCTCTTTCATGCTTTTTAAAATTTAGTATAAAACCAGCAAAGAAGGCAGCACCATGGGAGTCACCGTGTCCCATTCGGCCATGTTGGCTCACTGTCAAGCCCTCACACAAGCCTGCGGCTACACAGAAGGTGAGGAGAGCTCGGCGGATCATGAGTTTAACTTTGCTTCTGCTTTCTTTAGCATTTATCTGTGACTCTTAGTGAATATTTTTAGGAATGGAAGAAAAAACAAAACTTCCTTCACATAAAACAGCTCACACACCCTCTGAGGTGTAATTACAGTTTTGATAAATGTGGCTGCACGGCTGGTTGTGTTTCAGTCTCTCAGACCTGGGTCAGCTCTGCTCAAAACGAACAAGAACTGAAAGTGCCTTCTGTCCTCCCGTGTCCCAGTTTCGCTCTAAATAAATTATCTCCAGTAGACTCAAGTTGTTCTTCAGATCTCTAAAACTTCATCTGGAAGCTCCTCTCTCACTCGTGGCTCAGAAATGACACTTAATTCCACAACTTTTTTCTTTTGACACTTCAACTATTCTTTAAATCTAAGCATAATAATTTTCTGTTCTTTTTAATTTGTAGCTGAGACCATAACAAACGTCTTGGACTTCAAGCGGGAAGCGGGACTATGGCATGGTGTCCTCACTGTGAGTTGCTCCTGGAACCTCAAATAAAGCTGTGAAAATGTTTGTGTTGATGTTCTCCATCTGATGTATCCACCTGAACCCGCTTTATCAGAATAGAAAGAGCAAAATCTTCCTATTTCATGATTTATACACCTCAAAAATGCATCGATGTGCTGTTCACAAAGATAAGAAAGGGCACCGAGGTAAAGATTAAAAATACAGACATAAAAAATTAAGATTTAAATTAATTCTGGTAAATTTAAGATGGCATTATAAATGTCTCATACTTGGTCAAAGGCCAGGGAGTAAAAATGAGCTTTTAAAGTAGATTTAAAAGCCGGAAGTGAAAGTAAATCATTCTGTAGAACCCTGTTTTTTCATTTCTTAGTGATAAAACCTTATAAGCTGCAACATGTTTAGAGTTACACCATTTGCAGTATTTGTGAAGCCCTCTGACACGCTCTGGAGCTTAAATGATGCTCCTCTGCTCTCCTGGTAGAGTGTCATGAATCGGATGCACGTGATCAGCATTCCCTACTCCCTGATGAAAGTCAACCCCCTGTCCTGGATTCAGAAGGTTCACATGTATAAAGGTAACGCCATCCTTTGTTTAATGGGAAAAGCCGTTTGATGCTGAGATAGAAATATTTGTCGTAAAAGTTTGAGATGTGGAGATAGTAAACTCCTGTTGAGTTTATATAAAATTCCTCTAGTGTGCGGTTTGACCTCTGTTGTCACCTTTAAGCATCTGAGTCTGACTGCACTTGTCAGATTTTATAACCTGTGATCGTCTGTCACGCTGGATAACAGGGGGGGGGGGGGCTGCATCAATGATTCTGTTTGTGTTTGTATCACCCTTGCAGCGCGGGTAGCCGTGGTGAAGTCCAGGGACATGCACTGGTCTCTGCTGGCCCAGAGAGACCAGAGAGACATCAGCTTGAGCTCGCTGAGGATGCTGATCGTAGCTGATGGAGCTAACCCCTGTGAGTGCATTTCAGTGGCGGCTCCAGAAATTTTTTTCTGCAGGTGCTATGAAGGAGCTAGTCTTTTTATTGAGGGTGACATGAAGGAAGTGGTCATGCGTACCTATTGTTCTCTAAAACACCTTCAACACTAGCAGATACACATGCGTGCACCAAACCTCAACAACACCTGAAACAATCATTAATATACTTCATAAACATATGAACAATCACTGATTTTTCCATGAAATCATAAACACATAGAGCCACACAGAAAACCATCTATAGTGTTGCAAGGTTAGCTAACATTAGTGTTAGCATTTCCAGCGGCAAAACCCTCGACTGCTGCGGCGGTTTTGGGTTGACTCTCTTCATCCAGATCCGTAGGTTTTTGTGGGTCTGAGATCACTTCCAAAGATTCATTCGTTTCTGACTGAACCCGTGGAAATGTGAGCAACAAAAACCCATTTTACCACTAGCTCTACCTTTCACTCGTTCGCAGGTGGAAAATGAAGTCAAAGGTTAACATCAATTTCCTGTTTTGGTTTAAGTTTTTACTATCTAAATGATAATTTACTGATTATTTTTGTTTTGTATGTTAAATATGATCACATCAACACGTTAAATTAAAATTTAATTGTAAAATAATTAAAAATATCTCATATTTACTTGGGGGTGCTATGGGGGTGCAATGACTAATCCAGGGGTAGCTAGAGCACCCCTCCTGGCGCCGCCACTGGTGCATTTGCAGCTTTGGAGCCGCTAGACGTTGATATTCTTTTGCGTTTATTTTTTTCTTGATTCTGTGTGCTACTACAGGGTCCATATCCTCCTGCGATGCCTTCCTCAACGTGTTTCAGTCACGAGGGCTGCGCCCAGAGGTGATATGTCCTTGTGCCAGCTCCTCAGAAGCAATGACTGTCGCCATCCGCAGGTGAGCCCGTGCTACTGCGCATGATTCAATCAAAAACAACCACAAACTCTTTGCATGGAGCTGCATTTGCTTCCTGCAGGACAAATCTTTAATTATATATTTTTTCCAACACAGTGACAGACTGGACTCACAGCTTTATGTTGATCTCAGAGCTCAGTTATGAAGGATTAGGACGAGAAACAAACTAAACCAACAAGCTTTGTGTGGGAAAAGCATCACTACATGTGCTACTGAAGTTCTGCATGTGATGCTTTTTTATTTCTAATGAAGTCAGTTGGGCTTAAGTGCAAATTATTTAGCTTGAATGAAGTAAAGTAACAGTACTTTGTTACTGTTAATAACGTAGTGCAACTGTGCGTGTGTGTGTGTGTGTGTGTGTGTGTGTGTGTGTGTGTGTGTGTGTGTGTGTGTGTGTGTCCGTCCTGCAGACCTCCAGAGATGGGTGTTCCTCCTCCCGGTAAGGCAGTGCTGTCCATGAGCGGCCTGAGTCACGGTGTGATCCGGGTGGACACAGAGGAGAAGCTCTCCGTCCTCACAGTGCAGGACGTGGGACAGGTCATGTCTGGAGGTACAGCTTATTAACATTTTACAGCTGTGGATCACCCAAATGTGAATTTGTATGCTTCTTCATTTAGGTTTCTGACACCAAACCATTGTGCAAACCCTCTTTTTTTCTGTTTTAGCTCTTATCTGTGTGGTTCGAGTTGAGGGGACTCCTTATCTCTGTCAGACAGACGAGGTTGGAGAAATCTGTGTGAGCTCAGCGAGCAGCGGTTTGGCGTACTACGGCCTCCCGGGCATGACCAAGAACATCTTTGAGGTAAACGTGTAAATATTTCTGTAACTGTTTAGATATTTTATTTAAAAGCTAGATTCTGACGTGTGTAGCAGGAGCACTTGTCAAAGTCATATACTTTAGAAATTTCCTAAAAGAGTTAGATAAAAAACTCTGATTTGTTCCCAGTGAGGATTCTAGTTGTTTGTTCTAATTCTGCTGCAGACTATTCCAGTGAAGTCATCCAGGGTTCCTGTGAGCGATCGACCTTTCACCAGAACCTCACTGCTGGGCTTTGTGGGACCGGTAAGCTCAAGATGTTTTTGTACTCTAGTTTTTGAAAAGTCTGCCTTAAACACCCCAGAATATGCTCCGAAACCCTTAAAATTAACTAAAAAAACAATCATTCGAGTAGAAAGTAAAAAAATCTACAGATATCATGAAAGTGTACAACCTTTTTTTCAGATTATTTGCCAAAATATTCTAAAATCCCAACATTTTGTATTTAACTCACATCTTACATTTAAATTAAGGTTACAGAAAGCAGTTTCTGAGGGTTTATGCTGTTTGGTTTGATCATTATTAGGATATTTTTGAAAAAATAAAATGCATTTAAAGGGGCCATCTCCCCCAAAGTGAAATTTAGTTTGTTTCCACAATCACCGGAGTTGGATAAGCAGTAAAAAGCATTTTGTAACCAACCCTGTCATTTTTCTAATCTGGCAGTAGTCTGTTAGCTTTAGCTTAGCATAAACAATGTAAGAATGGTAGCGCTGTAAACTGTGTCATGTCAATTTGCCTTGCAGCGGTGGCTTACAGCAGTGCTTGTGGTAATTTAATCCCTAGTCCCAAATTTAAGTAGTGTTCTATAATTCCTCTGTGTTACTTATTAGTTTAATTTGCAGTCAGTATGATTATTAAGGCCACCAAGATAAGTTAGGATTATTATTGAGTCATCATCTTGACTTTTACTTATGAAATGCTAGCTGTTACCATTCACTTACATTGTTTATGCTAAGCTAAAGCAAACGGAATCCTGCCAGATTAGAGAATGACTGCGCTGGTTACAAAATGCTTTATCCTACTATTCTAACTCTGGGTGATATGGTGACAGACTAAATTTGACTTACAGGTGGAATGTCCCTTTAAAGTTCACTGAACCTTTTGTGGAACCTGCCTTTTTTCAGATTCACTGTGTTTCCTTCCAGGACAATCTTGTGTTTATTGTTGGGAAGATGGAAGGGCTCATGGTCGTCAGTGGGCGGAGACACAATGCTGATGATGTGGTTGCCACGGCGCTGGCTGTGGAACCCATGAAGTTTGTATACAGAGGAAGGTAAAGAAGGGTGCAGACTGTATTTATATTGCTTACCAACAGTGAATTGATTGATTTGGGAACTTTTTTTTTACGTTGCTTTAGGATAGCGGTGTTTTCTGTGTCTGTGCTCCGCGATGAGAGGGTTGTTGTTGTGGCAGAACAAAGGCCGGATTCCTCTGAGGAGGACAGCTTCCAGTGGATGAGCCGTGTTCTTCAGGTAACTTCATCAATAAGATATAGACGTTTATATGTGTTATACATCTAAGCTGCTCTAATCCAACCCTGTGTTTCCAGGCAATAGACAGCATCCACCAGGTTGGGGTCTACTGCCTGGCTCTGGTACCTGCTAACACGCTTCCTAAGACTCCTCTGGGTGGTATCCACATATCTGAGACCAAACAGCGCTTCCTGGAGGGAGCCCTGCATCCGTGCAACGTCCTCATGTGTCCTCACACATGTGTCACTAACCTGCCCAAGCCGAGGCAAAAGCAGCCAGGTAGGCCACCATGTCAGGTTCAGGTTCTGTTTGTTTTTGTTGACCTCATTGACACCTGCTATGGTTGCTCTGGACAGAAGTTGGTCCTGCTTCCATGATAGTGGGCAACCTGGTGGCAGGCAAGAGGATAGCACAAGCCTGTGGGAGGGACCTGGGACAACTAGAGGACAATGATCAGGCACGTAAGGTAGATGGTCATCCTCATTTCACCCATGATGCTCTTGTTTACTGCAGTTGTTTACTATATATAGTAGGGCTGCAACAAACGATTATTTGGATAATCGATGAATCGGATGGGGTCTCGACACAATTAATCGATTAATCGGATTACAGGGGACATTTTTAAAAACTGTTTTAAAAACTGTTAGGGAAAGTTATTTCTCTCCTTCCTTCACTTTATTAAACACATTATTAGAAAACAGTTCAATAGCAGAAAAACAACATGCCATTCACCTAAATTGTCTTATAAGGTGTATAGACAGAGACCCTAAGCTACACCTATCTGTGACCTAAAATGCTTGGTCCAAGTTAAACAGCCCCGTCTGGCCCCGGTGTGATCAACAAGTTTCTGCGGGAATGTGACGGCGGAACCGGTTCACAGCAGCGCGAGCCCCCCCCCCCCCCCCCCCCCCCGCTCATCTAATAGCGTCGCGCTTACGATTTTATAGACTTTTTTTACGAGCTTAGGGCATGTCTAGCCTGTGTAATAATCCGGGACTTGGGTGAATCACTTTTGAAAAGTTTTTAACTTACCCGAACACAGAGCTCTCTCCCTCCTCGCTGACGATTCAGCCTGCTTGCGTTTAAGATGCTGCATCATCACCGTAGTACTCCCGTGCCATGCTAAGTCTGACCTACAAACGTTGCAGGTCACGAATGTCTTCGCCTGATTTAACTGAAAATGCTCCCAAACTTTAGAAGTTTTTACTTTTTTGGGTCTTGCTGCTTCTGCAATGATCCTCTTACAAACATCTGCCGGCTCTCCCTCGCGCTGATCTGACTTGCTCCAGTCTGCGCGCAACGGCGGCCGGGAAGGGGGGGGGCCTTTTGGAAGAGTTGTGCGACACAACAAATCGATGACGCAATTCGTTGCCAACGCTTTTAGTAATCGATTTTCATCGAATTTATCGATTCGTTGTTGCAGCCCTAATATATAGTATATACAAATAAGTGTGTGTGTGTGTGTGTGTGTGTGTGTGTGTTTGTGTGTGTCAGTAAATCTGAGATGCACACAGCAAAATAAATGGGAAACAGCTCTCGATGCTTGGTATCAGAAAAAGGTTGCAACAAACGTCTTTAGAGTGTTAAAATGAACTGTTCTGCTGACATCAGCTGATCAGCTGTTCATGTGTTCTGCTGAGGGGAGGGGTGGTGTTGCTGCAGCACCGCTGCGTGTGAAGATGTAAGTCAACTAGAGGCAACGAAGGCACAGTCGTGTCCAAGCTGTTGCTAAATTATATGTTAAGAAACATTTAGTACAAATATTATGTGAGTCCCTTTAAGAGAAAGCATTACCCTGTCATTCACTTCAAACTGCAAAAACCTCATCTGTGGTCATCCTCTTTAGCATAAAGATCTTTTGAATGGATTAAATTTAAACTCTGTAGTTAAACTTGTGTTTCTGCATCTGTCCAATAGTTCCTCTACATACAGGATGTGCTACAGTGGAGAGCCCAGGCCACTCCGGACCATCCTCTCTTCCTGGTTCTCAATGCTAAGGTAAAAGCAGGACACATCAGAGCAGGGTTGGGCGATTTGTAGCATTTTTCCCACCGCCAATCGTCAGTCCAAAAACAGACGATGGACGATTTATTCGACACTCGGACTGATTTGCGAACACAGAAGAAGCCCAAAACGTAGATTTTTTTTATACAAGCGCAGCACATATGTTTGCTGGAAGAGAAATTAATATTTTTCTTTTTGTTTAATTTTGTATTCGTAGTTTTGGTAGAATGACGTATAAACGGCTCGTATTAAACACAGTTTTGATGTTAAAATGAAGCCTCGCCTTCATTTCCCTGTGGTGCCCACTGTTGTGGTATTTTATTTAAGCAAAATGTTTCTTTCTGAACAAAAACTTCTGGGGTTGTTTCTTTTATAAGTAGGGGATGGAAGGAGTCGCTGCCGCGTTTGGACGCACTCTGAGGAGGCAGCATTTGCTCGCTGCCAGAGGTCACATGATCCATTTATCCCCGCCACTTTCATTTTTAAAATAATGAATAATCATTTGTTAAATTTCCATTCATTTAAATTTATATTTAGTCCAACCAAGCTGATCAGAATGCCCCAGTAACATGAACAATGCAATTAATCGATTTCACTTAAATTGGGAACATTTCACCTGCAGCGGCTCGAACGCACATTCCTCCTGCGCCGCGTAAACCTGAACTGATCACACGCAGCTTGTGTGTAATCAAATGTCTCCAGGGAGCTTGCTGATGAGGTTATGGGCTTCTAGACTTTTGCCTCAGACAGACTCATGGCTGTTTAAATAATGCTCTGGATGGAACATCGGTGTGCTCTGCTGATACACTTAAAGCAGGTGCTGAATAACGACGAGCGCTACTTCTGACAAAGTTTTAAATCGAGAAACATTTCTCCAAATGAAATAACCAGAAGTCGTCCAGACTGAAAGATAGAAGGGTTTCCACTTTCCGCTCAACGCCGCGCTGTAGTGCACGATGTCGAGTGCATCACAGACGCTCTCCAAACCCCTCCTCAGCATGTCGCTTGCGCGTGCACTGTCAGCAGCCAGAGGCAGGTGGTGAGAAAAGGCTCAGATGTGCTGATAGTGTCATGATCTGCGTCTGCCCCTTTCTTCATGTGCCTCCTGGTGTCCTCCATCCCTCTCTAGATTCTCATGTGTCCTTTGTCTGCATTTCAGTTTGGTGTCTTATGTTGTAAGCTTTAAAGTCAGGTGTATGTGTTTGTGTGAGTCCTTCCCTCAGTTTTAGGTTTAGCTTTGGGTTTGAGGTCATCTGCCCTCCATTGGTTCTGTTTCCCCCATTCAGATAATTGGTGTCACCTGCCCTCCCTCCAGTCCTCACTCCACACTCCTGTTTCCTGTTTCCTTAATTGTTCTCCCTGTGTATTTAAGCCCTGTTTGGTGTCGGTCCGTTGTTTGTATTTGTCAGTGTTGTTACTCGTGCTCCGTGTGAGCCTTTGGTCTCCAGGTTTTTGGTGCTCTAGGAGAGTTTTCGTTTGTCCTGTGGTCAGGACTTTTGGATTTTTGGCTCGCTGCCTTTGGGATTTACTTTTGTTTTTCATCCTGCAAATTAAGGATTATTTACTTTACTTCATCTCCTGCCTCGTGTCATCCTGGGTACTGCATTTTGGGTCCAAACATCCCCAAATCGTGACAGATAGAGATCTTTTCTTGATTGTTACCAATGTTCTCTGTGCGTAGCGTGTAAAATATTCGTCAGCAACAAACCAATAAATAAATGAACAAATCGCCTCCTGTAAAAAAAAACAACCGTAACGGTTCAGCTCATCGCCGATGGTCGATTTGTTCGTCCCATCTCCCAACCTTACATCAGAGAAAGAGCTACAGGAAACTTGCAGCTAAAGTTTGTAAATTTAGTTTAGTGATGGTTTTGTCTGCTTTTGTTGACTTTACAAGAATAATAAAAACAACCTTTAAAATATCATGTCAGTTATTTCAGCTTTAATATTTCTGAAATATTTTCTAAATAAATGCATTGCATACATTTTTGTTGTGTATTAGTGTGCTGCTTTCAAATATAATTCATTAAAGCTGTTGCAATATTTTTTATTTATAATTTTAAGGCGGCGGAGCAACCAAAGATGGATATTTAGGCTAAAGTTGTTTGTGTTTTTTGTTCAGGGTACAGTCGCCAGCACAGCTACCTGTTTGCAGCTGCACAAGCGAGCAGAGCGAGTGGCGGCATCACTGATGGGACGATTAAACACTGGAGACCACGTAGCACTCGTCTACCCACCAGGTAGTGTCCTCCATGGTAATGCCTCACTTTGTCATCAGTAATTATCAATAAATCAATGCTTTCTATGTGCAGGAATCGACCTGATTGCAACTTTCTATGGATGCCTGTACGCTGGGTGTGTCCCTGTGACCGTCAGACCGCCACACCCACAAAACCTGGCCACCACCCTGCCCACCGTCAAAATGATTGTTGAGGTAAATCAAAGTTATCAGATTGCACCGGTAGAGTTTTTATAGATCTGTGTCATTACAGTGGTGGTGTGTGTCTGTGTTCGTTTTGCAGGTCAGTAAGTCTGTGTGTATCCTGACAACCCAAGCAATAATGAAGCTGCTGAAATCCAAAGAGGCTACTGCAGCTGTGGACATCAAGAGCTGGCCCGCAGTCCTGGACACAGGTGAACACACACACACACACACGCACGCACGCACGCACACACACACACATCCTCTTCTTACCTTCCTGTCTTTACCCTGCAGATGACCTCCCCAGGAAGAAGAACTCCCACTTTTATAAGCCTCCAACCCCTGAGATGTTGGCTTATTTGGACTTTAGTGTGTCCACTACTGGTATCCTAGCAGGGGTCAAAGTATGTTGAAGGATGTGAAATCATGGGATCGGCATAGATCTCATATTAAATTTGGTGTTCCTGCTCATATTTTAGTTTTGTCTCTTTATGTCCCACCTGTTCTAGATGTCTCATGCTGCCACCGGTGCCTTGTGTCGCTCCATTAAGCTGCAGTGTGAGCTCTATCCTTCCCGGCAGATTGCCATCTGTTTGGACCCCTACTGTGGCCTGGGCTTGGCTCTCTGGTGCCTTTGCAGGTAAATCTATTAAATAACACAGAGATATTTAGTATTTATTTTACCCCTAGTCCACCACCTTTCAGCCTGTCTGTGCTCTTTGGGTGCGTTTTAGTGTGTATTCAGGCCACCAGTCGATCCTCGTTCCTCCTCTGGAGTTGGAGAGCAACGTGTCTGTGTGGCTCACAGCTGTCAGCCAGTATAAAGCACGAGTCACCTTCTGCTCGTATTCAGTCATGGAGATGTGCACCAAGGGCCTCGGGTCACAGACGGAAGCTCTGCGGGTCAGTCACTCGACTCTGTGGGGGGAATTTCAAATTGCAGCATTTTTCTCCTCAGTTTTGCTGCTCAAACATTAATGTTACCAGTGTATGAAATGCTTCATTTGCTTTCTAACTGTAAATAGAGGAAAACAAGTTATACTCTGGATTTTTGATATAGACTTTTTTTACCGATATACTCTAACTCTTAACGTTTGATACCAGTGTGGTCCCCACCTCATAAAAAGAAAACATTTCTTTCAGAAATGCTGTTTGAATGCTGATTTCTTGGTTGCCATAACTACAGTATCTAAGTCAGGATCCACCCACTTGGTTACTATGACAACCATGCATTAGACTCTATTTGGTAAAAAATGTCATCTTTAAAGTTGAATATCTTAAAAACTTTTGATACCAAAAGTCATACTGGCATGTCCTGAATGAGCTGAATGCTTTGATTCCCCATTTATGGAAATTGATAAAAAAAAAATTGCAAGAGGAGATGCACAGCAAAAAACATCCGGAAGAATCTTGAAAGAATATTAATAAAGCAAAACAGGAAATACATCATGTGAAGGCAGCATTAAAAACAAAAAATAATTATAGTTTAAATTAGGCCATTTGTATTAAACAAACAAAAATATCTCAAAAAATAAACCTTGAGTTTTTTTTTTTTTTTGACATTTTGAGTGAGATAGGAAGTAGCTGAACAGTTTATGTGAGATATTTGTTGGTTTGTAAAAGTTGTGTCAATAAAAGATTAACTCATTCACTGCCAGCCGTTTCCTGATCGCTAACGGCCTTCGCTGCCAGCGTTTCTCACCGTTTTTACTGTTTTTTTAAGAGTCACAGAACATTGCGCGCATTGGCATTGATGTCGATGCCAAAACAACCAAAACAAAGAGGAGACTCACCTCTTACATCAGGAAGAAGCCGCGTGTTTTGAGCGTTATCCGTTCTTTCATAATCCGTTGTCGAATTGTGATCGGCAGACGCTTTTCCGGTTCGCGCCTCACTTTTTTTACAGGAACGGCCCAAAACGATCTCCAAACACATGGATGTGTTGCTTCCTGATCATGTGATGTGTGACGTATGCGGATGAAGATCGGCTTCAGGGCTGAGATGTTTGTTCTCTCAGCGCGGGGGCTCGTTCCGATGCTCAAACAGTAAAAAAATGCAAATGACGACTTTAGTCGTCATTGGCAGTGAACGGTTGGATCTAAAATGACAACTTTAGTCGTCAATGGCAGTGAATGAGTTAAAAACCAAACCTGACAATTTCCAATATTAAGTTTTAAAGTGACAATGTGTAGTTTTTACCATGAATTTCTGGAAATATCAATTGAAATGTTGTTGTAAATGAATTAAAAGATTCCCAGTTGTTGAAAAATATTGGCAGTTTCACAACATATAACCATAACAATCGGGTCTAAAATACATGGGAGCGGGTCTAAATGTCCGGATGACGCCATATTGGATACCATGTTTCCTTCTACGGAAGCCCGTGAGGACAGAATGCATTTACTGTTTTGTAACAAATGGTTACAAAACTTTAAGCATTAATAAATATTGTTCTTTTACACGTTTACCTCTTCACTCATTGCCAGTGATCAAAGGAAATCTGATGTTCTTGTTATTTTGCCTGGAGGTTGTACTCCCAAGGATTTTTGACCCTAATGGCCATCTGTTGTTAAGGTCTTACTTGAACACAAAAATAACGCTTGCCTGCACTGATTTAGGTATGTACTGCCCCCTGTCGCCAGGGAAAATACACACTGTCACTTTAATGCTGAAATCAGTCGGTAATACCAGACATCCCTACAATCCTCTAATAAAAGTCCTGCAGGTTCATTTGATTTAAACCTTTTCCTGATGCATCTTGCCTTCCATTTTCTTTTGCACAGTTGCGTAATGTGAACCTGTCGTGCGTGCGTACGTGCATGGTGGTAGCAGAGGAAAGGCCTCGCATAGCCCTCACTCAGTCCTTCTCAAAGATCTTCAAAGACCTGGGCCTTTCACCGCGAGCCGTCAGCACCACCTTCGGCTGCAGGGTGAATGTAGCAATCTGTCTGCAAGTAAGCAACGGTGATACATAGAGATCAGTGTTTTTCTTTACTTAGTAGATTATTAATCCACTTCTCAATTCATCTAAGCCCCCAAAACCCCAGATAAATGTGTTCTTTGGGAATTTGTTGTGTGTGTGCCCCATGTAAATGACTACATACATATATACTTTTATCTGTCCTGTCCTGTCAGCCCAACAGATTAGGGAAACTTGGTGAGCAGGTACTGTGGGATAAGAGTGGCTGCTTGCTTTGCTGCTGAGTCTGGTTGTGTTCATGTTTCTGCCTTCATGTGGGCCTTTTTTATTTGTCTTGCATGATATTTAAATCTGCTTTGCTTTGTTTACATTTAGAATCATTTTTTTCTGTTTTTCTCAGACGAGCCAGCTTTGCTTTTATTTCAGCTACTTTTTCCCTGAGAATTTATTCGGCGTGCTGCACAATAGCAAATTCCACCTGGACTTTGCACCAAAATTGTTGCTTTTATTAGTTTTACTAGGGATCAAAACCTGTTTTGAAGCAAAACTATTGTACAAAATTTTCAAGAAAATCAGTTATTGTCATTTCAAACTATAATGATCACTGAATTTGTTTAATTTATATATATAAAAAAAACACTTCTGAAATTGCTGCTTGGCTTGATGATTCAGCATCAAGATGACTCATCCAGTTAAACCAGCCTTTTTTTGCCTCTGCTAGCTTGTGCTCCGCCCATTTCCTGTCAAAGGAGGGATGGAAACCAGGATTTTTTGTGACAATTCCTGCCGCAGTAATAAGGACAAATCCAGCCATGGTCTCAATATCTTTAGAAATGGTACAATTAGAATTCAGCTCCACAGTGGACGAAACAAATGAACCGAAATGAAATGAATCGAAACTAATGGTTTCTTCGATTTCTGATAAATGCAAGAGTAAAATAAACGACGGCTGATTTCTATTTTCCTGTGGGATTGCAGGAGCTGCTGTTGTAGATTTACCAGCAGTCTCAAACTTGGCAGCATCTGAGGAGAAGATGGAGGTCTTTACATGGTTCAGCTCTAACTAATGTAGCCTGGCTGGTTGGCTTCTGGCTGCCTCCTGCTTTTTCAGCAGCTATTTCATAACCAGCGTCCACCTCCTCCCCGCCCAGGCAGCATTCAGAGGTTACGCCAGGACTGATGCGGTGACTTTATGTCCATTTATGCTTGTTTCCTTTCAGGGAACTTCTGGACCAGATCCCACAACTGTTTATGTGGACATGAGAGCTCTACGACATGACAGGTAGGGGGCGCCGTTGTAACGCCATCAGCTCAAGAGTTGAGCTCTGGGTTCTACTCCTTCCTTTGTTTTCCTGTCCTCAGGGTTCGTCTTGTTGAGAGGGGGTCACCTCACAGCCTGCCACTGATGGAGTCTGGGAAGGTGAAAAATATTTGTGCTGAACAAAGCGTAGTCTTTTAATTGTGATAATTATTATTATTTTTAAATTTAATTATTTATTTATTTTTGGCTAAACTGGACCATGTCCTGTAGATCCTTCCTGGAGTGAAAGTCATCATTGCCAATACCGAGACCAAAGGGCCACTGGGAGACTCCCATCTAGGAGAGGTAGGTTTTTAGAACAGATTATGAATTTATTTATTTACCATCAGTGTACATTTCTTATTGTTACACTAAACTCGTTCAGACTTTGTTTGAAGCAGCTGCGCAATCTGAAGGTTTTCTAGAAAAAGTCAACTAAATTATTCTAAGGCGGGGCTATTCAATTCCAGGCCTGGAGGGCCGGTATCCAGCATGTTGTAGTGGTTGAGTCACCCGTGCTCGTCAGGCTCTGCAGAAGCCTGTTAATCACCTGCTGATTGAAATCAGGTGTGCTGAAGGAGGGTTAAAACCAAAACGTGCTGGATACTGGCCCTCGAGGCCCGGAATTGAATAGCCCTGTTCTAAGGGATCATGTGACTTTTTTTTCTCAGCTTATAATACTTGTATGGTCGATACAAAATATGTTTATGAAGTTTTTTTGCACAAAATCCCTCTTACATAACACAGTCTCTGCAGTTTTATTTATGACATTTTCTGTACCTTCCAGAATGAGTAATTTCAGCGCTCTGTCACTTTAAGAAAACAAGCTAGAGCTGGCCACGCCCATTCCTCTTCTGATTGGCTGCTATAAGCTAAGAAACTCCCAATATCTGGCAGCAGGTCGGAGTGGAGCCGCTGCTCCTCCAGCAGGTCTCTTTTGCACTTGAGAGGCGGTTCTATTCTACTTTCCCTATTTGTGTCATCACACACGGGGACTTTTTCAAATGGCTCGTTTTAGATACTAAAACCAAACACTGGCAAAAAAAACCAGATGAAGTTTTCCATGTTTGAAGTGTTTATAGAGACAGCAGAGACCCACATGGCAGCATAAAAGGATGCAAAATGTGAGTTTTACATAAATCCCCCCTTTTATTATGAAGTAGAACCACTTTAGAATAAATGTGGCTCTTTGTTTATTTTGTATAAAACGTGAAAACTGTGACACTCATCAAGCTTAAAATATGCTTATTTGGGTTGTAATTAGAGTGCTTATCTATAATTAGTGTAAAAGATCAAAAATGGTTTCTGTTGAGGAAAAAGCCAATTTATCTGGGCAACAAAGTTTATAATCCACTTTGTGGGAATTAAATGTGTGTTTTACAAATTTAAGTGACAGCAGTAATAAGGATTAATAGAAAGAGAGGCCATTTTTATTTCCTACACCTGAACTAGAGACTCGTATTTCTAGAAACAGCTGGTGTTTGTAGAGCTGGGTATAATGACTGACGCACAAATGAGAATACACCTTGATTATATGTTTTGAGTAGAAGATAGTGAGAGGATCTGTCGTTTAAAGGTCTGGGTGAGCAGCCCTCACAACGCGACAGGCTACTACACGGTTTACGGCGAGGAGGCGCTGCACGCTGACCACTTTAACACCAAGCTCAGCTTCGGGGACACCCAGACAGTCTGGGCAAGAACGGGCTACCTGGGCTTCCTCCGGCGCACTGAGCTGACTGATGCCAGCGGAGGTGAGAGTGATGAGTACTCTTCTGATTAGTTTAACCACCCATCTTTTTCAGACCCTGTACACAAGTAGCTGGGTATATTACTACGGTTCGGCCTGAAATCCACACAAAATTGAAGGGAAACTGTACCAAAAACTATGAACGAAGTGGAAATTTGCAAATTGTCAGCATTTGCTTGTGGATGTAAATAACCAGGTTCCGCTATGACAAAAGTGCTCCAACATCGCATGTGACCTGTGTGTCCAAATTCAGTGGCAGTATCCTTCGTCAGCCGGTTTAAAGTCTGATTACGTCATAGCGCCGCAACGAAGGCCGTCCAACTTCGAAGGCTCATTCAAGCCAGCCCTCTTTCCTCCCGATTTGAAGGATTTGTTAAATAGTTTAAGCTTGAGATGGTTAGATTTAGGCCTTCAGTCATTTATATAAAACATTTTAAAGGAATTGTAAACAATAATTTAAAGTCATTTTAACGGAGCTCTCATTTTAAGTACAGCTGCTGTAACTCCTCCAGAATTAAAACAATTAATTAAAAGTTTGGCCAACCTTTGAGCTCCATTCTCTGTAGGATTCAGGGTTGTCGCAGTTGCTAGGTGACAGAACATTTGCAGAGGTAGGCGATAGGTGGGGGAGAATATTCCATCCATCCATTTTCATCTGCGTATTTGGAGTCGGGTCGCGGAGGCAGTAGTCTAAGTCGAGAGGCCCAGACTTCCCTCTCCCCAGCCACTTGGGTCACCTCTTACGGGGATATCCCAAAGCGTTCCCTGGCCAGGTGAGAGGCATAGTCCCTCCAACGTGCCCTGGGTCTACCTTTAAGTCTCCTCCCGGTTGGACGTGCCCAGAAAACCTCACCAGGGAGGCGTCCAGGAGGCATCCTGACCAGATGCCCGAGCCGCCTCAACTGGCACCTCTCGATGTGGAGGAGCAGCGAATCTACTCTGAGCCCCTCCCGGATGACCGAGCTTCTCACCCTATCGCTAAGAGAGAGCCCAGGCACTCTTTGGAGAAAACTCATTTCGGCCGCTAGTATCCGCAATCTCGTTCTTTCGGTCACTACCCAAAGCTCATGACCATAGGTGAGGGTAGGAACGTAGATCGACCGGTAAATCGAGAGCTTCGCCTTCTGACTCAGCTCTCTCTTCACCACGACAGACCGGTACAACGCCCTCATCACTGCAGACGCAGCACCAATCTGCCTATCGATCTCACGCTCCAGTTTTCCCTCACTCGTGAACAAGACCCCGAGATACTTAAACTCCTCCACTTGGGGCAGGACCTCATCCCTGACCCGGAGAAGGCATTCTACCCTTTTCTGATTCAAGACCATGGTCTCAGATTTAGAGGAGCTGATTCTCATCCCAGCTGCTTCACACTCGGCTGCGAACTGCTCCAGCGAAAGCTGAAGATCACGTTCTGATGAAGCCAACAGGACCACATCATCTGCAAAAAGCAGAGACCTGATCCTCAGACCACCAAAACGGATGCCCTCAACACCTTGGCTGCGCCTAGAAATCCTGTCCATAAAGGTTATGAACAGAATCGGTGACAAAAGGCAGCCATGGCAAAGTCCAACTCTCACTGGGAACGAGCCCAACTTATTGCCGGCAATGCGGACCAAGCTCTGACACCGGTCATACAGGGACCTAAAAACCGGTATCAGAGGGCCTGGTACCCCATACTCCCGGAGTACCCTCTACAGGGCCCCCCGAGGGACTCAGTCAAACGCCTTCTCCAAATCCACAAAACACATGTAGACTGGTTGGGCAAATTCCCACGCACCCTCCAGGATCCCCCTAAGGGTATAGAGCTGGTCCAGTGTTCCGCGGCCAGAACAAAAACCACATTGCTCCTCCTGAATCTGAGGTTCAACAATCTGACGGACCCTCCTCTCCAGAACCCCTGAACAGACCTTACCAGGAAGGCTCAGGAGTGTGACCCCCCTGTAGTTGGAACACACCCTGCGGCCCCCTTTTTTAAATAAGGGAACCACCACCCTGGCTTGCCAGTCCAGTGGGACTGCCCCTGATGTCCACGCGGCATTGCAGAGCCGCGTTAGCCAACACAGCCCCACAACATCCAGAGCCTTAAGGAACTCCTCCACCCCTGGAGCCTTGCCACGGAGGAGCTTTTTAACCACCTCAGTGACCTCAGCACCAGAGATCTGAGAGCCCAACTCAAAGTCCACAGACTCTGCTTCCTCACTGGAAGACGTGTTGGTGGGATTGAGGAGGTCTTCGAAGTATTCTGCCCACCGATCCACAACGTGCTGAGTAGAGGTCAGCAGCACACCGTCCCAACTATAGATAGTGTTGGTAGCGCACCGCTTCACCCCCCCTGAGGTGCTGGATGGTGGACCAGAATCTCCTCGAAGCCGTATGGGGAGAATATTGTGTTTTAGAAAAACCCAGATACGTGTGAACATGGCCTTATTCTCTTTGCACTTGTTTGTAAATGTCCATTTTTAAAATCGATGTCTTTGTGTTTTTGTGTCAGAGCGCCATGATGCCCTCTATGTGGTGGGCTCTCTGGATGAGACTCTTGAGCTGAGGGGGATGAGGTATCACCCCATCGACATTGAGACTTCTGTGATCCGTTCTCATAAGAGCATAGCTGAGTGGTGAGTGTGTTTATTGCAACTAATACATGTTTATATCACTTAATTAAATGTAACATCAGTTTTCGTTGCTTCAGTGCGGTGTTCACTTGGACCAACCTCCTCGTGGTGGTGGTGGAGCTGGAGGGATCGGAGCAGGAGGCCCTGGACCTCGTTGCCCTGGTGACCAACGTTGTCCTGGAGGAACATTACCTCATCGTGGGAGTGGTGGTGGTGGTGGACCCCGGTGTGATCCCCATCAACTCCAGAGGGGAGAAGCAGCGGATGCACCTCAGAGACGGATTCCTGGCCGACCAGTTGGACCCCATATATGTGGCGTACAACATGTGACGGTCCAAACCCAACATGCATTTTTTTTTCTCGATACAGGAGAGAACAGCTCTGAGCTCTTCAGTGTCTGTGGGACTTTGACTGAAAGAAAACGAGTTGCTTCCTTTGGATGAAAAACTTGCTGCAGATTAAGACTGACACTGATTTTCTGTGATTATTTAGCGAATAATAATTTAAAGGGCATTTGTTTTTCTTCAGATGATTTTGGATGTATGATATAGTTCCTGTTTTTAAACCAAGAAAACCTGAGCGTAGCACAGCAGGACGTTCGTGGTTTGCGGCGTGCCCATTAATGTAATTTATTTTCTCAAACTCAAAAAACAACAAATGTGTCATAGGATAGAAACGATGCCAGTACACAAACCGCGATTAACACACATGTTTATGTTTACAGAACTTACTGTGTTGTTAGAGGTCCTTTACTTTTCATAGAGAAAAAAAAAAAAAACACCATACAAGCAGCTTCACCCTGTGCAGGTGATGAAGTAACAAGGCAGGTTGGTATTATTTTTGTTTGTTGTCTTGATCTGATGTGAGTGGCTATGCAGTCTGAGTCAAGCAGATGCAGAAAGCACACACTTCTCATTGCCAGCCATGGAAAACTGTGAACACCTGCGTGACTCACGCCGAGCATCAACTCCAGGTTGCAGCTGGTATTGTATTCATGTAACTTGGGTTCAAGTGATGTTAAGGTGACTCCATCTCATATTTTCCTACATGCTCATGTCTAACAGAGTCGTCGTTTTAATCTAAACATGAAAACTTTAATTGTGGAACTTGTTGCTTTGGGTGATTGTGGAAAAAAAAGTGCCGACCAGTCAGAGTCGAGGGGTGGCTGATTGGTGATTTCTGTTAGCAGGAAGCTAAATGATATAAACGAGGCCTTGAGTGTTTTTAAGGTGCCTGTTTCTGTTCCAGCTCAGGTTTATTGGCTGTTGAACATGTGAGAATGTTGGTAGGGTGGAGATGGATGGTAGGTTCCATAAATCCCAGTCTTTATAGGTGTTGGAAAAGAAATATACTTGATTCAGACATCAGCCATTACTAAAAGTCACTCCATGCATTATTTTTATTATTGAATGTGTGTTGTATAGAGGAAGATGAAAGAATTTGCCGTGGGTATTGCTCCATAAGGTTGTAGCATCGTTACCAGTGCCATAAACACATCAGAAGCGACTGCTTAATATCCTCATTTCAGCTCGACACTGACTTTGTGACGATTCTGTACATTGCTTCTTTTATTGTGTTCACATCCCTTCAGAGACGGGCTCCATCCAGCCTTGTAAGTATGTACAGATTTTATGTAAATTATTTTTGATGAGGAGTAAATAGGAGTCTCCAAATAAAAGACAAATTCTGGTACATATGTGAAATTCTCCCTTCACATGAAAAATGACGCGATTTGTCATGCAAGACGTGTGAAATGTGTCAGACATGTTTTTGTTGCGGCCACCGCACACTTCCTGGAACGGGACGAAGACGGTGTTAGTTTGGTGGCTGCGTCTTCCAGAGCAAAGGTTTTGTGGTAATGTACAGAAAGATGCTTTAGTTTGAGATTCAGCTAGTTGTCTTTATTTTCATAACATGATTTCGTAATGAATAAAGAAATACTTTTACCCTGAAAAGGCTTTTGTTTCTAGCATCTGAACACCTGAAAGTGATGGTGTCTGAAACGCGTCACTGTTTAGTTTTAAATGACACTCGAGGTATTTCTGGCATTTTTAAAGATGCAGCTAAAATAGATATTTTAAAAACACAGCTGATGGGCTGAAATGTGATCAGGTGTGCTTTTACGAGTGGCCTGTCTCCACATGTTGGTACCAGGAACAAAGTATTTAGTGATGAAGCAGGTTGTAAAATTGATAGTATTAATAAAATCAACTATTTAAAAAACTTAGTAACATTTACTACTTGAGGTGATTGTGGCTCAGGAGTTAGAAGTTCGCCCTAATCACAGGTGGGCTGCCAGTTGGAAACCCAGGCTCTGTCCGTGTCAATCATGTCCTTGGGCAAGACACTCCACTCTTCTTACCTGCTGGTGGTGCTTAGAAAGACCGACGACAGCCTTGCTTGTTACTGTGCCCCAGGGCAGGTGTGGCTACATTATAGCTTATAACTATCAGTGTATGAATGACAAGGGTGCCCCCAAGGGGTGGCCATGGCCACCCCTACAAAATTGCTGCTGCCCCCCCCCCCCCCCCCCCCCCCGGAAAAGTCAGTGTTAATAAATCATATTAATGTTCAATCAAACCATATATTGATCTTGTTTATTTAAGACATAATTTTAAAACAAAATAAAAATAATATAATTATTGAGTAAAGAAATAATCAGAATGAAAAAATAAATACATGTATTTCTGCTGCTCACCATTTAAAAAAGTTTTTATCTCCATAGTTTTTTTTTTGTGAACGCAGCAACAGGTGAATTAACCAAAACAATATACATTTTTAAATTAAATTTGAAATAACATTTTAATTCATTCACTGCCATTGACAACTGTTGTGATTTGAAGTTTGTATATTTATATACTGCAATTAAATAATTTAATTACCTGATTGTATATTTATACAATCTACATAATCAATCAGAAGTGGTCGTTTTTATCATCAGGGAGTTTACTTCAACACTTTGTATTGACTGAGAGACAAGAAAGAGAGAAAGTTGGGATCGTTTAAGAAACTTTAATTTCTATAATTATAAATTCTTACAATCTACCAGGACTATCTCAATGATGGATGCATATGGATGTAGATGGTTCGGTTTGGTGTGTGTGTGTGTGTTTTGTTCAGAATCTCTAGGCTGAGTAGCGAATCTGGTTGTTTTGACTAGGCTACCACGAGGCTTCGGAAGCTGATGACATGAGCCGCCATTTTGCCGTACCTTAGATGGAGTCTCCCGTGTAGATCAGGAATTGCCAGGTCTCTGACCTTCGGCGATACTGGAGCTGGTTGAGACAGCGGTCACAGCAAACAACGCCCGTCTGAAGGGTCGACTCAGGTGAAGCGGCAGGCGCCAACAAGTTCACTCTTATTTTGAAGGACCGTCGTCTCGTTGGTAAAAACGACGGAAAATCTCCAGCTTGACAGATTTCAGCTCAAAGTAGGAAGTCCAGCTGGCCAGTCTGAACTTCTTAATGATGACGATGGAAATCCTTAGGAACTCGGATGTCCGGGAGCTGAGTTTAATACGTAACTGCTGAAAGTTGGACGTAACGTGGAACTGAACTTAAAATGGCGTTGCCTTCTTTTTATATCTCCCAGTTGTTTGAGAATCTTAGTAAACTGGATTGGACTACTTTCATAAACAAACCAGATTCTGCCCTACCACAGGCGAAAGTTCCGATTGGTTGAAAACAATGTGTCATGCGTTTCCATGGTAATGCATATCAGTGTGTCTGGGCAGCCCTGTTTATTCATTTAAACACATAACTCATGACATCTTTATTTCACAGATCATTCACCTGATTATTAATGATCAACAAATGCTTTGATTAGCTTATCACAAATGAAGTACTTTGATTAACCCATGAAAAGCATTCTTCTTCTGTTCTTCTCTCTTCTCCTGGAATGTAAACATACTGAACCAAGCGTCCGACCTTGGCGGTGTTACTGTGTGAAGGGGCAGCTGTTAAGGGCAGACCATCATACTTCCTAACGCTACACAACTAAAATCGTCATTTTAGATCCAACAATTCACTGCCAATGATGACTAAAGTCGTCAATTGCATTTTTTACTGTTTGAGCATCGGAACGAGCCCCCGCGCTGAGAGAACAAACATCTCAGCCCTGAAGCCGATCTTCATCCGCATACATCACAGATCACATGATCAGGAAGCAACACATCAATGTGTTAGGAGATCGTTTTGGGCCGTTCCTGTAAAAAAAAAGTGAGGCGCGAACCGGAAAAGCATCTGCCGATCACAATTCAACAACGGATTATGAAAGAACGGATAACGCTCGAAACATGCGGCTTCTTCCTGATGTAAGAGGTGAGTCTCCTCTTTGTTTTGGTTGTTTTGGCATCGACATCATGCTAGCGCGCAACGTTCTGTGACTCTTAAAAAAACAGTAAAAACGGTGAGAAACGCTGGCAGCGAAGGCCGTTAGTGATCAGGAAACGGCTGGCAGTGAATGAGTTAAACAACTGAAATGTATATTTCTGAAATATTTGTGTCTGTAAAGTTTAAGTTAAATGTTTTGGATATGTACTGTTTTTGTTAATAAAAACAAATAAAGGAGCAATGCAATACATCACCACAGGCTAAACTCTCCCAAAGTTACCACAAGGACCAATTTGGTGTGCCACCCCAAAAATTTCTTTGGCCCCATCTGGCCACCCCTATCAAAAATTTCTGGTGGTGCCCCTGGTGAATGAATGCTTGTACTGTAAAGCAATTTTGAGTCCCGGACTTAGAAAAGCACTACACAATTGTGAAATACTATTAAAGTTATGAAACATTTCAGAGTGACGCCTAAAGTTAGTCCCATTAGTCATCACACACTGGTGAAATTCATCTCTGCATTTTACCCCGTGGGGAGCGGTGAGCTGCGCTCGGGAACTATTTAACCCCCCAATCCAACCACTTGGGGCCGAGTGTCAAGCAGGGACGCATTGGGTCCCTTTTTAAAGTCTTTGGTAATAGCCAACCAGGATTTAAACCCTGATCTCCCAGGCCCAGGGCGGACAATCTACCACTAGATCACTGAGAAAGTGATACATCCCAAGTAATTCTGAATAAATTGAACATGAAAGCCCTTTCAGGTGGAAATAAGACAAAGTCTGACTCTTCCTCAATATTTATTTATTTCAAAAAAAGTTATTTAGATCAACAAGGAAAAGGAATAAAGCTGGCCGAAGTATACGTGTGAGCAAAAAACAATAAAAAACATTATTTTCACTGATGTTTGTACTTCCATCTGTCATCATTAGGCTTCATTTCAACTGAATGAACAATGAATAACTGCCATTATGGTTTTCAATAACATGTAATAATTGTTCAAAATACTAATTCAATGAACGGTTTAGACACTTCACAACAATGCCGGTGAATTAGTCATAAAAAAATGAGCTCAAACATTTTACAGTAGGAATGTTCACAATAAAAATGTTTTATAGTGACTCAAAACCTCACCGACTGTTTTACATTTGTAAAGGAAGCAATGAAAAAGTGAACATACATTGATTACACAGTTTAGCAACAAAAAGTAATAAATATGTTCAACAATTGAAGAACCAGCTGCTTGGATGCACAATTTTTTTCCTTTCTTTGCAGAGCTATTTGGGTTACTTACAGTTGTTGGGTTATTCATTGGGTATATTTGTTGGTTAATGATGAGTTTATTTATTTTTGTTTTGCCTGTGAGAATCAGCCAGGAAGAAAAGGTGTTTTGTTTTCTATAAATATGGGGACTGGTGTTGGACCAGCATGCACTGGGGTGGGCCTATAGTTTTTTTTACCAGAGCAGGAGAAGCTGCAGGAAATGGAGATGTATATAGTACTTTCCAAGTTGGATGAAACACCAAAAATATTCAACAGTTAAGATCGTTTGGATATTGGACTTCTTTTGCCTGTGTACAAAAAATCACTTCAGTGCAGCAGTGGCTTAAGGATTTCAAACACTAAGGAAATTGGTTGGACAAACAAGGAATCGCCACCACACATACCATCCATCTGTTTAGCTTATATACACTTCTACTTTACGGAGCAGCTCGGATGCTTTGTTCAGGGCTGTGATTCCATCTTGTGATCTGAACTGTTCGTTAGGAATGCGAGGATTTGGATGGTAGTTGGGGTACTGAGTCTTTTTAGCATCCACTCCCAGTTTCTTCAGTTCCTGCACAATTTCAGGCAGGTCTCTCAGCTGAGAGTGGTAAGAGGAAACTTTAGCTGCGATGACTAAAATGGAGCTGTTGCTGAGTTGTGTACCGCTACGCTTAAGCTCTACAGCAATGAGAGCTTTTTCAACTGCTTGATGGACCTTGAAGAGACACCACTCTGTGCTTCCTTCACCCGTGTCCTTTTGAGCCGCGTGTAGATCGCAGCGAGCCTGTTTGAACCAGCGCTGAGCCTCCTCTTTTTCTGGCTTTGGAATGTTTGTGTTATGAGCCCAAAAGTTGTACGAACGGTGATTCCTGAAATGTCTTTCTCGACCACTTCTGTGATGCCTGGCCTCTTGATCCCATTGCTGGTAGAAGTTGCTGTAAGCCGAGGTTCCGCTTGAATAGGATGCACTTCCTGACTTGCTGCTGCCCTTGCCCCTGCTGAGTTCATTAACTCGATTTTGCAAATACTTGACTGCCTCCGTGGCAAGAGATTGGCAGTCAGGATTTTTGTCCGGATGCCATCTAAGATACAGTCTCCGTATGCCTTTGCGCCTTTCGTCCTCTGTAAGACTCCAGATCTGAGCCAGACATTCATCAATCTCCTTTTTAGCTTCATCTAAAGAAGAAGGTAAAGTCTTTGGTGATGTTTGGGAAGAGTGTGGCACCGCTCCTTCAACTAGAACCAGCTCCATAGATGATGAGCATGCTACATCTTCTGGTCTTGGCTTCTTTTTTCCTCGTTTGAATTGATACAAATCAAGGTGACTGGCTTTAACCTGATCATCTCCAATATCTATTGTGTATCTCTGGGAACACCTTCCAGAGAGCCCAGGAAACTCTTCCACAATGATGGCATAAATGTACTTGTTGTTAATGCTGTAGCCAACATACTCCCCCAGTTCAAAGTTGTTCAGGAAGCTCATGTCCAATGAGTCGTACCATTCCTCTGGAATTTCTGACCCATGGGGTGATGAATTGAGATCGCCACTTTCCGTTTCAGCACTGTCACGGATGTTATTCCTTGCAAGAGTTTTCTTAACATCGTCCAGATCATCACACATCAGAAGATGTCCAAGCACTGTCAAGTGTGAGGATGAAATCCTATAATTTAAAAGAGCAATAATCTCCTTTGCCAAAAACATATTAACTTCACTGAGCACTTTTGGAGCCATGTTGTCATTGTGTTTTAAGTGAAAGACACATCTTGATTCCTCTCGTTTCACATAGACATCAGTTTCCCTGGCAGTTCTGGGCAGTGGCTGTTTGCTCAGGCATAAAACTGTCGCTAGGGATTTGCAGCAGACAATTTGAATGCAGCCAAAAATCTTCTCAAACATTTTGGTTTCTTCTTGTTGGGTTAGATTTCCCTGAGACTGGTGCCTGAGGAGACAAATCAATCCATGCTTGAACGCCCTCGAAGAGAGATGTTTCTCAAACCATCCACCAAACTCACATCCATCTCCAAGTTCACAAAGCTCAATATCTGGTTCCACCAATTGCTCTTCAGTGATCTGAGACAGCATTTTGGGCTGAGATCTTTGAGGCAACAGTTGTACCAGTCGATGATGCTCATACACGTCTTTGCCCAAATGACATTTACTCAGTTTCTCGAGCAACAGGAACTTGCCCTCCAGAGCTTCTTCCAACCGTTTGACCTCAAACACCGTGTCGTTGTAATAGAGTGAATTGGATGGGTATAACTTTCCATCTACGGCCGGAAGATGCAAAGTCTGACAGTCAGCAGTGAAGACTTGGTTTCCATGAGTTTTCATCAGGCAAAACAACTGATGCACTGCTCGTCTTACAGTAAGCAACATCTTTTCATGTGGATGTTTTTTATCACATGAATCAGCATAAACAGCTGCCAGGACGTTACTGTAGTGCACTGCAGTAGCTTCTTTCTTTACACCAATTTTTTTGAAGAACTCTGCAAACATGGCATCTTTTGAAGTAATTTTGTACAAGTATGGTCGAAAATCAAGGTCAAATTCAAGTGAAAGACACACATCATCAGCTTTAAAAAGCTGTGTATCATCTTCAACCAAGACTGCAGGGAGACCTGCCAGTGATTGCCCATCAAAGTCATTGGCCTGTAGGTAGGCATAAGCGTGTCGAAACACTTCAGCACGAGCTGTGATCTGCTGTTCGTTTTTACATGGTGATTGACAGATGTTCCTCATGTTGGTGGTCACATATTGTGAGGGTGGCTGTTCATGAGCTCCTACATTTTTCATCATTTGTTTAAGCTCTTGGGTGATGTAAATTGGCAGATGTATGATTGGCATGGAGGACCAAATCAGTTGCTGATGGTTTGGATCTTTATCAATCAGAGATCCTCTGATCTGAACAGTAGTGTTCTCTGTAGCAAATGATTTATGATAGTTGCAAAGGTCTCCCCGAATCTTCACTGGAAAAATGAACTTGATGTTAGAGATGCTTCTCAGCAAATTTTCATCCTTGTTTCTGCTCACTTTACCCAAGGCTTCCTTGAAAAGGGATGTTGATTTCTTTTTCAGCTCTTCGGGTTTGCCATTTCCTCGTGCTTCTGCTTCCAGCTGTTTTGCAAAGTTAATTATATCTTCTGTTGACACGTCGTGTTTCATTCCAAGTGCTTTGACAAAGCTTCTTGCTTTATATTCTCTTTCTTCATTCCCTTTGCAGAGATTTGTCCAAAATGTCTTGGGCACAAATCGCTCTTGTGGCATCATTTTCTTGTAAAGCTCAACCGTGTCATCAAAGTAGTACGAGGCAAGCTCCAGTCTACCTTGAGAACTGCAGATCAGTTTCAGCGATTTCATTGATGCAATGATTTGGTCTTTGTGTTGGGAAAAATCCAGTAACATTAACAGCATAAGGCAGTCAAGAATCTCCTTTTCTTTGAGTGTATGTACAGCAGGCAGAATGAATTTCATGAAATACTCCAAATCGTTCATGATCTTAATGCCTAACATTTGTGAAAGAGCAAAATTTTCTGAACTGCACTTGAGGAAAATGCTGTTGGTGCTGGACAGACTGAACAAATCTGGAAATGTTCCTCTATATGTGCAGCTGAGGACATATACGCCTTTGGGTCCATTAATTGTTACTCGTTCACCCTCAGTTGTTTCAAAAATCGGTAAGGATTTTAGTTTCCACTCATAATCTTGACAATTTTGAGATTTGGACAATCCAGATTGCAGAAAGTTCTGTAATGTATTTGTTTCATCCATTGAAAGGTGACAAAACTGTGAGTGGTTGATGTTGCAGACCTCGTTCAGCACGGCGCTTTTGTCGTTCACATTCATGAGCTCGGCCTGTAGACCTGAAGTCAGTTGGGTGAGTCCACTTGAAAAGAACACGTAGTTAAACTGCATGAAACCCAGCTTAATGAGGATGTGTGACATGTCTTTATCAGACACAAATGGAATCACACTTGACATGTTTTTCATTTTTTGAAGGAAGCGTTTGTGGTCCGGACCCCTAACAGGAAGAATGCAGCAGTCACTGAAGAGCTTCCTCACATCACTTAATGTCAGACACTGGTCAGAAGCAGTAGGTGTAAATGTGATTTCATTTGAGATGAACCACCAAAAGGAATCTAACCACTTCGTCATGGTATCGTCTGGGACAAAAAGGCCACTGTCTGGGTCAACTTCACAGCTCTGAAGAAGATGCTGCATTATTGGTTTCAGGTATTCCGTTGCTCTGGGAAGTGTCATCTTCTCAACAAGGTTGACAGTTTGTAGAAGACTGATGTATTCATTGTTGATTTTATAATCGGCAAATATGTCCTCAAAGCCAATGAAAAGGTTATCATATCTGGAAATTAGCATCGGGGATTTTGAGTTAAATGAGCTCAAAACCTTTGTTTTTGTGAGAAGAAGTGGAAGTCCATCAAGCAAAGTAGAAACGTTCTTGGCTTTAACTTTCTGTGCATCAGCCAAACAAAACTTCAGGAGTTCAGAACAAGTTTGTTCATCTTTGATCAGAGTGGCAGCGACAGGCAATGGTAAATCACTGTCTGTTTGGGTTGGATCATTGAGAGGTTTTGCTTTCAGGAAAGTGCACACAGAAGTGGGACTGACATTTTTCACCTCCACACCAGCAGATCTAAAACTTCTCCAAATGTTGTAGGCAACAGAAGGAACCAATTTCATTCCAAGACTTTCCAAAATAGGCGTAACCGTTTCACTCGCTGCATCTGTCAGGTATGGTGCATTGATTGTCCCCTTTCCGCTGAGGCTACACCAGTCAAAACGATAAGCTTTAATTTCTCGACCTGCTACTTTGCTTTTTAAGCTTGTCAGAACTGGAATCACATCAAGAACTTTCTCTTCAATTGACTTGTATACTTCCCTTATCATTCCATGCCACTCTTGACCAACATCATGAGACATGATTGGCCAAAAGCAAAAGTATGAATGTTTCAAATATGACTGAATGCTCAAATAAGAAGTGGTCTTGGCTTTTAGTTGTTGTCTGATGCAATTCAAGAGATCTGCATAAAGTGGAGCAACAATGTTTTGTTTCAGATTTTTATTCCAGTTTAATTTCAGACTTTGTCCATCTTCCTTCCAAAGGCTTTTTCTAGCAGAATCAACCTCAAAGTTTCCATTAACATGTACTGGCAGCCCAGTTTTCCCAGGCAGGGGAAGTGAACAAAATGCTGTGCCTTCAAAATCCCCTTTGCTGGACTGTGATGGGTTGGGGCCATTCACGCTCAAACGTGCAGCAATTGCTGCCTGTGGAAGTTTGTCTGTTAATTGTAAGTCATTTTCTTTGAAGGAGCCAAACTGTTCTGCAATCATCCACTCGCTTTTTCGGTTGTCAGAAGTAGAAATGGTTGTTTGATAGAAAGTCTTTTGAAGAGTGACTGCTTTCTCTGATTTAAGTGCATTTTCCAAATGCTTTGCAAAATCCTGTTTTTGCTCCTTACTCCCTTGTGGCAAATGCTTTTCAACAACAAAGATAGTCTTGAGGTTTCCAGAGTTTTCGTTGATCTCATGAACTTGTACTTTGCAGATGTTTTTCAGGAACAGGATCAGTCCTTCTGGATCTTCAGATAGGGCTGAGCAAAGTTCATGCATGTCATTATCAGTGACCTCATGATGTGAGATCTTAGAGTTTTCGACACCGCTACTCCTTCTCAGAGGTAATCTGAACATGGTGCCCTCTTGAAGAGAAAATTTGTCAGGAAGGAAGGTTTTGTAGACATCCATGTACATATCCTTGAATGTTTCAGCTAGATGGTAGCCAATGCCAGCGAGAGGTTTGTCGGACTGACTCTCAATGTATTTCTTATTGGGATCAAAAATACAAAGTAGCTTATCTCCAGTAACGATGGAAGGACAGTCAGTCAGGTGGTAAACAGAGTTGAATCCAAGTCCGTATTTACCTATTTTGCCTTGTAAGTTTTGCTTTCCCCCTTCTCCAAGCTGTTGAATGCCAACAAGGTCTTCATCAGAAAACACTTTGTTGTTGAATACACAAAGAGACGGACCCTGCAGACCGTTCCACCTTTCTCCAAATGTCTTCTCTTTGTCATGCTGTCGTTTGTCCCAAACAAAATGAATTTCTGTTGCTTCAGCATCGTCAGCATTTTGAATTAGTTCTTTGAGAATGTCTTTCTTTGATGGGTAGGCTGAAAGGATGTTTTTTATTCGGACAGTTAGGTCTTCATTTTGTGCAAAATGAAAAGCATACGGGGATATCTCAGCTGTGCATTGGTCCAGAGTATGATGTTTGGTTGTTTTGATTCCAAAGTGGCAAGCCATAACGCGTGGGATATTTTCATGACATAATGCGATATCAGAAGCAACTGGCATCCATGGGCTGTCATTGTAAAAGAGCTCTTTTGCTGGTTGTAAAACTCCATGCACATTTGGTATCAGACAGTCATCGGCTGTTTTTTCTTCTGCTTCAAAAATCCCTTTGCTTAAAATTGTTAAGCAAATTGATAAATCGCTTTTAGGCAGTGGCTGCTTCCCATGCTGAGACTGAAGTTTCTGGAGCACTGTGAGAAACTGGCTGACAGAAAACTTTTCTTCGACACCTACAGTCTTCCAGAGATTCCTGAAACGAGCATAGACGGGTGGAAGAACATGGAGATAAGGTCTCGCTTCAAACTGCTCTTTCTCAGCCACACAAGTGACATTTACAAATCTGTTGCCAGTAAAGATGAATGGGAATGAATTTGCTTGCTGTGATATCAAAGTGGTATTCTCACATCCACTGACACACTGATCAAGAAACTTGTAGCACTCGAATACTATTTTGGGCAGCATTGAGGTGTCAGTTGATTGTGATTGCTTGCAGGTTTCTTGCAGCTGCTGAATAACCATCTCTGGTTCTGGATTGTTATGCACTCCCAAAAGTTCTAGGATCGGATCCGTGCTGTGTATATTCAGACCAGTGTGATCCAGCACGTGATGCGTCATGTTAACAAGCAGTGAGCACGTGTCACTGAAAACTGCTGTGGGCCTTTTAAGAGTTGCACTCCTTTCTTTTTTGATGTCGCCAGGGGAAAATGCTGGGAGAAATGCTGTGTCCCGCAATGTTGTCCATTGCACAGAGTCACTGTCTTCCTTGTGACTCTTAAGAAGTTCAAGAATGCACTTCAAACGCTCGTACACTTTCTTTTGATCAACACTCCAGACACTAGTCATTGTACCTGCTTTCTGTGTGATGTCCTCCAATGGAAGATTGTCTTTCGCCATTCCAAGTTCCAACAGGCGCTGAGTTCTTTTGGGGGACCTGAAGTCTTTTTGGGTTCCTTCAAGCAAGCATCCCTCTTCCCTATCAAAAAGACAAGCCACTCTTCCTTCTGGACTGACGAGTTTCTTGATGTACTGAAGATTTCCATTTGTTGTGGGTATGCAAGGATGGCAAATCAGAAGACTGTCAATTTCTTTGCTATTCAGGTCAATAGCATGCAGCACAAGAGTATCTCTGCTCTTGGGATCCATGATTTCAAGGTTTTTGAAAACCACTTCCTGGTAAAACCTTTCCCAGGTCCATATCCTGTTTTGTAAATCCTTTTCGAGGCCAGCCTGTTTGAAGGTATTTCTCAACCACCGTGGAAGAGGAACCACACAGTAAGATCCTTTTGCATATTTCTTGCACATTTCAGCTGCCAGTGCACTGATTTTCTTATTTTCTTCAATCTTCTCATGTAGAAATATGGCATTGTTCATTGAGCACCAATTTTCTCCATCACTGAAGAGCTCAGGGCCAGTGGAGGGGTGAGCGATGGCAGAGTAGAATGCATCCACCAAAGGCTTAAAATTATTACGTACTTTCTCCCTTTCTGGCCAAAAGGTGTGGTAAGTGTAAGCCTCCAGTTCCTTCTTTTCAGACATTTCCTTTAGTGCCAGAAGTGCGGTGACATATGCCGTTGTTGCAGGATCTTGAAGAAGAGCCATGTTCCACTCTTGTTTCACTCCACTTTCCCACAGGCATTTTCTGTTGCTCATCACAGCAAATGTTCCATTTACATTCACAGGAAGACCGGTGTGAATGGGAAGAGGTAGGAAGCAAAATGTCTGACCAACACGATCCGTTTGTAGAGGAGAGAATGTTCCAGTTTGGGGATCTTTTTTCAGGGGAATAGCAATCCCCCCAATGGGCAAACAGAATGTAACTTTCTTTTGAGGCTGAAGCGCCATTTTCAAGGACTGAGCGGTCCCAAAACAGTTGTAAATGAGCCAAGATTCTTGTTCAGTTTGACCAAACTGCTGGCTAGTGACCTCAACAATGGTGATTGTGCTGCTGTCAATTATTTCTTTGCATTTACTGTCAAGTTGCATTAGTTTTTTCACAGCTTGATGTTGCTCTGATACTCTGGTTCCATCTGCAATCAACATTGAGTTGACAGTAGCCTTTGAAACGGTCAGGGTGGTTTTTATCTCTCCATCCCTTGGTGGGGTTGATGCATCGTTTGAGATGCTTTGCAGAGACAATGAAGTGATGTTCTTGAGAAAAAGCAAATGCATTTGTGAGTTATTTGTAAAATTCTGCTGTAAGACATTGATGTCATGTTTGTGATAAACTTTAGTGCTTATTTCTGACTTTAGAGCTTCCTCTTCACTTCGAAAAGGTAGCTTGATCAGGGTGCCAGTGAAGGGATCTGGGGGACTTTTAGTGAAGTTACAGTCAAAGATGCCTTCAAAAGGTCCAAATTGACCCGGAAAGCAGTTAAAGTGTCTCTTTTGAGAGAGATCCAGCTTGATTCCGGGATTTGTGTGGTGTTGAATGTGCTTCTTAAGGTGAGTTACATTTGGATCAAGTATCAGAAGGCTGCTGCCGCTGAGGATTGAAGGAATATCTGTTATATGATAAACAGTATTGAAGCCAAGTCCAAATTTTCCAATCTTTTCCCGTTTTTGTTCTTTTGAAGCAGATCCAACTCTGACAATGTTTTTCCAGTCCTCCTCTGTAAACTGCTCATTATTAAAGGCCCAAAGACACGGTCCCTGGCAAAGGGCCATGTTTGGATCAATTAGACTTTCAGGAGGGCCTCTGTGTACTCTGAAATCCACCAAAAATTTACAAGCATCAGCTCCAGCATCTTCGGCGTTTTGAATGAGCTCTTTGAAGATATCACCCTCTTCATCGTACTCCTTAAGAATGTTTTTAATCCTCAGGGTTATTGGCTCCGATTGCCCACACTGTTCAATGCCCACTAACTCAGGAGCAAGGATGTAGTTGCTGAGAAATCGTATTTGTAAAAACTCAGCTGTTGCTATTGGGATTTCTTCATGAAGAATGTACAACTCTTCTTGACTGAACTGAAGCTCTGTCAGTTTGTTTATTCCTACATCACAAAGGAGTGCCTGTGACCTTGGGGTAAGGGTGAAATGTCCATTTTTTAGGATAACTGGCACTGGGATGTCATCGTTAACTTCCTGCTTCTCTCTCCACAACCAGTTAAGAATCTCTATTGAGACTTTGACTTCATCTGAACTGGCAACGGGTGGTTTTCTTTCATCAACATTTAACTGGATAGAATGGAGAATCCTAACAATGTCTTCATTGGTAAGGGATGTTCTCAGACCAAATGTTTGGAGCAGCTTCTTGAAAGGCAAAAATTCCATTGGTGCCTTTGCAATGTAAGAGCTCAGATCTAGATTGGCTGGATAGTTAAGAACCAGATCCTTAGGTGAAACAAAGTGGTTGTGCGCCCACAGCCAGCATGGTTCCTTGTCCATCAACTTTCCAAATGAAGAGAGGTTTTCTTGCATGTGTCTGTAAATACTGTGCAACTTTATTTTGAAATCCATGTTTGTGTCAGGATCATGCATTTTCCGTGCTTTTAATTTCAGCACTGACAAGTTCTCAATGACTTTTTCAGGTGAAGGCGGACGTTTGAAACCAAGCTTGTAGCTCACTTTGTCACCAAGGTTCCCCATTAGAGGCATTACATGTCCAACTATAGCATCATATTGAGTGTGTCTTATTTCATCTGGGGTATAGAAACACATTTCCTTTAAGTCATTGCTGGTCTGTTTGTTGTTTGCACCAGGCTGAGCACATGGGACCCATTTTACCATCTTAAGGTGATGAAGCTGTTCATTAGAAAACTTGGACAGAAGATCATTGGCATCAAGCATTTTTAAGAGGACCTGAGCTTTATTCACAGCATCACTTTTGGAGTTGACCTGTAGTTTTTCGACAAGTGTGGTGGCACGCAACAAATGCCCGGGTTCCAAATCTGACTCTTTGTTTAGTAATCCAAGATCTGTCAGGCTTTCCAACATTTGTGCTGTTTCAGTGTACACAGGTGGTGGAAAGAAGTCTGAATCAAAGATTTGCTTAAAGCTTTTAACTCTTGGATCTAAACACCCTGAAGTCTTTCTCAGTTCTCCGTTGACTTTTATGAATCTCAGTTCCTGGCATCTACGTTTAAGGGACTGATTTTGAGAGAAGAGGATGTTGCCATTCTGTAAAATCCAAGTCATTATTTTCTCAGTTTCTCCATCGCTGCAGTGGCCTTTTTCGATTTTTTCAACAAGGACAATACCTGCTTCAGCTGGGCACAAAAAAGTCAATTTAAGCAGCTTCAACAATCTGCGATCAGCCTCAGTTACACACTGGATTATTGAATCAGGCATAGGCAGCTCTCTGGGTACCACCGGTCCAGATGTCTGAACCAAAGCCTGTTTAGACTGAGCCGTGACGTAGGATCCTTTCATTGTCTGAAACAGGGGCAGCGTCAAGAGTAAATCTCTTTCTCCATCTGAGAAAGAATTCAGTTTGGACAAATAGTTCTTTAGTTCTTCTCGTGCTGTCTGAGACTCAGATTGTATGGCCCTGATGAGACGCTGAATGTCTAAATTCATAAACAGATTTATTATACTTCTTGGGGATGGGCTCAGGACATACGTTTCAAGGTCTGAATGCCTGAGCCACTCATTTCCTCTCAACACTGTGCCACCAACGTTGGAAACCAGCTGAGCTAGTTGTTTTGGCAAACTATTCTGCTTACTTTTCTGAGAAATGAGGGTTGTGTTCTGCTTTAGCTTTGCCAGTGTGACCGGTTCACCGACTGACAGGGGACTGACTGGTATCAGAGGTAATTCAGTCAAACAACTTAACTCTTTGAAGTGTGTGTTGAGAAACTTCCAGAATTCTTGGATCCATTCTAATGGTGGATGGGAGGCGTTGTCGGTGTTCCACGTAACAAGAGCGGTCCCATTCTGCTTCCATTCCTGAGGCACAAATCTTCTTGTATACTGAACCACATGGTCAGCATTAATGTTGGTGACTTTGAATAACTCTGAAAAGCAGATTTGTAAAATAAAACCATGTTAATATTTTATAGTGCCACTGCACATTAAAAATCAAGTCACCCCCACCCATATTTCCTGTTTGAAAAATGCACCACAAGGAGGTTTTGCCTGGAAGACAGAGTTGCAGCTTCAGCAGTGAGTGACAGACTGCTACCCCCCCCCCCCTCCTGCTGGGAGGCTCTCGGTCGGAGAACAAACTCACTAACACACACACCTATCTCCAGCGGTCAATAGGCAAACAGGCGGGGTAGACCCTGGACAGGTTGCCAGTCCAACGCAGGGCAACACACACACACACACACACACACACACACACACACACACACACACACACACACACTCCTAAGGATAATTTAGACATACCAATTACCGACCAATTAACCTGACAGTTATGTTTTTGGACTGTGGGAGGAAGCTGGAGTACCCGGAGGGATCCCACGCATGCACAGGGAGAACATGCAAACTCCATGCAGAGAGGCCCCAGGCGAGGATGTAAACCCAGGAGCTTCTTGCTGCAAGGCAACAATGGTAACCACTGCACCACTGTGCAGCCCGAAGGCACACTAATGACCATTTTAGGCAGAATTTTTAAGTTTGAAATAAGATGCACTAAAATGCCAAAATAATGACAACACTTGTCTACAGTACACAATCTGCCACTCATTTATACAGTTTATGAGGGATGACTTGCCCTTTATACATAAGATTAAGAAAACATACGTTGTTTGGCCAGTTCTTTCAGGTGGGTTGTGCAAGTCGAACCAAGATCATGTGGGATGAAGAGGTGTTTGCAGTATGGGAGCAGGGTTCTGGGAAAACAAAACAAAAGTATTGTCAATATAGTAACAAATAAAATCTAATTTCTTAGTTACACTAGGAAAAATAAATGAATAAACCTACAAATTCCAATCAAGCTGAAATATAATAGTTTTACCAGCTGACCGTTTATGAAATAATCTTTAAAGACCCATTTCACTCTTTTTTTTCTACCCATTTGCAGTAGTCTCAAAAGCAAATTAATGTCTTTGGACTCTGTGGGGAAAAAAGCTCTCATGCTCCATTATCAAGAGGCTGGAGTTAGCTAAAACAGAGGGAAGCAGAAGACAGAAAGTTTAGGAGTCTTATTTCCTGATATTAGGAAATGTCGCCTCTGATTGGCTAACTGCAATGCAATTCTAACACGGACTCTGTTTTGCAATGTTGAATTTTTATCCCCACAAATAACACAAGCCTAAAGGAGTTGCTAATGCTAGTTGCTAGCTTCTACTAGCCGAGATGCACTCCGCTTTCTCCTGGGTGCTAAATCAACAACAGCCTCCTCCCATCGCAAGCCAAGATGGGTGAGTCCATGAATGCTAATTTACAGTGTGACTTAGATCTGACAGACTAGCCAACGATTTGCCCGTTTATTTTCCATCAGCATCTAATGCTGGAAGTGGGGTAGAAGACTATTTTTGCATTCAGCCTGTATGTTAAACTCAGAGTGACCCAACATTTTTCAAATACAAGTAAAAATGATTTCTCAGTGAATTTGGTCTTTAAAATAAATACAAAAAAAACAACAACTTTGAGTTAAAGGTTGAATATGAAACACAGCCACTCTGGTGACATCTGGTGTTTAGAGGTGGTAGTGCAACAACAGCACATGTTTTCCAGCTGTCTGGGTGTTCGTTCACCGCTGACACGTGAAGTGACCAGCCAGCACCATGTCCAGTGACAAATTGTACAGGGTAAGGACTCATTTCTACTAAGAAGTTTATTTTACAACAGTATTTACTGTTAAAACATCTTCTGGGCTCAGAATCAGCTGCTTAACTTGTCAAGTCCACCATTTTACACAGTCCCAGCCTCGCCTTGCCAAGTGGACTTTTTAGTGCAACAGTGGCCTCTAGTGGCTGGTAGATGTAAACATAACCCCAGTGTCATGCTAGACAAAATTTAAATTAGATTTTTTTATTTATTAATATGGCTTTTAAAGGAAAAAAACTGTACATTCATTCTGCACACCTCTAAACGCCCTGTGGATGTATTATTTGTTTCACAATATAGCTTTTTGATTAAAATTTTCCATATTCCACCTTTAACCAACATACATAGAGAAAATAACATTGTCTTGCCACCCTTATTGTCTAAATAACACACACAGAACTGAGGTAACTTACAAAACAACACATTCTAACACCCTAAACGTCGAAAAATGACGTGGTGTGACCAAGCGTTTGTTTCCGATGCGTTGGGAGCTCCTGCATGTCGGGAGGCGACGCGCTGTGCTAGAGCGTCTGTATCTGACGCCCGTAGTAAAACGGACATTTCACCGAATTGTGACCTTTCCCCTCTTGCTATTTAACCTTCCCCTCACCCCCACCCTAACCTTAACCAACTTACGCATGCAAAGCTTTGTTCCGCCTTTCATCTTTCCTCTCAAACACGCTTAACGGAAAATTTAGACTGACATACTAGGTTAAGGTTAGGAAGGGGTGCGGGGAAGGTTAAATCACTTGAGGTTAGAGGTGAAATGTCGGTGAAATGTCCGTTTTACCGCGGGCATCAGATACCGATGCTCTGGCACAGCGCGTCGCCTCCCGACGTGCAGGGGCTCCCTACGCATTGGAAACAAATGCTTGGTCACACTGCGTCATTTTTCGACACTTAGGGTGTGAGAACATGTTGTACAAAAAGGTATGCATAGATAACTTTGAGGAGTCTTGATATGCAGATACAATTTAATGTGAATAGGAAAGTGTTCAATGTGTGGTTTGAATCAATTCCCAAAATGTTTCCTACCTTGGAAAATGTTTACTGCTAATCAAAGCTGTATCCTCATCTCTGTTTGTGAAAGATCTGAAAGAGCCATCGCTGAGTGGGAGAAGTTGAAGACCATTCAGTTCTTTGTACTGTCCATCACTCAATATGTACTCCAAAAGACAAAGTTTGTCTTCTCTAGAGAGGTTATGCACACCAGTTCTGTGGAGAACTTTCCTGATGTAGCTTGGAGTCACTTGTTTAAGAGTAGTTTGTGGAAAGGCCTTAATGGCTCTAACAACACTGGCTTGTAACGTGACAAGGTTCTCTCCACAAGAAACCAAAGTTCTTTCAATGGCAGCCAGCACGCTGGTATTTGTCGGGCCGTTGCAGGGTAGCACAGCCTCTGACAGACAAATGAACTTCTTTTCATCTTTAGCAAGAGAGAGGACTGGTAGATTCTGCTTGAACAAGTGATGAAAAACTTCCATAGCGACAGTGTGCCATTTCTCTTTGTGCTGCAGGCGATCGAGATCGGGCCACAGGCTGTACACAGACGAGACGGGGAGGACGTGTTGTTGGCAAAGTTTGATGGCATCTTGAATGATCATTACATATGCTTTAGGGAGCACCTCCTTCATCAGCAATTCATTCCACAACGCATGTTCGTCATGTTTCTGGTCTTCTTCCTGCCACTTGATGTGTCTTCTGTTGTCAGTCAGGCCAAAGCAGGCGTTGACATGAACTGGGAGACCAGTGTTATTGGACTCATTGTTTGGGAGAGGGAGAAAGCAGCTCAGTCGACCCCCGCTATAGTCTTTCTCCTCACCCAGGGGGAATGCCAAGTCAACTCGAGGTAAAAAACTCAACTTTTTGGCAAGAACATCAAGATTTTTTTCATGACCCTCCTTCATGGTGCAGGTTGTGACAAGCCATTTGGTTTCATTGTGGTCTTCTGAGTTGTGGGTTATCAGCTTGAATCTCGTCAACCCCTCAATCACTGACTTTTTCTTTTCTGGCAAGGCGGCCTCTGTGTGGACTGAAGATTTAATTTCAAGTCTGACGGTAAGAGTGCCGTCAACATCAATGTGTATCAAAGACAACGAGCTTACACTTTTCAAGAAGAGGAGACTTAAGCTCGCATCTGCAATGAAGCTATCAAAAAGCTCAACCACCTTATCGGAATTGTACAGATTATCTGAAATACCAGATTTCTCGTTGCGTAAGGGGAATCTGAAAATTGTCCCAGGAAAGTATTGATCCTCTATGATCTTCGACCATTTCTGTTTGCCTACAACTGAAACGATGTCTCGAAAAGGTTTGAACTGATCTTGAGTTTTCATCAGAGCTTCTTGGTGTTCAGCGTCATCCAGAGACCACAGGAAGCCTCCATTTCTGTCCCCGAATATTTTTTCTTGGGGGTCCAACAGTCCAAGGTGTTCTGAGCTGAATATACTTGGCACATCTGTTAAAAATAAATTATATTCGTCATCATTAAAAACACTCTTGAACTCAGACTAGTAATGGAAGCATTGTAACAATAAGATAAAAACAGTTTTACCTGTTATGTGGTAAACAGAGTTGAATCCAATTCCAAATCTCCCAATTTTGTTTGGGTCATTGAGCTTGCCGCTCCTTCCTGCCTTCTGGATTCTTTCCCAGTCTTCAGCAGTAAACACTGCATCATTGTAGGCGTAGAGAGCCGGACCTTTAACAGAAATTTGATATAAAAATGCCAATCTTATCATTTATTGGTGTCATTTCCTTATAATTGCCTAATTTCGAATCCTAGCTTTAGTTGGGCAAGATAAAAAATATTAATGTAAGATCCTCTCTGATGAAACATTGCTGGTGTTTAAGAAAATCAAAACTTGAAACTCTAATTTAAAACATATTTACCTTGGTATTTTCCCAGCTCATCAGTCCATAGAGACTCAGTCCCATAGCTCCTTTCATCATGAATGAAAACCACTTCTGTAGCTTGAGCATCATCTGCATTTTGAATTAGCTCCTGTTGATAAATAAGTCATAAAATAAGACGTCACAACAAATCAGCACAGATATACTGTTCAAACCAGAACAGATTAGAAACCAAATAGGTGATGCTTTGAGTTGCTGAGGGGGAAAAAGTTATGAATGTTTCGTGGGTTTATTCCTAAAATAATTGGAAGAAAGTGGACAAGGAAAAAAATTAAATAAAAAAAGATGTAACAGGCCAGCAAAGGCATCTAATGCAAATAAAAGGGACCTCATCTATGACCTTTGACATAACACCTAAGGAATTATGCCAAACGTTTGGACTATATGCTTGGTTTTATTCCATCACAGGGAAAAAGTATTACAGAAAGCAACCAAACAAGATATAAACCTTCAAAATCTGTCCGCCATCGGGATATCGACGCAGAATATCCTTCAGGTAGTCGATGAATGGTGGAGCTGTGGCTCCGAAGACAGTCCTGGACAAAATGAGAAAGAAAAATAAAATCTAAAACTAACCCAACTGGAGTTTGAGTGTGTCGTACAAAATATATTCCAGGCAACAATTTATTGATTGAGCTGAATCTGGTTAGTGAAAAGTTAAAACTGCCTGAAGTAAGAAGGACATCTAGTGGTCAAATGTGGGTACTGCACCAATTTTAAACGAACTTGTTCACTCCCGTTGCAGAAGATTCTAGATGACGAGCGGAGACGATTCATGCACAGTATGTTAAGTAGACAAGTACAGTTCACTGTAATATTGAGTTATTGGTCATTTAAAAAGTACTGTGAGATATTTTCAGATAGGGTGACCATATTTCCATTTCCAAAAAAAGAGGACAGGGGATCTGTGCCTATGACATCACACCATGGCAACGCCACACAAACCACGTTCGGACCTACTTTTTTGTAAGAAGGTTCTGTTTTGCCTTGGCCCCCAAAATGCCTTGAAATGGCCCTGGGTGTGTGTGATTGAGTTTTGAAGGTGATCTGAATTGTATCAGATGTATAAATATTGCATGTGTATAACTTAGTTTTATAAATATGTAGTGGAGATAAATCTACCTACATTTTACTTTTCAACACTTTGTTTTGTTTTCTTGTTTTTATTGAACTATTTTCCTGTCCTGTCTGTCTCTCATCTTCCTGCATCTCCTCTAAACTCTCCAGAAAATCTGCTGCCTGGATTCTTACTTTTTCACCTCATCTGTTACATTTGAGCAGATCAAAGGGATCTCCTGATCGCAAAGCGGAGAGCGCGTTTCGATGCTGCGTCGGTGAGGTGAAATCACCGCAGCACAGGTGATGAGCTCCACAGTAGCAGAGTGCTTCAGGCACAGATAAGACAGAAAGTAGAGAACATGTGCGGACATGAACGATCGTGTGTTAATTATAGTTTTTTTGGTTGCGCCACTTTGAGAATGGACCGAGCGCTGCGCACCAACGATCAGCACTCTGCCGCTCTCTGTGCTCTCCGCTCAAAAGAACCCCTGGTAGCTGAGAGTCCATAAATGATGTGATATAGGTAGAAACGTTTTTTCCGGCTCTCCCTGGATGTGTAGGATATCCAGCTCCCCCATAATTCGATCCCTGCTCCTGGATGAAAAACCGGACATTTTCATCAATACAAGAACCCCCCTCGGATGCCCCGGACAGAGAGTGAAAAGTGGACATGTCCAGGGAAAAGAGGACGTATGGTCACCCTATTTTTAGGGCAGCTTTTTGCTTCCAATTCACTGTTAGCATTGTTAGCTCAACATTAGCCTTTAGCCTTCTTTAATCAATATTAGAGTGAAACAAAAAGATGCTGTGGCTTTTTAGGGAGTACAAGAAAAAACTTTTGGGTGACTACTTTTACTTGCTAACACACCATGCACAGTAGTATTTATTACATTTGTGTTGGCATTCGTTTACGAACCAGAGTGGACAGGCAGGGAGTAAAGAGACATACACCACAAGCAAGGAAAGAGAGTGAGGGGGGAACAGAGAGACAGCAGTACACAACAAATAAACAACCAGTACAAGACAATGGCATCAACATGATATATATAAAAAAAGAAGAAAATGAATAGAAATCTACAAGAATAATGGAATGGGAACTGTTAGATGGCATTGTCCATATTTATAGTAGCATGTACCTCTGTGTGTGTGTATAATATGTGTGTTTGTGTGATTACCTATGTGTGCCAGTCTAAGTTGGGTGTCTGAAAGTGAATTTGTCACTTTTCATTGGTTGAGTTTGGTTTTTCTCCCAGCTCCAGTCACACACAGCAGCTTCCCATCATCACCTATTCTCTTTGTGATCAACTCCCACAGCACACTGTCCCGTTTTTATTCAATCCTTATGCATTTCTGTTTGCCTCTTTTCTTGGCTTTCTTTTGTTTATTATACTCTTAGTTTACCCACCAAATTTCTAGATCAGTGGTGCCCAATCCCGGTCCTTGAGGGCGGGTAGCATGTTTTAGTTTTTTTCTTCTGCTCAAACACACTTGACACACTTCAGTGGTTGAATCACCTGTTAAGCAGCTCCAGAAGCCTGTTAATCACCTGCTGATACAAATCAGGCGAGCTGAAGCATGAAAACAACTACAGCATGTTGCAAACTGGCCCTCCACATGTAGGATTGGGCACCCCGTCCAGATTATTCACCTGCACCTTGGGTCCAACGTACAGTCAGGTCCATAAATATTGGGACATCGACACAATGCTAACATTTTTGGCTCTATACAGCACCACAATGGACATCAAATGAAACGAACGAGATGCGCTTTAACTGCAGAATGTCAGCTTTTATTTGAGGGTATTTACATCCAAATCAGGTGAACGGTGTAGGAATTACAACAGTTTGCATATGTGCCTCCTACTTGTTAAGGGACCAAAAGTAATGGGACAATTGGCTTCTCAGCTGTTCCATGAACAGGTGTGTGTTATTCCCTCATTATCCCAGTTACAATGAGCAGATAAAAGGTCCAGAGTTCATTTCAAGTGTGCTGCTTGCATTTGGAATCTGTTGCTGTCAACTGTCAAGATGAGATCCAAAGAGCTGTCACTATCAGTGAAGCAAGCCACCATTAGGCTGAAAAAAAACAAAAGAAACCTATCAGAGAGACTGCAAAAACATTAGGCATGGCCAAAACAACAGTTTGGAACATTCCCAAAAAGAAGGAAACACCCTTCACAACAGTTGGCCAGATCAAGAACACTCTCCAGGAGGTAGGTGTATCAGTGTCAAAGTCAACAATCAAGAGAAGACTCCACCAGCGTGAATACAGAGGGTTCACCACAAGATGTAAACCATTGGTGAGTCCCAAAAACAGGAAGGCCAGATTAGAGTTTGCCAAACAACATCTAAAAAAGCCTTCACAGTTCTGGAACAACATCTTATGGACAGATGAGACCAAGATCAACTTGTACCAGAGTGATGGGAAGAGAAGAGCATGGAGGCGGAAAGGAACTGCTCATGATCCTAAGCATACCACCTCATCAGTGAAGCATGGTGCTGGAAGTGTCATGGCGTGGGCATGTATGGCTGCCAGTGGAACTGGCTCTCTTGTATTTACTGATGATGTGACTGCTGACTAAAGCAGCACAATGAATTCTGAAGTGTTTCGGGCAATATTATCTGCTCATATTCAGCCAAAAGCCTCAGAACTCATTGGACTGCGCTTCACAGTGCAGATGGACAATGACCCAAAGCATACTGCAAAAGCAACCAAAGTTTTTTTGAAGGGAAAGAAGTAAGACTGTTTTGCAATGGCCAAGTCAGTCACCTGACCTGAATCCGACTGAGCATGCATTTCACTTGCTGAAGACAAAACTGAAGGGAAAATGCCCCAGGAACAAGCAGGAACTGAAGACTGTTGCAGTAGAGGCCTGGCAGACCATCACCGGGGATGAAACCCAACGTCTGGTGATGTCTATGTGTTCCAGACTTCAGGCTGTTATTGACTGCAAAGGATTTGCAACCAAGTATTGAAATGTATAAGTTTGATTTATGGTTCTTATTCTGTCCCATTACTTTTGGTCCCTTAACAAGTGGGAGGCACTAATGCAAACCGTTGTAATTCCTACACCGTTCACCTGATTTGGATGTAAATACCCTCAAATAAAAGCTGACAGTCTGCAGTTAAAGCACATCTTGTTCGTTTCATTTGATATCCATTGTGGTGCTGTATAGAGCCAAAAATGTTAGCATTGTGTCGATGTCCCAATATTTATGGACCTGACTGTAAACTGAAATGTGACTGGAGAGTTATTTGATGCTTAAAAGGGGAGGAACTATGATGCAGTACATTTATTCTCCATTGTTTAAGATGTTGAACAATGAGAAGTGACATCACAGTGTGTTACAGCTCTCTGAACGTCACTTTTAAAAGCCAAATACTGTATGAATTTATGCATTCTTGCAAGAAATAAAATGCAACATGTCTAAACTCACCGAGCTTTCTTCATGGTTTTCCCGCTCATCCTTCCTAGGCTGGTTTCTGTAACATACCCAGGGTTATGCAATTTATAATCCCATATTAACTCTTTGTGTTGCACTAAACATTCAAAGTGGTTTCAGACAACAATCAACTTGTTACAAGATCTTTACCATGAAACTCATGTTTTCAACTTCTTTCTGGGTTTACATTGGCAGTGGTGTTAAATTATGGGCCCTGGGGGCCACTATCCTGTGTAATGTACCAAAAGGGCCAATTTTCACCTATATATTGATCAACATAATAACCTTTCATCTATAACATAAATCCACTTTCTGTTTTGCCTTCTAAATCCAGAAGGTTCTGTTCAGCGCATGTTTACATTCCGTGTAGACAAAACATTCAAACAAACATTCTCACCCAAGGTTCTTGCACTCACTGTGTGAACGCCAGACACGCTGACGTCGTTAGGTCCGTCTTAGGGGGGCTTCAGCCCCCCTAAAATAATCACAAGCCCCCCTATCATTTTGAGTTTTTTTTAGGGCCGGGACTTTAACACGTTAATTATGATTAATTAGAAAAAAACGACACGTTAAAAAAAATTAACGCATTTAATCGCAGCTTGCATTTCGAGCACGGCGGAACCTTTGTCATTGCATGATTTCCTAGTAGACAGAATATCACTGACGCACACAACAATACACAGTGCTAATGGCTACTAAAACTGAATAAAAACGGAAAGAAGTTGCCTTGCTTGGGCTAATGCAGGATTTAGGAAACACGTCCGCCTCTTTTCTTAACTTGAAAAAACAAAAAAACTTCCAGACAACAACGGAGTCCGTGTCGCGGACATTTTTCAGAGATTGTCTCTGCCGCGGCTGCCCGCCCGGTGGCACCGGAAAATTTACAAAAGTTGCGGTAAGCTATATTTTTAACATTTACGTAACATCTGTGCAGCGCTGAAAGCACCAGACAGAATAATTCTGTGCCCTAACAGTAGTTTATGAAAGTAGTCAGACAAACGAGAGGCACCTGGCTGCCGCTGGGAGAACGCTCCGTGTTCTCACTACTCTGTAAACAATCACAAACAACGTGTCTTAAAGTTGAAAACAGAAGTTTTAGTTAAAACAGAAACACTCTGAAACTTTTCTGATGATTTTCTAAACAATTCTGTCGGGGTATTATGCTTCTGAGACGAGTCTCTGTCTAAACATCACATGCATTACTATCATTAAGCAGCGAGGTGTGTTGAAGCTGTCATCAGCTAAGGGGCGGATGCTTAAGTGCATCAGGGGAAGAGAGGAACGAGGAAGTTGTGATCAGGCTGGAGATCACACCAGATTCGCTGCTGCAGGTGTGAATCTGCGGGTCTGCAGCATCCTCTTCTTAACGTGACAGCAGAACTCTGCTGTTGAATTTCTGCCTCTGAATGAAAAGGGAACTTACCTCAGGCGAATGACACGCCTTTATTTGACCCTTAACCAATCAGAGTGAGTCATAGTAATATATTAGTGCCCCGCTTGTTTTCACCTGTGTGTGAATAAACATGGCTTCGGCCGCGGCTGAGAGCGGCAACGAGGTTTTCGTTCCGAAGAGGAACGCCTCGTCCATTATATGGAACTGGTCTGGTTTTTCACCAGATGACAAAGAGCATCGAAACGTCATTTGCAAGGAGAGCGTCAAGGCAAGTGATGGCAACACCACAAACTTGTTTAATCACTTGAAAAGAAGGCATCCCAAACAGTACAATGAGAGCCAGCTGGCAGCTAAAGCTAAAAAGCCTGCGGCTACAGCGGCAGCGGCTAGTGCTTCTTCCAGGCAGCAAACGCTAACAGAAACACACAAAAACTCACTCCCTACGACAGAGACAGCAGACGATGGAACAGCGTGACAGATGCAGTGACGTACCACTTGGTTAAAGATTTGTGTCCCGTGCGAACAGTAGGAGTGGGATTTAAGAACATGATAAAAACATTGGATCCGCGCTACGAGTTTTCCAGCCGCAAGTATTTTTTGAACATCGCCATTCCACCCATGTACGCTGAATGCAAAGTGAGAGTTGCAGAAAATATTCAGAATGCACAGTTTTTTGCTACCACAAGCGATCTCTAGTCCAGCCGCACATCAGAGCCGTATTTGAGCTTAACTATCCACTACATGAGCAACTGGGGGCTACATAGTATTTTGAACAAGTTAATGTTTGCACAATACGTTTGCAATTGACATGTTTGCACTTTAAATATGTTTACAATTTTAATTTATGTTAAGTTACTTGAAAAACGAGAAAAACTGATTTTGTTTCTCTCAGGGCTTTTATCATCTCTGGTGTGAGTTTAAAATATTAGTGTGTTAGCACTGTGTTGATTATCCCTAATATGAATAAATGTTTATTTATTCATTGTTTCTCTTCTTTAATACGCAATTGAAGTTATGCTATTCATGGATTAAAAATCGTGATAAAATCAAAATCGTGATAAAATATTGGAAAAATCATGATATTCTATTTTTGCCATATCGCCCAGCCCTACGTAGCGACAATGTAAAAAATAAATAAAAAGCCGTGAAAAGAGGCAGATGCCGATGCGTTACGTATGGAAGTCAAAGTGTGCCACATAATCACAAAAAAAGTAAAATATAAAATTTTAAATGAGATTTATATATTTATATATAATTAAAAACATTCCAAATATAATGAAAATTTCTAAATAACGTAAAAATACGAAGGAACATCTGTTAGTCAGGCTGAAAAGTTTGGGAACCACTGCTCTAAGTTGTAAGTGAATATCGTTTTAAAATATATTTTATGTGCAGTTTTTTAGGGCTTTTATGTTTTCTGTAAAGATTGGTGTGTTGAAAATCATTTAATGTTTTGCATAAAGCATGATGTTTTGGTTAGTAATTGATTGGAAGAATAACAAATGACTGAATTAAATAGTGGGGCGCCTCTGTCAGTGCGCCCCAGGGCAGCTGTGGTTACATCGTAGCTTATCACCATCAGCATAGGCGTCATTTTAACCGGGGACGCCGGGGACATGTCCCCGGCAAAAATTGTGATTGGCAGCTGTGTCCCCCCCACTTTAAAAAAGCCTGCTGATGAGGATTTTTGTTTTACCAGCTCAGATCTTATACCAGGGGTCGGCAACCTGTTCCCATCAAAGAGCCATTATTACCCGTTTCCCACAGTAAAGAAAACACCGCAGCAGCCGCAGCGTTGTGGGCGGGGCCTACCCTCAGACAGCAGAGAGCTGCTCACAACCAGGTGACAGCAGCAGGTACCGGTCGCTCGCATGGGCGTCGCACCCGTGGGGGATTCAACACCCACACCTTTCCAGCTGTTTTGCTCACCTCCACGCCAGTCTGGTTTCTTTATGTCGCACTCACTCTGTTTGCCTCATCTCCTTCTTCCCCTCCGCTTCTGACAGCCAATGTCGGGTTTCCAGGAGAGCAGGAGAGGGAGGGACGGAAGAGCTCGACTGAATTCATAATTTTACATCTTGACATTAGCTGTACAAAGTCTTGAGTTTGATAACGTGAAGAACAACAATTAGCAGAGGTTTATAACAGGCGCGGCGCCAGGTTTTCATTTTTGGGTGGGCCACGGTAATTCTGGACGGACCTTAATAAGCAGTGACTTAGTGAAGCAGGCAGGTCGCGCTAGAAAATTTAGTTTAAAAAGACGTCATAAATGTTTTCCCCCGTCATTTTAATTTCTAAAATATGAAGTAAAAACTCCCAATTTAATTTTTATTCATTTGTCATTAATATGTAGTCTACACCCGTGCGTTAAGTGGACCATCTTCCAGTAAAAGCAAAGCATCCAGCCCATCTCTCCAAATGCGTAAAATGTGCACCACAGCCGTTAGGCGCACCGTCAGCTGTCAGCCCAGAGAAGAGCAGAGCAAATAGAATAGAGGATCATTCTGTCTGGATGTGGATGGAGATTACATTTTACAGCAGCCTGATCATCATTTAAATAAAACCATCACCTGTCTTCTAGTCCATGCTATCAGCATTATTTTAATTGGTGTGTGTGTGTGTGTGTGTGTGTTTTCCACTTCAAACACTGGTCTAACCAACCAGACCAGCATGTCCAGTAACATATTAATGTTACAATTAAACAGTTTCACTTCATGTATATAGGCTAGGAACGTTTCACCTGCCGTGGCCCGACCGCTTTTGATCCACATAAACTTTGTGCGTGATCAATTCAAATGTTTCTACAGGTGCTCTCTGAGCTGAAGAGGCTGTTCTGCCTCAGACTGGATGCGTCATGCGTCTCCATATTAGAGACGGGAACAAGCGCTGTTCAGCCAAAGTTTAATAATTTCATAAAAAGAACATTTTTCCAAGCTCATCATGCGCATCAGTGTGCGTCGGGGTAATTCTTTCAAAACAGCCAGCATCCTTGAGTTTATCCATCAAAATACAGTCAAATGGAAATATCTGTAACCTGCCATTTAACTGTTTTGCCTTCTTGTGAAGATTGTTGCAAAGAGAAACAACTAAACTTGATTAACCCCAGAGCCACGCGCACTGCGCTGTACTTCTGACTGTAAATGAGGGGAAACGATTTAATCGGATCCTTTTCTTTTCAACATGGTTTAATGTTAAGTTTCATTCAGTACAAACTTTAGTTACACCAATCTAACGAGACAGAGCCTGGATTTGTATTCTGAACAGTTTAAACATGTTTAAAACGGAGACATGCGTGACGCGTCTAAAATTCGCACCTGCTCCGCTATTATGGAAATTAAACTAACAAGGTGAATAACATCAAATTATTTTAGGCACAGACAACATCTCCCACACTTTTGAAAATCTTGCAACGCGCCTGGTCGCTCGTGTACGTCAAAGTTATCTTTCATAAGAAGATAATCATAAAACGATTTATATAAAGATGATCCAGAAGTTGTAGCCCGTCTCTGCCTATACAATATTTTGATATTTTTCACCCTGTTGGTGGTTTTACTGAGCAGGTGCCACTTTTGTCATACGTTTCTTTTAAAAACATGTTTAGACTGTTCAGAATACAAATCCAGGCTCTCAGAACCAGAGCGCATGCGGGAAGGTTCCTCCCACTGAAGCGAGAGTTTTCCAAACCCGGTCTCTCAGAGAGACTTGTCACTTAGAAAATGTTCCCTGATTATGAAACTTTGGCTGAATAGTGCTTGTTCCTGTCTCCAATGTGGCGACGCATCCAGGAGCCGTCTGAGGAGAAGTCCAGAATCTCACATCCTCCAGCTCAGGAAGCGCCTATGATTACGCACAAGCGTGACGCGTCAACCCGGTCTCACAGTAAGACCGGGTTGACCTGTTCAGGTTTACGCAGACAATCTTTACATTTAGAATTAGCTTACAGATGTAAAATTAATGCAGTAAAATATAAAGCTTTTTATTTAAATATTCATTCATTATTTTATAAGCACAGAGAGCCGCATCAGATGGATGGAAGAGCCGCATGCGGTTCCAGAGCCGCCGACCCCTGTGCTAGCCTACTTTATTGTCCCCAGCAATTTTTAAACCCCACTCAAGTGTATGGTTATTGTCCCCAGCAATTCTGAAAACAAACTGACGCCCTTGACCATCAGTGTGTGAATGTGTGTGAATGGATGAATGATACACTGTAGTGTAAAGTGCTTTAGAGTCCTTACTCTGAGAGGTGCTATACAAGTGCGTATCATTTATCATTTATAGTGTTGATCAGGCAGAGCTTTGTTGCCAGCGTTCCACTGCATAATGGCTTCAAACACGTATATAAAAGTGTTAGTTTTTACGTAAACCATTGGATGAAATTACACAGACTGACTGAGCTCTAGTTACGGCGCTTGCAATAGTTTGTGTATGTGTATGTGTGTGTGTGTGTGTGTGTGTGTGTGTATGTGTATGTACGTGCGTGTATGTGTGTGTGTTTGGGGGAGGGTACATTGGAACTTTGTCCCCCCCAGTTTGAAAATCCTATCTGCGCCCCTGGGTCACACAATTTGTTAGTGGCTATCACATAATGTGACCATCTGCATCTCAGTAATAATGCAGATGTCTTTAATTTTCACTAAAGATAATAACAACAAAAGGCGTTTCGTGATGTTTGTGTCATTTTATTTCCCTTTTATCTCCACCAGTACATATGAGTGGCATTGGAGTGACAGAAAAAAAACATAGCAACCAGATAATCTGCAGTGGTTTCTAATAAAGTTAGGATGTAGATCACAACAATTTATTTCAATAAATGGAAGTTCTGAACATTTAACCCCCGGACCTCGCATGATGTAAAATCAATGTTTAACGTTAGCAAACATTTCTTGTCAAAGCCCTGGTTATCGCTGCATTTGTTGTCCCATTTGTTTGCAATAAACATTAACAATCCCTCTTTTTAATATCCATGGTTCGCACCGCACAACTTCCTCAAAGCTTACGTAGTTTACGGTTTTAACTTAGCATCTTCTTCTTTTATGCCAATTCAGGATGTACAGATGCAACAAAACTTAACACTGCCCCCTGGGGTCACAAATTGTGATGGGTCGCAGAATTTGGTGCATCAGTTGTGTTCCTCCTGAAAAGGTTTTGTTTTTGACCAGAAATATGATTAAATAATCGACGTTTTGACTAGTTTTATTTGAACATGTTTGACTACTGTCTTAGTGAGTTTTTTATATCATTTTTCTGCTTGCTTAAACTATTTTGCTACTTGTTTAAAAACGCAGGAATGTGATTCAAAATTACAAACCAGGAAGCAGAAAAATATTTAGATATAAACCAAGACATAAAAAGATTGTCTTTGTTCAAATGAAAGGTGTTAAAAACCATATTTCTTATATTTCTCTGCCCATAAATCATAATTTTGTAAGGAAGCACACAGATAAGAATGGTATAAGATAAGTATGGAAATACCACACAGACAGAGGAAAGCTCTACAAATAGTCATAAAGTCTGCAGAGAGGATCATAGGAATAAAACTTCTTTCCATGGACTATATGCACATACAATGCTGCCAAAAAAGAGCAGACCCATCATCCTGTGATGGGACTCATAACATCAAGAGATAATAAATAAAGTAATATTTAGGTCAATTTAACCCTTTACAGGTGGCCAGGACACTGTAATCAATTTTTGGCAAGGGAAATTATCATTTTTTATGGGGTGTTTATGATGATACAGTAGACAGTATGAGTAACATCAAGAGATAATACATAAAACCCTTATTTGGTCAATTTTAGCCTCCATGAAAAACTGAGTGATTCAATCACTTTTTGGCAAGTAAAAGGCCATTTTTGTTGTCTACAATTAAATCATCAATACATAATTTAAAGATATTTTGAGGCGTTTCTTATAGGTAAACAGGAGGGTGTAGTCTCTATTTGGCAAGTGACAATCTTAATTTTATGTGCTGAAGTGCTTTTATCTTGTTACTTTTAAATAGAGCAAAGATAGTAACCTACAGTGTCATTAAAGCCAAAGCTTGATCAGTTTAAATACTATTTTTCAAGTAAAAATGTGCCCCAAACTAGTTAACCGTGGCTCCATGTCAAGTAGACTAAAGAAAGGAAGGGGGAATAAATCAAATCGCTGGAGAATTGTTTATTTCCATTTATACAACGTTTGACTTTACATTTAATACAGGGCGCCATTTTACATTGTTTGTTTATTTTTTAGTATCAAAACTGTAACATAAAGAAAGCCAGTTCTTACCACAATCCATCTTTCAATCGCAAATATTGCAAAAAGGATTAATATATCCTCATTGTGAACGTTTAAGACAAATAGCAACACTTAAAACAACTTCTGAACTGGAAAAAACTAATATCCACGATAAACATCTGTTTAAGTACCGGACGAGGTTATCTCTGCTTTCTCAATGTCCATATTGCTAGATATGCTGAGTTTTAAGGCGCAATCCCGGAGAATTTCTTCTAGAAATGCAATTACCCTAACCGTGCGCGATCCCGCGGTGGCTAATCATTTTTTTGGCAGCGAGTCGCTTTTTGGCACAACACCGGGAACGTTTCATTTACAATTTAAGCACTGCATCAGGTGCACGGGAGCTGGAAAAACAGCTAGAACATCTGCTCCTCTTTCTTGAAGTAAACCACAAAATGTCCAAATTAAACTTCCATCAACAGTTTAACAGAGAATCTTATATAGACCCGTGTAATAATTAAGAAGTAATTAAAACGGGAAATAAAACAAAACGCGGGTAATATTTTTGCTCCAAACACGGCTGTGATGGTGTAAAAAGGTGAAAGGAATGACTGTACCTGGTCCATGGCCGTGGAGGATGATGAGAGGCTGTTACTCGGGTCCAGATGTGTTTTATAAGGCAGGACCAGGACGCAGCAGAATCGAAACTCAATAAACACCGGAAATCATGGCTGGTGGTTTTAGTTTCACGGAAACGAAACTTAAGGAAACACGTTTTCATGGCGACTTGTACTGTTTTATTTGGTTATAATCCGCACATATTTGTCGTTAAAACAGTTTGTTATAATAATCCCCCAGATTGTCGCTCCACCGCTAGATGATGCTGCAGCCTGTTTTAAACACACAACTCCAGAAAAACACGAGCTAGAAGTCCCTTCTTTGTGATTTATGCCCGTTTTGATGTGACTTAACGGCGCTGTGATGAACTCGAAGGCTTTTACTTTCTTAGGAGAAACGAACACGGTACGTTAGATTTCCGCACTTCAGCGCGCGGTCGCGTTTTTTTAATCAGTCACTTTGTTCAGGACCCATTGGGCCTAGCGCATCCTTCAGATCGTGATTATATTTTACCTGATCAAGTCTACAGGTAACTGGTGCGTGAGAGTTCTAAATGAGTAACGGAATAAAATCTGGCTGGGTGGAAAATCGGATGCTTTTTTATTGTTTTGGACGCAGAAACTGAAAGCTGCACAATTTTCCTCACTTAGATGAGCCTTCCTGTTTCCTGCCAGCATGCTGGATAAAACCGGTGACAAGGATCAGCAGCCTGAGGTTTGCTCAGACTGTGGATGCAGGTTAAACCCGCTGCAGCTCAAACCTGACCCCGATTCCTGCGACACTTCAGCTGCTTCACCTCAGGTGAACACTGACGGTCCGAGGAAATGTGCGGCCTGCCAGGCAGGAAGCAGCAGCGGCGGCAGCCCCCCGAATGGTCGGCGGCTCCAGCGTCGCACCCGCCTGGACCCTCACAGCTGCAACCTCTGCACAAAGACCTTCATCTCTTCAGCCCACCTGGCCCTTCACCTCAGCTCCCATAGCAAAGAGAGGAAATATAGATGTAGCACCTGTGGGAAGTTCTTCAGCCAGTCGGCCCACCTGGTGGCCCACAAGATGATCCACAGTGGGGACAGGCCGTTTAAATGTCCGGAGTGTGGGAAGACTTTTGGCCGTGCCTCACATCTAAAGACACACCGCCGGCTTCACACGGGGGAGAAACCCTTCAAATGCAGCTTCTGCGGCAAGGCATTCACCCAGAAGGCCGGGCTCCTGGCACACGTTCGTCAGCACACCGGGGACAACCCGTACAAGTGTGAGCAATGTGGAGCAGGGTTTCGCTCGTTACCACTCCTGCTCTCTCACAAGGCCCAAGAGGCTTCTGGACACACCAAACCAACGCCACCAGCTCCCACTCCTGCAGCCCAGCTCAGCCGGCCTCAGAAAACACCAAACAGCGCAGAGGATCTGAAGTGCGGCATCTGCTGCCGCACCTTCGTACATTCCTCGTACATCCGGCTGGACGTACACTTCAACAAAGGCCTGCGGCCGTATCACTGCAAGGTGTGCAACAAGACTTTCGTCAAGTTGGAAACATTCGTGAATCACTGCGACAAACACCTGAGTCAAAAAAAGGAGGAAAACGAGGTGAAATACAAAGTAGTGAGACCTCCTCTGTTTGTTCCGCTCTCCAGGCCTGAATCAGCGCACACCTTCTCCGCTCAGCCTTTATTCTCAGAGGTTAACACACGCTCCAAAGCTAAATCCAAGACTTTTACGACTGAGCCGTAACCAAGAGGATGAAGTGTGTCGAAATAGTTCTTTAACTGCATAGTTATAGCACATTACGTTTCAGTGTTTACAAGTAAACTTCCAGCAAACTTCTATTTAATGGAAACCAACAGTCTTAATTGTACAATTATTTTTATTTAAAACATTGTTGTAATTAATGGCATAATTCTTTAAAATTTTGAAAAATTAAAAGATTAAAACACTAGATTTACCAAATTAAAAGTATTAAATATGAGTTGTTAGAGACGCTTAATTCTTTTCACGTTTCAACCTCAATGTGCACCAAACAAGTACATTTATTGCATACTTTAGCATGCAAAGTGCCATTTCTGTGGTGTGCATTGTTCAAGTTGACTTTAAATTGTTAAAAATATAATAAAGTTAGACATTATTGTTAAAATGTTGTTAAATCCATAAACCCAACTGGTATTTGGTGTAATAATAAATGTTAGTGTAAATTAAAGTGACAATGTGTAGTTTTTTACCATTAATCTCTGGAAATATCCATCAAAATGTTGTAGTAAATGAATTAAAAGATGCCCATTTTTTGAATAACATTGCCAGTTTCATAACATAGAACCATACAAATCTCTTCTAAAATACATGGAGCGGGTCTAAGTCTCTGGGCGACGCCATATTGGATGCCATGTTTCCTTCTACAGAAACCCGTGAGGACAATGCATTTACTGACTTGTAAGAAACGGTTACAAAACTTTCACCATTAATAAACATTGTTGCTTTACACATTTACCTCTTCACTCGTTGCCAGTGATGAAAGGGAATCTGATGTTATTTTGCTGGAGGTTGCACTCCCAGGGATTTTTGACCCTAATGGCCATCCGTTGGCAAGGTCTTATTTGAACACAAAAATAATGCTTGCACTCATTTAGGTATGTACTGCCCCCTATCGCCAGAGAATCTACACACTGTCACTTTAAATCCTAGTTGTACAATTTTGAAGGATAAAACGAGTAAAATAAACATAATAAAAACTGTGATGGGCTTAAATGTGTTATTTGTTGCACATGAAGACTGAATATTTCATTATTATGAGTGGAATTCTTGCTTATTTAAACCCTGTTTTCACATACTGGAACATGTAAGCCCTCGTGTTTACTCTGTAAGTCGCCACGGCTCATGACCCTCTGAAGGTCACCATAATGGTGAACACGGGCAGCAGCTGGAGAGTGGAGGCGTTTGTGTCGCTCCCTGCTGATGGGTGAGAGTTTGTCACCTCCACATGGGAAAACTTTTGGTCCCGACCTAAAAAAATAAGACAAAAACATTGAATGACTCATATCTTTGAAACAATTATAAGTGTTAGTAAATATTATTGTTTGCCTGGCAGCTGTCTGCATCGCTCTTGCTGTTGTTGATGTTCCAGTGCAGGGCGACGGTCATGTGGCGTCTCCAGACGGGGTTTCTGTGTAAAGTAACGGTTCCACTGAGGATGTCCCCGACATTCACACTGACTGGTCGGTCCAGCATGAATAAAGTCTGTTTCCAATGAGTTGGCCTGGAGGAGGGGAGGGAATAGATCTAATAGGCATCAATAAATAAAAAGTGTTAGTTAATCAATTAGATGCTTTTGTTTTTGTTTACTCAGAGTCCGGTCCGGTGTTCAGCTTCACTGTTGCTCCTCCCATCTCCAGGCTTTCAAACTGAACCGTGAACCAGGCCGTGAACCCGTGGAAAATCCCAGATTTCTCCATGCAAAAGTGAAACTCGCCCTTCATTTCCTGGGAAATGAAACTCTACTCTTGTCAACATCTCGACCCGAGCAGATAAGAGCTGCAGCCGCTTTCCGGGAAGTGAAACTTCCTCATTACCTCAAGGTCGCTCACTTGCAAGGTGTGCATGTCGAGGCAGATGACATCGCATGAGACAGCGAGACAATCCTCCGGCTCGAGGTGGTGGCTGAACTTAGGCTTAGTGAAGAACTCCTGTTGTGCCAAAGGCCTGCAGGAAGGAGAACACAGAATGAAAAGGAAGGAAAATAATTAACTGTGAAAAGTAGTGAAATAGTTTTAGTCTAATGAATAAAACCATCAAATAGATTCAGGTTCTACAACTCCTTTTGCAAACACGTGTTAAGATCTTTCAACTTCCTTGTTATGTTTTACTATTTATTGTAATTACTCAGGCGTTTCCATGTCAGCAAAAGCTGATATGATCTAAATTATGCAGCAAACGCATTAACCCAGAGCCCCGATCACCAGAAATCAAAGGTGCATCTTTATGCTCTCTTAGTTGATCTCATCTACAACATGAAGTCAGTAGCCACGTGCGCACAATTAATCGGATTGAACACTCGGTCAGATCAAGAATTCTGCATGTAAACATTTCAATCGGAATATTCTGATCTGATTTGGCCCGATCGGAATGGAATTTCAATCCGATTGAGAGAGGTGATTGAGTCCGATTATCATTCCGACTGACGTGCATGCACACAGCCGTTCGGATTGTTGGAGTAAACTCGATCAAAACCTGGATGGTGGGAGCTTTCTACAGCTGAATGAAGATAAGACTGAGATCCTCATCTGTGTCCCAGACAAGCTGGTTCCCAAAGTCAGAGACTCTCTTGGTCAGCTTGCTTCTCACACCAAACCTTCCATCAGGAATCTTGGTGTGACCTTTGACCCAGCTCTCACCCTGGATTCTCATGTCAGTTCTCTTGTTCGCTCTTCCTTCTTCCATCTCAGGAACATTGCTAAGCTGAGTCCCATTCTGTCCCGCTCTGAACTTGAGACAGTTCTCCACACCTTCATCTCCTCACGCTTAGACTACTGTAACTCTCTTTTCACGTGTCTGAGCAGAACCTCCCTGAACCGTCTACAGGTGGTTCAGAATGCCTGTGCTCGGCTTCTGACCAAGTCCTCCAAACACATCCACATCACCCCGCTTCTCCTCCAGCTTCACTGGCTGCCAGTCAACTTCAGGGTTCATTTCAAGATCCTGGTTCTGGTCTATAGGGCCTTACATGGACAAGCACCATCTTACATTGGTGATCTTCTTAGTCCCTACACCTCCAGCAGGTCCCTGAGGTCCAGTGATCAAAGCCTACTGGTTGTGCAGCGCACCAGGCTAAAGACCAAAGGTGACAGACCATTTGCTGCTGTGGCCCCCAGACTCTGGAACTCTCTCCCCCTGAGCCTGAGATCAGTGGACTCAGTGGTCTCCTTTAAAAAGCAACTGAAGACTCACTTGTTCAAGCTGGCTTTTGGATGACCTTCTTCACCACTCTCTCTTTATTCTGCTCTCCCACCTATTCCACCTTCCTCAGGACTCCACTGATTTCCCTCTTTCCTGTTCACTCTTTCTTAACATTTTTCATCACAATTGTCTCTTTTTGCTCATTTTAAATATATTTTTAAACATTTTCTAAATGCTTTTTTATATTTTTACTTTTTTTTTGTGAAGCGCCTCGTGATTTTTATCTTGAGAGACGCTATAGAAATGATATTTTCTTCTTATTATTATTATTAACACATGATGAACACACAGCACATTTATGGAGGAACTATAAAACAGCCAGTATCCAGGTGGCTTAAAACGATGCATTAAGACTTTTGGTAAAAAAGTCCAGATGGGCTAATGCTAGTAAATAGTTTGCTTCTGCCGGGGTCAGCACATCGAAAGCTGTTTTAAGAAATTTTAAGTATAAATTTATATGCCGTCTTAATGTGTCCAAGAACAGTTTCATCCTAACTCTAATACCAGATATAGTACTGCACGCTACTCCTCTAAACTATGGAAGCACTGGTATGATCGTCTCTTGTATGATAATGTTCTTCTTTTAACGAGTTTGTTTTCTTTTTAATGTCACCTTTGTATAGTTTTTATGTGTTCTTTGGACTGTGGGTCTGCAATAAAGGCTACTTACTTACAGGCTTCCAAACTTTCTGAACATCCGTTATTTAGTTTGAAACAAATTTTCTCAACAGTTTCAGCTGATTGTCACATTTTATTAATAATAAGCCACAACAGAGCTCAGTAATAAAACATGAGTCCCCGGTCGGCGGACTGGGTGTCGAAATGAGGAATCGGAATCTAAAACTTTGAATGATTCTGGGAAAAACCGAAAATGATTCCCGGTTCTGCCCAACCCTAAGGCTGAAAGCCTGTGTCACCATTGCACTTTGATTTCTCAGACTCATGGCTCTTACTGAAGAGGGGTGAAATCCAAGCCGTAGGGCCGCTCCCAGAAGGACATTTTCTCGGCGTAATAACGGTCAGCCCGACATGGGACCAGAGTGAGGGCCGCGGCGGACGGCCACATCACACCTCCATCTCTGAGCCAGCGGTCCCTGGCCAAGAGCACAGACTCCACCATGAACTCAAACTAGACAGCAGAGGAAAAGAGACGCGAGATGTTTGAAAAATAATAAGCTTAAATGACACAGAACATCTCAGGAAAAGGATCTACATTTAAACTGACGACCATGGAAGTGGAAGCATACCAGTAGGCAGTTACCCATCCACTCGGACACCAGCACGTCCACCTGCTCCGGTAGCTCCAGCTCCTCGGCTCGTCCCTGCAGCACTGTGACCACTTCCTCACAGCCGTTCTGCTTCACCAGCTGCTTGGTGTACTCAGCCATGGAGCTCGCCTCCACAGCATACACCTGCAGAAGCACACATCCCTTAAAGGTGGAGTGGATGATGGTTTCCTATTCTGCTTGAAATTTCTAGTCACCACTTAAAACAAACAATCCTGTAAAGTCCTCATCCAGACATTGTGAATGTCTCACTCTTAATGACTGGATCGTGATCCATAAAACAAAATGCCCTCTGTGTGAGCGAATCCTGCGTTTTTGGCTCAAAGCAGCTGAACAGGAAGTGAAACCAGCTAGGCTGCCTAGTGTAATCGACTGAATGTTCTGTTCTGTTTTTATTAGCAATTTTCATTTATGAAGTTGTTTAACACGTGTCTCACACGCCAGTCGTCAAGGGCCACAATCTAGCATGTTAGTTGTTTTCCTGCTTACACGCACCTAATCTTAATCAGCATGTGATTAACCCTCCCACTGTCCTAATGGGTGTGACCTCACCCCCGCCACGTGGACCTCAAGGGATAAACCATCAATCCTGCTCAATGGTCAGCTTTCCTCGTGAGGTCACCCGTAAAGACAGTGGGAGGGTTAAAAGGCTTAATCAGGTGCGTTGGAGAAAGGAAACAACTAAAACATGCTGGATTGAAACCCTCAAGGACCAGAGTTTGAGTCCCCAGGAAACGGTTACGTGACGGACCTGTTGTCTGTGAACGCAGCCTGTCCTCTGCCAGCTAGACAAAAAAAATCAGGAGGTCAAACTTCACTTGTTTACTTCGTAAAAGTAAGACTCCAAGAGCTTAAAAAGGAGTAGCAGTTTTGGTGGATTCAGCAGTTGGCTGAAAAGAGGAACTTAGCCCTACCACCACTGAGCCAAGAGGCCGGTAAAAGCGGAACGAAACAAGTGAAATTTGACCTTCTGATCTTTTTGTGCACTGAAACCTTTAAGACCACATGTGAACACGTGTACTAATTAAAACACATAAACCCCGATTCCTTATTTTGCTCATTAATCATTTACTCGGACAATTCTGGTGGTTCAGAATGTCATCAATCATTACTTATTAGGGCTGTCGCAATAATCGCAAGAACAATATATCGCGATATTAAGAAACCCACCACGCTGCATGACGTGCCACCGCAATTACCGCACTTGATTAAATCTCGCGACAGCGCATGCTGAGAGGTAAAGTCCGCGCTGATCGAGGAGATAGTAGGGCACTTTTTTAAATTTCTGTTAGATGTTGCAGCCAAATTTGCATTTCAAAGTTAAACCTCCTGAATGTTGTTTTTAAGTTCAGTCAGAGAATGCCGTTACTGCCCTTTGATCTGCATTTAATAAAGTGTTAAAAATGGCCATGTATTTTTTTCTAACATTTTTTAAATGTGTAAGCACAATGTTTCAAAGGAAATATTGCCATGAGTTTAGTAATCAACAAACAAATTTGCTAAGTACATAAATAAAAACGGGGTGCAATAATATCGCATATCGCAATATTGAGCTGCCCTGACTCACCGCAGGGGGAATTCCTCAATCGCGACAGCCCTATTACTTATTTCTCAAAACTTAAAATCCTTCCAGTGTAATCACATAACTGGTGCTGAATTAATTCTTCTCATTTAGTCTGTTGATAAAATCATACTCCTTTGATTACATTTCATGAAATCAGAATAAAACATGATAAAATTACACCTATGATTACTTCTATTAGCTCTTAAGCATAAAAATCATAAAAAAGTCTCTTGTGACTATGTTTTCCTGCTGCATGTCATGGGCAAAGGGGATTTCAACTCGTTTTGACATTAGGCAGGTGTTTTTTAAGAATGAAAATATCCATTTAAACAAAATCCTGCAACACCAGGCTGCCTGTAGATGTGCCCGTTTTTAAATTGACTCTACTGAAGAGGTTTATTAGTCAATATGTGAAAAATGGTAAATATCAGATAAATCGGTTAATCCCTATTAGCGAGTCTGAGAAGGTTCCAGGTTTGTTCTGAAAGTTTTGACTTGTTGAATGGATTTTCCCAGATTCAGAATCAGAAGGGTTTGTTGCCATCCATCATACATTTTAGGCCGCTTATCCAGGGTTGGGTCGCGGGGCAGTGGCCTAAGCAGGAAGGCCCAGACTTCCCTCTCCCCAGCCACTTGGGTCAGCTCCTGTGGGGGAACCCCAAGGCGCTCCCTGGCCAGCCAAGAAACATATGGGCCATTCTCATCAGTACCGGGTCGGCCCGGGCCGGGTAGTGTAGGTTGTTTACATATCTGGGTGGCCTGGTATTTTTCCGGGCCAACCAAGGCTCATTCTCAGCCCTCTTCTCGAGAGGGTCTGCTTCAGGCCGACCAGGGCCGACACACCCACTGCTGACAGCAAATTCACACCTTCCATTAGAGCAAGCCTCTGATTGGTGGGTAGAATCAGCCCACATGGGCTTAAGACAAGGATGTGTGGAATCAACCGGGCCAGGCTGGGGCCGACTGGGGCTACCCGGCCCGGGCCGACCCGGTACAGATGGGAATGGCCCAATAGTCCCTGCAGCGTTTCCTTGGTCTCCCTTAAGGTCTCCTCCCAGTTGGGCGTCCCCAGAAAACTTCACTAAGGAGGTGTTCAGGAGGCATCCTGACCAGATGCCTGAGCCACCTCAACTGGCTCCTCTCGATGTGGAGGTGCAGCGGGTCTACTCTGAGCCCCTCCCGGATGACCGAGCTTCTCTCCTCTACTCTAAGGGAGAGCCCGGCCACCCTGTGTAAAAAACTCATTTCGGCCGCTTGCATCCGATTCTGCAATCTTGTTTTTTCGGTCACTACCCAAAGCTTGTGACCACAGATGAGTGTTGGAACGTAGATCGACCGATAAATCTCGAGCTTTACCTTCCTGCTTTTATTGCCATACGTGCAATAAACAACCTTAGGAAATTGCTGCGGTACTTGGTGCAAAAAATAAAAATGAAATAAGAAATACGCACAATAAAAAAATAAATATAAAATTAGTGGCACTGAGCTGCTGTGAATATATAATATTAATATTATATAAAAAATTATATTATATTATTAATAAACCAAGAAACAAACTGCCTGGTTTTACACCATAAAAAAATTATGTTAGCTAGCTTATTAAATTGTTCTAATAATGGTAAATGGTCTGATTTTGTACAGCGCTTTGAATCATCTACTGACTCCAGGGCGCTTTATGCTCACATTCAAACACTGGTGGTGATGAGCTACACTGTAGCCACAGCTGCCCTGGGGCAACCCGACAGAAGCTAGGCCACCGGGTTCTCTGATCAACACAAGTACGCAACAAGTGTGACGTGTCTTGCCCACGGACACGACGACAGGTTGGTGGGAGCAGGGTTTGAACCAGCGACCTCAAATCAGTAACTGACCACTTCTTCCACCTCCCACATGTTACATGGTTACGATGCGTTACACTATTTAAAAAAATGGCAGAAAAGGTGCCAACAACAAGTTGAAAAGACTTTTATCGTTGTTGGACGGCATTCGTATGGTCTGGTGTTAGAACATTTTCTATGACTCCAGGGGGGTCTGCAGAAAAAGGGGTTGAACCTGTTTTTTTTTAATGTAGCTCATTTGAACGTCCGTTTCCTACAACATCCACTGCACCTTTAAATAGCCTGGCCAGCCTTCCTTATGGGAAGCATTGGCATGTTGTAGAATAGACAGAGGGTGAGTCTGGCAGGCCAGGCTACCTTAGAAACACGAAGCTGTTCAAACCAAAGGGTTCAGTCCTGTAGAAATAGTGTTTGTCCACCAGATGGCGCTCTAACCAAACTGTTCAACATAAAGTTGACCTGAACCACTTAGTGACTGTTTCTTTCCAATTTGTCTTTTTTTTAATTAAAACCTTAAAGGCATCAAGTTAAAATTTTACTTTGTATGATATATAAAGAGATCTTTACTCTGAATATATGGAATCATAGAATAATAATCATTCAGGAGACACTTGCATACTTTAATGCTAACTGAACATTCATTTAAGCCGACATGGTTGAATTTCAGTGTCACAATTACCACTGACGGTTGCGCCAACTGAGCGCAGAACAAGCTGATGATGCCGGTTCCACAGCCGAGGTCCATCACCGCCTTGTTCTTCAGGGAGGCACTGTTGCGGAGAACAACCTGCCGGTACGTCTCGGTGCGGCTCCTGTCCGACAACATCTCTAGGTGAAGCTTCTGCATCGTAAGAGATAAACTGAATTTAACATGATGACATGGAGGGGTGAAAATATATCAGAACCATCAGAAACCGTGCTCCCAATCACTCCCGCTAACAGATGAAAAGTAGCAACATAAAACACATGTGTGGTTGATGGTGTGAAAGCAAACCCAACAGGTTTTAATTATGTAGCAGAAGGTGATTAATAAGTGGACGTGAGCACAAGGGCAGCTAGGTTGCTTTATTGAATATGCTGACGTGGTCGCTTTGGCTCATTGATCCTTTACCTGACCGAGGTGCAAATTAGAATCCACAACTTTGACTAAGTCTGAAACATCAGCAGCCTCACCGTGCTGTAAACTGTTCAGTTCCTGATGCCGTTCATGGTTCTGAGGCAGGAAACAAGATTTGTAATAAGCCCCTTTGTTCTATTCCAAACGCTTTTTCAGTTTTTGACTTGAATCCATAACGCTGTGCACACAACACTCCAGCAAATATATTCCATTTAATGGTCTGTTTTCTCTGCAGAGGAAAATCACAGTCACGATACGATTTTCAGAAATACAAAAGATCTGCAGGACCAGTCCTCTAGTCCCTGCAGTCGTAAAGAACAGAGGAGGCTAATGTGACTTTTTAATGGTGCTGCACTCTTTCTGACTATGTGCAGAAATCTCTGCACAACAAATCCATAATAAACCTGCAAATAACCTCTTAATTATTAAAGATTTGTTGAGGTAAATATCTATTCCTAGCCCCCACAAAATGAACACATAACATGCATGAATGACGAGGACAAGAAATCTCCTCTAATGAACAGAACAGTGGCAGAATCTCATTATCGATTTCCGGTGTTGTTATTAACAAAGCTTGAATTTTGTCAAAAACTCAAAAACACGTATTAATGTTTCTTTTATTTTAATGGCATTAAAGTATTTTTGAATCCGCCGCAAACTCATATGCTTCAATGCTACTGAGACAACATCAGTAAAGTCTCTACGGAGGTTAGAGATTAGGATTTAGGTGGAGAACAGGCCACACACACTGCTGCCTCAGGAGACTAACACTTTATTTATTTTTTTAACTTCAGCAGCATTCCTGGATGTAAAAATAAACCCCAAACTAAGCAGATTCTGCAAAAAAATTAAATAAATAAAATTTAAGAATGACATAATCATCTAAGGAACAACAGATGGGATATTTTCTCTGTGGGTGTGCCATTTCACTATTATTTCTCAAGTATTGTACTTTTTAAGTTTTTGTGTGCTTTACAGTCAAAACCTGACATGATATAGTGTAGAGCTCAAATTCAGGCTAAACTTATGAAGATATTGCAGCTTCTACACATTCTAAATGCACAAGTGTTGCTTTAATCATGCAAACCGACCTAAAGTTTCATAGGATAAATGTTTGATGTTTCTGACCAGTGTTCCATAGCTCCCAAAGTACTCTTCATCCTGCCAGGGGTCTTCTATAGAGGTGTCTTCCTCCTCAGCTGTGTCCTGGCGCAGGTAGCTGGCAGGGACATACCCTATGACCCCACGGACCTCCGCCCACCACCAGGCTGCAGAAGGTTTGGCGTGAACAAGCAGCTTGTCCCCTGAGCTGAAACTAAGCTGCGGGACACAAGTGATGAAGTGAGTGTGTTCTGTGGCTGAACCGCTGTTTGTTTGCCTCTAACCTGCTCGGAGCCACTTCCTGAGAAATCAGACAAAGCCACAAACTCTTCAGGAGACGCGTCTTCTTCGTCCTCTTTCTCCGCCTCCATGTTCCAGAGGGTTCAGGCGAGTGAAGTGGTTTTGTTTTATAAATTGTCTCAAATTTTGAACCTGACAAATCTGGGTTTAAAAATAACCAAAACGTGCTTTGTTACCACAGCGAAACAAGCGGTAAAACGCGTCACGCACTTCCTGCTTTGGTGCTGCCTTCAAGTCTGTCGGAAATAGCTGAATTCGTGCGTGACCACTGTTTACACGCACATAGCATATCGTGCTTTAAAAAGAACTGAAAGATAGAATTTGAAACTAAACACAGCAAGAACACACCAACGATAGCAGATCATTTAAAGGGGAACTGCGAGTTTTTATTTTACTCTCTAGACCAGGGATGTCCAAACTTTTCAAGGCGAGGGCTAAAATGGCTGTTTAAAGTCACTGGGGGCCACAAGAATGTAGGTTTCTTCATAAAAAATTGCAAGCATTATTTTGTGGCAATTTTTCTTATTTGTGCTCTTCAAAATGAACCCAAAATAGGCTAATAAGTAAAAATCTCAACACAAACATGTTAGAAAGTGGGTTACATTCCACATGGAAAGACAAAATTCATCATTCTAAAAATTCAAATGGAGGCCTTACAAAATCGCTTGGAGGGCCGTAAATGCCCCCCGAGCCACACTGGACACGCCTACTCTAGAGTAAATACAAAACTATATAATTAAGCTCCTTGCTCAAAACTAGTCTCGCATAAAGTGAGCAGCTTTTTAAGTACTTTCTAGAATGAGCCGTTCTTTCACTTTAAGCAAAACAGTTTCTGGTCCCTGATTGGTTGCCGTTGGAGGAGGTCATCCAGCATCTGAAGTTGAAGGGATTCTATGATAATTTTATTTGTGATGTCACAATATAGAATTTTTTGAAAAATAGTTTTTTCTGTTCTTATCTTGCACACAGAGTAGCAAAGTTTTGTTTTTTTACGTTACCTGCTGAAAGTTTCGGCGTTGCAGAGATTCGCCATTCTGGCGGCGTCACTTCCGCTGTTTATCCACTGAAGATGCCTAAACGAAGCGATTGAGATTGGTAAACGTGGACTCTGGGCCATGAAAAGTGATGGAGTTTACACGCTGGATCATTCATGGGACGTGGTGATCGGCAGGGAAGGTGCGGGCTGTAGAGGGCGACATCGTTCCACACCGCCCGGGATTAACAGCAGAAGTGACGACACCGCAGAAGCTCTGATGATGGCGACTGTGATGCCCTGTCAGCAAAAAAAAAAAAAAAAAAAAAAAAGATAAAGAAGAAAAAACATTTTGCTTCGCTTTACAAAATAAGAACAGAAAACCCATGGAAATAGAAGAGAAACACAGAAAAGCACAAGGAATTTTTGAAACAGCTCATTTCAGACGAATAACACCTGAAGTCAAACTCAACAAGTGAAAGCACAGATTTTATCCTTGTTTGGATATGTGTAGGGGTAGTAGAGTCATATGGCAGCTCTAAAAATGCAAAAAGTGCATTTTGCACACGTCCCTGTGAGTTTATTGACGTTGGGGAAAAGCTGGTTATTTTTCAGCTTGAATTGCTTGTTCTTCTCATATTCTACATGTTTGAATTTTTTTATTTAAAGTACATAAAAGGAAAAAAAAAAACAACTTTGCCTAAACTGGTTCGTAAATTAAATTTTCAATTGTGAAAAATCTAATATTTGTTTCCTACAATGGCTTGGGAATCAGAATCAGAATCGGTTTATTGCCATTGTCAGTGAACAAACAATTCACAAACTAGGAACTTGCTTTGGTACTAAAGTGCTACATATAACATGAACACATAATAAGATTAAAAATAGAATAAAACTTTCAGCTATAAAAATGGCAGGTAATGGTAACACGGCCGATAACGTGACGAACAACACCCAATCCACTTTGGTATGTTAATCTGTATTTATGTAACTTTTCTAAACATAAACTTGCCTCTACTTAACACTTATTGGCAGTGTATAAATGTAGAGTGACAGTATACAGTATAAAATAACATTTATTATAATATTAACAAATTTAATTACAAAACCAACAAAACATAGAAACATCACTGGGTAATTTTCAGTGAGATAAACATGTTACAGCTTTTGGTAGATCGGTAAGTTTTGATAGTACAATAAAATGCTTATTGGTTGTGTTTCATTGTTTGTCAACATGAAGCTCTTCCCTGACACTTTCTGGGTCAAACATCTAGCTGTTGTTGGTCTTCGACTTGAGAAAAGGTTTGTGGAGAACATCATACAGTCGCTTCGCCTGTGAACACAAAACAACACAACAGTTTAACAGTTGTCCTACCCATAAGCAGCATTTTTAAGTTCTGTGTGTTGTTCTGCACCTTTTGTGGTCCAAGACCCGGACAGAGAACCAAGTCTTCCTTAGATGCATTGATAATCTTCTCGACAGACTGTAAAAACAAGAGCAGTCTTAATATTAACAGAAATATTCCCTTTGAGGTGACAGATGCAGACCCCATTCTGTCAGAAATACCATACGTACTGAGAAAGTGGACAGTAAGGTGATGGCGTCAGTTTTGTTTATAGACTTCACAGTTGTCAGGCAATCTGTAACCTTTACAAAAAAAAAAAAACAAGGAAACAAAGAAGAAATTCCAATTACAACTAGCCTACAGGTTTGTTGTAAACCAGAATGTTAGCTTCACTTGTGACAAAAGAAGACAAAAATAGAGAATGAACTCCAGCACACCTTTGAAAGATAGTCCTTTTCAACTTGCTCCTTCAGGAGGTCAGCTGGTTTCTTTTCGTAGGACTTATATGTTTCCAAGTAACGCCCTGCCTCCTCTGGGCTGAGTTAAATGCAAAACACAAAAATGTGCTAGATTTAGCATGAAGGGCTAATTTCTAGTTCCTGATACCAGCAAGATAAAACATGTCAATGAAAATATCTTAAGACTGATGTGATTAAATAGCTTGAAAATGAAAAATATTAATCAAATACAATAAATGGTCCAACTTTTTAGCATCGTTGCAAAGGGCTCAACTTTGAGAAGGTACAATTTAAAACAGTTGCAGGACATAATGCCTCATCTGTTGCAGCCTTACCTCCAAGCCAAGATAAGAGTGCAGTCAGCCATGATACAGATGCGTGCCAGCTCCTTTAAAGCGTGATGGGGATCTTTCTGTAATGAAAAGCAAAATAATACAAATGAGTCATTAAAAAACAGCGTTATTTTATGGTTTTGGATGTAAAATAAAATGTAAGCTTTTTAGCAAATAAACAAAACATCCCAGTATCTGCTTTTTGCTCCATGTGGTGCCAAAAATTGTTAGCAGCTGCTCACTTCAGTTACACCAATAACATTAGCAAAACTAATTTGGTTGAAGCAAGACATATTTCACAACTGAACAGCTCTGCAAGGACAGTTCACATTACAGTTAGTGTTCTGTGAACGCCGCTTTAATTTGATGAGCATAAAATTGAATTTGGATTCTTGCCATCTCTTTGTAAAGGATTTACTAATGTTAAAGAGTTGCTGCTGCAAAAAAACAAGATAGCTAAAATATAGATTTTAATCTTTATTTAATCAATATAGGTATTAATGGTGTATGCCTATTTTATTGTCTTTAAAGAAAAAAAAACTGTTAAATGACAAAAAATAAATAATTTTAAAGAGTTGAAAAGCTTTTGCACCTACCACATCTACCTGAACCAGCAGCACACGTAGGGTGAATGTGTTCCCAAGTTGCTTTAAACGGTCATGGACGTAGTTAGGATTGAGGTTGTGATACCTCAGACTTCAAACGAGCCAGATGCCATCATCCAAAATGAAGAAAGCATAGGATACATTTCACTGATCAGTGTTGTGGCGTGCAACGATTTGCTGTTAAAAACTCGAAACAAGAAGGAAAATAACCCACCTCAAGAAGAGTGCACAGGTTGTTTGTCCCAGAACATAATCTGGCACGACATCTCCAAACTCCCATGGCACGCTCCTCACAAATTTAAGAATGGGGTTTCCTCTCTGAATACATAAAAGCAAACACATAGTGAATCCTAATTATATCATAAACTTTTCAATGCTTTTACATATTAAAGAGAGCATGCTGACAAACATAAATAAAGCTGATGGATGATTAGGGATATTTTGCCCCATGACTCAAATACTGTATGTTTACCTGTCGAGGGTTCACAATAATGCTGCTACCAGATCCAACTGGTTTAGGACCCTGGTTGAGAATTGGATCAGACTTTTGACAACTGCCCTCAAACACCTGTGTCCTCTCACTCTTTTGCGCTTCTTTGGGTTTAACACAGTCCTGACCCGTTTCACATCCTCCTGTGCTGAATGACAAAGCTTCTGGTTCTCCTTGCGTCAAAGTGGAAACTCCAGCAGCTTCTGTCCTGATTAGTTTGGAAGAAGCGTCTCTCTGTGGAACAGCAGCCGAGTTGCTTTTACTTTGGACGATGAATTCTGCATAAGACAGAGGCTGTGCCACTGTGTCAGTAGCAGGTTTTGTGGCTGACGCGCTCGAAGTTGTTGTGCTTTGTTGACCTTTAGGTTGAAACTGTGGCTTTGGCTGAAACACATTTTTTTAAATTAAATACACAGTTTAATGATCGAAAAACATCCCTCACATAAAAACACCACAGGAACCCAAGACAGTATTAGGCTGTTTGCTAAGCAGCTTTTAAAATGTATATTTTAATTTAAATGTTGTAAAAATATTAGCTGGTAAGCTAGCTAAGATGCTATTCGATCAATAAAAGAAAACTACACACCGGTGTTCTTTCTTTAGTGAATGCCGAATCGTCAAGATCGATGTGAAACCTCTTCATGTTTTTTAATTGATAAAAATGCTTTAAAGTGAAAGCATTACCTTTAAAACATGGGAAGAACTTTCCTAAATGTTACGCGACAGTCAAAACAAGGACAAGTGCTGTGAAACTTCCGGTTATGTCACCAAAATAAAAGCACTATTTTCCTACACACCAATATTACAAAACAATACCGTCAACGATTTATTTAAAAAAAATTTACTGAAATAAAACAAAAGCAGGTTTGACTTCTTAATCAGAAACCAGCAAATCAAAACAAAAAACAAGTGGTTAAAATATTTTTCTTTCAAAATATATTTTAATTTAAACAAAAAACTTTATTCTTTTTGTGATAAAATACGTATTTTTTGTTTTATTTTACAATAAAACAAGAAAACAATAGCTTGTGCCTAACTGTTTTGTTCGAATGTTACCAAGGAAACAGTGACGCGGCCATTCAAACCGCGCAGCATTGCATGCTGGGATACCTTTCTCCATCATGGCGGACTAGAGAGTACGCTAATGATAACGGTTAGCATATTCAACAATTACTCGGCTGTTATCTGGTGTTTTCTTTTGAGGAACAGCGCCCACTTCTCGCAAACTAGGTAATAATGTGCTACATGGCGAAAAGCTGTAATGAATGAACGAATTCTCTTTGTTGATGTAACAGTAGCAGCTAAATGTTGTGCAGACTGTGTAGCTTGATTAGCGGTAGCATCCGAGCTGACAGTGAACAGCTAAAAAAGGCCGCAGCATGCATGATGTAGGCGGAAGGTTTTAGGTCTCACGGCAAATTCCCTCACAAGTAAACCAGCTTGTGGAACAACGAGCAAATAAATATCTTTATTTGTTTACTCATTTGACCAGTCGTAGTGTAACTAAAGCTAACTGCTTGCCTCTGTGAACGAATGCTAGCTTGGTAGCGCAGGCCCGACACTTGGTTGGATGTTACCTAACGTGTTTACGGGATGACGGTCTGAATAAATTCGGCTTTGTTATCTCTTTAGGCTCACTCATTGTGTACCAGTCTTTTCTTCTGCTTAATTCTATAATACATCTTAATTTATCGCTCACTTATTATTTAGTAAGAACTCAAATTTAAACCAGGACGTTGTGATTTTAGCTCTAGCCGTCTAATGAATGGAGAATTTAGCCTGGTCTTTATTGTGACCGTATTTTACGAAGTGAAGATTTGTTTTTATTTGTTATAATTTCTTAACACCGTAAACCGCATTGCTTTGTTGTTATTTTTGTTGTTATACACGCGCGATGCAATCTTTACTTTGTATTGAATATGTTGTATTAACACAAAATGAACAATCAGCAAATTTGAATGCAGACTCACGTGTTTGTGTTTTCTGTAAAACAAGAATACAAAAGCGATCAGATTTTCAGCACTAAATCGTTTTTACACGTTTTTGAAACTGATTAGAAATCTGAAAGTTTTTAGTAGTTTTTAGTTAATCAGTTTAGATAACATATTCATTCTTATTTTGATGTCAACCTACTTATATTTTGATCGTGGTTCTGACAGGCCAACAAAGTTTAAATATAATTGCTCATGTGGTCCTCTAAATTATTTCTGTGTTTAAGCTAAAGGTCAACAAGGTGAAAAATAGTCCAAGTTTATCAGAACGTCTAACAAGTAAAATATTCCATCTCCTCTGGAGTTAACTCCAGGAAATCGCTTGAGTTCAACTCAAGTTTATTTATATAGTGCCAAATCACGACAAGAGTCGTCTCAAGGCACTTCACATAGTAAACATTCCAATACAGGTCAGTTCATTAAGCCAATCAGTACAACGTTTCCTATATAAGGAACCCAGCAACTTGCATCAAGTCACTGATTAGAGTCAATCCTCATATTAAGCAAGCATTTAGCGACAGTGGAGAGGAAAACTCCCTTTGAACAGGAAGAAACCTCCAGAGAATCCTGGCTCAGTATAAGCAGCCATCCACCACGACTCACTGGGGATCGAGAAGACAGAACACACACGCACGCACACACACACATCGACGCAGCATATATACCAAGTAGTGTTTCCATGGTTACATTCTGATTTCTTAGTAAATATTCTATTTGGTGAGAGATAAACTTTATTGTATTTATCCTAGTGAATCTATAATTAAACGGGTAAACTAATAGTACTACTGATTTTATTTGAAGCAGTAAATTTAAGCCCTTTGTCGAAATTTGTGGGATAAAATAGTTACATTGAATTATATTTGCACATTAAATATTTTCATAGAAATTTTTAGGAAATATTAACATGTTTTATTTTTACATTTTAAATGTCAGTGGTTTTGAAGCGTTTGACGAGCTTTATGCTAAGTTTCACATGCAGTGTTAGCTTCTTTTGTTTTGTCAGAGTATTTGTGTGGCTGTCATTCCTTTTAAGGGAGTTAAAAATAACCAAGTCAGTTTGTGTGGGTTAACATGTAAGCCTGGTTGCTGCTGTGTGAATCGGTTAATGCATAGCAAATCATTATGGAGAAGCATGTAGCATCTTTAAATGACATTATTCTTTTCTTTCACCAGTGTTAAGTGAGACTGAAGCGCAGCGGTCATTAGGTGGGGCTTTACAGAACTTTGCTGCAGGTGTAATGGAGTGTGCAGTGGACGTTCCGTCAGGTAAGTGATGGATGGGACGCAGAATCACTGCTTCTTTAGTTTTATCTACTCAGAATCTTACTTTTATAGCTGCTTGTACAATATTTTAGAGTTACTTAAACTACTTTGCATTTAATAGAAATGGGGTTTTTCAACAAAAGAAATCCACATTTAGGAGATGCCTCTCTGTGTTCTTGAATGTAGGCAAGTCATTATTACATGGTTTTAGCCTGGACAACAATTACAGAAGTTTTCAAATTAGTTTATAACTACTTAAAATAAGTAACTTCAAAAATCCAGTCACTCTTCTTTTCCTTTATCTGAATAAAGGATAAAAATTCAAATTTTCTGATTAAGTGTCTTTTTGTTTTGCTGTAAACTTCCAGAGATTTGTGTAATCAAAATTGTGGATTCCCTTTACAGGTGGGGGTGAAGCGCCAGAGAAGGATGATGTGATTGCCAAGGAAGCTACTGAGCCACCTCACAAAAAAAACAAGAAGCACAAAAAGCACAAGAGCAAGAAGAAGAAGAGAAAGAGAAAAGGTGAGAAGGAAAGCAGCTCCGAGTCTGGTGCTGAGTCTGATGCTGAGCCTCCACCTCCACCAAGACCTGTCAGGACCACGAGAGCCAGGTCAGTAGAAATATCAATGTTACAAATGTAATTCAAGAAATCGTTTGGATTAAATTAAGCTCATATAATGTTTAAAACATCAACTGTGACTTCTAATTAAGCCTGTTTTCTGATTTATCAAGTCATTCATTAGTTTCAGTTTTTAACAATACCAGAAAGTAAAGAAATCTATTAAAAAAAAACTTTAGTGCCTTTGAAGAAAAACAAGGAAAAGTTATTTTAAAATCTTATTTCCTCATGGAAATAACTCAACATTTGTCATATTAGATGAAAAAAAGCCTCATAATATTTTTAACCTATTATTTAGTGCGAGACTGGCCGCAGCTGCTGGCTCTGCAGAGCATGCTGGGCTGAAAACGGATGGGAAAAAAGATGCCGTGTCAGGTATGGAAGTAAATCTCAACTATAGTGAAAAATGTGTTTAAAAGTGTGTAACAAATATCTCTAAATTATGATTACTTCCAGCTCATGCAGAGGCAGAAGGAGAAACAAAATCCAAAAAGCACAAAAAGCAAACTGCCAAAAAGAAAAAAAAGAAGAAAAAGAAAGATGAAAAACAGGAAAGGAAGTCCCCGTCTCGTTCTCCATCTGAAAGCAGCTCGGCTTCAGGTTCTGAGTCTGAAGGCGAAGGAGCTAAAACAGCTGGTGACGGCAAATTTGTTCCAGCTGCTGGTTCTGAGCCCAAAGAACCAATATCAAAACTGGTTCCAAAAGGCAAAGTAGTGGAAGAGGAAGTAGCTCCTGTCCTGATGCAGAAACCTGAAGTGCTTGAAGTAAAGAAAGAAGAGACGAAAGATATGGATGTGTCATCCTTTGGAGGGAAAACTAGTTGCACTGATGTGTCAGAAAATATGAGATCACCCTCTACTGGCCAGAATGAGGTAACACAGATCGAAGCGGTTAAGGAAAAGGCAGAAGACCGTCATGGAGATGGTACATTCAGCTGTGCTCAGGAATTGCCTGACATTATTCCAAAACAGGAAGGTACAACTCCAAAAGACGACCCAGCCCTGAAAGATCAGACCAGTTCAGTTCAAGAGGTAAAAGTCGAAGAACACAACCCATCCAGGTCTCCATCTCCTCCCAGGGGAGTGGAAGTGAAGAGGTCAGGATCAGGCCCAAGTCGGTCACCATCACCTAGTCTTGGCAAGCAGCAGTTAAGTGTTGAACCAGCAGAATTTGTGAAAGAACGGTCCAGAAGTCATTCTAGGTCGAGTTCTAAAGGAAAGCCTTCTCTGTCTTCTCTAAAGTGCAGAGAGCTATCTCGTTCAAAGTCTCGCTCCTTGTCCCCTAAACCCAAGAAAAAAGTACTGTCACCATCCCGCAACTCTCCCAAAAAATCAGATCGTCGATCCCGGTCAACATCTCTCTCTGTCACCCCCATAAAGAAAGTGTCGAGATCTCCAAGGAAGTCCAAGTCTCCTATACGTCGAAGGAGTTCCTTGTCTGTTTCCCCCAAACGACGCAGGAGTTCTCCCTCTCCCAAAAGAAAAGTGTCTCGATCCCCTCGACGTGGTGGGCGGAGGTCCCCTTCTCTGTCTCGATCCCCAAGAAAACGCAGAAGGTCGGGGTCACGTTCCCGTGGAGTCCCAAGGCGTTCCAGGACCCGATCTCCCAGGCGAGGGGGTGCAGTTAGACGTTCACTGTCGCGTTCTGTCACTAAACTTCGCCGCTCCCACTCTAGATCTAGGCGCCCCATTGGTCGCTCCAGATCAAGATCGCCAGCAAGGCGTGCAGGAGGCAGGCGCTCTAGAAGTCGATCTATATCGAGACGCAGGAGGTCACCACCCCCTAGATCCCGCCGTTCAAGGTCCAGGTCAATCCGCAGGAGTCGGAGAACCCGTTCACGATCCGTTGTTGTGCCTAAGAGAAGCCGCCGCTCGAGATCCAGGAGTCCTCGCAAACGGACCAAATCCAGAACGCCCCCTTCCCGTCGAAGGTCTAAATCGCGATCGCCAGCCAGAAGGCATTCTAGGTCCCCTGTGAGGAGGAACCGTTCTCCTCCAAGGTCTGGCAAACGCTCCAAGTCCCGCTCTTTGTCTCGAAGACACCGAACGCCACAGCTAAGCAAAAGAAGGTCCAAATCACCAAGGAGGAGCGGAAGAGGTTCAATGTCTAAATCTGCATCCGCACTGAACAAATCTAAATCCAGGTCCAGGTCTGAATCAAGTGATGGAAGGTCTGACAGCTCATCCTCAGCTAGATCCATATCCAACACCCCAGTTAAAGAGAATAAGCCTTCCCCGTCTCCCGCAGAGAAGATGGCCGAAGTAAAAGCAGTCGAAGAAAATGGAGGACATTCAGTTGAAACAGGTAAAACCAGTTCAATCGAAGCGCTAAAGTTAGGTTAGGCATGTTAAAATGTCACTGATGAAACTTGTTGCATTAAATTAAAACTTTGATTCTCTCAGCATGCGTAGCTGGTGATGAGAAACCAGCTCCTCCAGCAACAGACCTCAGTTCCCAAGGTGGGACTTCCTCGGAAATGTTGCAAGACCAGCCTGTTGAGGCAAAGAACTGGTATGCTCCCAGATCCAGATCTGCTTCTCAAGAGCCCGGTTCTGGCTCGGACGGTTCAGACGGTTCAGAGGATAAAGAAGAGGAATCTCCAGTCAAACCGGTGTTTAAAAGTCAGAAAAGTTCCTCAGGTTCAGCATCTCCAGAACTACCAAAGAAAAAATTGTCCAAGTCAAACTCTCCTGCTGATCGCAGGAAACGTTCTCGCTCAACTTCCAAGCCTCCATCCAGGAGAAAGTTGTCCAGGTTGGTGATCTGTAGATAAATATGAATGCTCAATGTCCTGATTGTGTTGTTTGTTTATCCGTCTAACTGTTTTTCCTCGCTCAGGTCCAAGTCTCCAGTTAAGAAAAAGGGGTCCGTCTCTCCATCAGAAAGAAAAAAGCGACGGTCCAAATCCCGAAGTCCTGCACGGCGACGGAGGTCACTGTCGCGTTCCGTCGCACGACGCAAGCGTTCACGCTCCAAATCACGAAACCGAAACCGGCGATCTAAATCCCGTTCGCCAGGCCGCAAGAGACGTTCTCGTTCCCGTTCAACCAACGTCAGAGGAAGGAGGAGGTCCAAGTCTTCTGACCGGAACAAGCGATCCAAGAGCCGTTCTGTCGGCCGGAGGAAAAGGTCCAGGTCGGGAGACAGAAGCAGAAGATCGCGTTCCCGCTCCCCAGATCGTAGACGCAGGTCACGGTCACGAGGTCGGGGGAGAAGACCACCATTTCGAAGTCGTTCATTTGACAGGAGAGACAGATGGAAGAGGGAACCTAGCCACTCTCCAGTTGTCATTCTGCGCAAGCAGCGCCGTTCAGGGTCCCGAACACGACGCAGCGCTAGCAAGACTCCTCCACGGCTCACGGATCTGGGTAAAACCTTTATTAAACCTAAAAAATGTCTCCCACTACTTGTAGGCTTTTGTCTTCTTCTTGTGTTCCTTTTCATTGCGTCACCTTTCCCCGTTTCGTTTTTCTCTCTCCTCAGATAAGGATCAGCTGCTGGAAATAGCCAAGGCCAACGCTGCCGCCATGTGTGCTAAAGCAGGAGTTCCCATCCCTGAGAGTCTTCGGCCAAAAGCCATCCTCCAGCTCCCTCTGCCCACTCCATCTCCTTCCCCCATCTCCTTACCTTTACCGTTACCTCTTCCGATGGGCATGGGAATGCCAAATATGCCCAACATGGGTCCGATGGGATTACCCAGCATACCAGGAATGCCCACGATGTCAAACATCACCATGAGTGCTGCTGTGGCGAGTATGACAGCAGCCACAATGACCGCAGCCTTGACCAACATGGGTGCCCTTGCGGCCATGCCCCCCCTTGCCCCTCTCCCCACCATTTCTAATAAGCCTCCCCCGTGCCTTGCCCCCCCAACGCCATCTCTAAACCTGGACCACATTGAGGAAGTGAAGAGAAAAGTCACTCATCAGGCCAACATACACACCATCAAGGAACTGACTGAGGTACACGTGTGACCCAAGCGGGTCCTGTGACGTTGTGCTTCTGCGGCTTACTTTGTCCAGATGTAGTTTTGTGACGGATCTGTTTTCCCCGTTCTGTGTTTTTGTAGAAGTGTAAGATGATTTCGAGCAGCAAAGAGGAGATGGCTGTTGCTAAGCCCCACGTTTCAGATGACGAAAGCTAAAAGAGCCACGCCCTCAAGGTAAAAATATTCATTTTGTTCTTTAATTCCTTCAAATCTAAAAAATAAAAGCGCACGTTAGATTAACTATCAGCATGTTTGCTCCAGATGAATCATTAAATAATTCTGTTATTTCTTAGTCCATAATGTTTTTATTTAGTCACCATGATTATATTTTTATGTTAGTTTATGTCCACTTTTCCCAGCTAGTATTGATCCAGTTGGAATTTTGACGTTTGTTTCCATCATAATTGTTTAAATGACTTTCTGATATTTGTTGTTTATAGGGAGAGAAAAAAACTCGCTTGTGCATATTAAACAATTTTCTTTCATAGATTTTCCCTTCAGTCAGTGCTTCCTCTTTGTTATCCGTTCCTCTGCAGCATTCATCATGTATGATTAGTCAGGGCATTTGTCAATAACTCATTAGAATTCAGCCAACCTGTTGGGTGTTTAAAACGGTTTCATCTCTCGGTTTAATTTCACGTACCTTTTTAGTGTAGACTCAGATTTCTGTTCTGGGGTGAAACAACAACGTCTGCAGAATCTGTGCTTCAAAGGTTTAACTTTGAGCAGACCTATTTGTTTTACTTCATTTTGTTAAGTTATTACTTCACACTGGAAGCGTCAGTGGGACCGGAACGGTTTACTCGCGACTTTTGCCTCGTGCCGGTACGCATCGGTAGAGTCTCAGCCGAGGAGCGGCTTCCCTGCAGTGCTCCTCCAGGGTATCTGCAGGTCCTTAAAAAGTCTTAAATTTGCTTTTCCAAATTTAAGGCCTTAAAAATCCTTAAAAATTACAAATAATCCTTAAATAGTTTCCAAAAGTCTTAAATTACCAAAGACCCAATAAACAAGATTCTTTTATTTCTATAAAATTTTCGTGAATTTCTAGTTAGTGTTCAGCATTTTTTGTGTATGGTATTGGCGTAAGCGATACCGTACACGATCGGTTGGTTGTGAAAAGGGGCTATTTTTAGATAAGCACGTTAAGCTAGTGAGAGTTTGCGCCATGGGGAAGTGCAACATTAATGGTAACTGGATGGCTAATCCCACGTTCACGACGTGGTTAGCACCGGTTCCAGGCAATAGCTGGAAATTATAGCTTAAATTTAATTTTAAAAATAGCTTAAATTTGGTCCAAGTGGCCTTAAAAAAGGTCTTCAAAGTCTTAAATTTGGCTCCCTTAAACCTGCAGATACCCTGTCCTCACTGGACTCGCGAGAATGGAAAATCCTTTGCAACTTCAGTGGTCATGGTTTGTTTGTCGTCCTCCATTAAACCAAAAAGAAGGAATCATGATGTCGTGTTGTTTTTCTCCACTGCCAGGATTAAAGCCATAAAAACACAGCAGCACTACTGGAAGTTTGCTGGGAGTAAATAAGCCGTTAGGTCACATGACGTAATCAACATAGATAGGAAATCACATCATTGCAATAGTCTTTTATTTTGAAATTAACCAGAAACCTGAAACCGTGTGTGATTTCTTGTCTAGCCCTGTATTAACAGCGGAAATGAATGTGTCGCAGAAGCAGCTCGTGGCAAACATAGAACCTGATTTCGTGACGCAGCGCGCCGCTTCTGGGACACGCGTCAACATTTCTGCATCACGGCTGGTTTGATTGTAATGGATTCTATTTGAAGCGCGACGTTCCGTGCTGTTGATGCTTCCCGTGTGAAGTGGGGTTTTCCCATTTCTTCTGTTCTTATTGTGTCAATGACAACATATCTTATGTTTTTTTAATCTTCATCACTTTCTTGTTCACAGCTACTGCCCTCAAAAGACTGAAATCAAATGTAGGATTCTGTTCAGGAGTTCCCTGTTAGCCAGAGGACCTCACAGCGTGGAGTCGCCGCCGGTAAAACGTAGACACGCCGGCAGCCGTCACTGCCCCACACTTCCCCCAGTTTAACTCTGTTTGAGAGCAAAAAACTTTCACCTGTTGAACCACTGAGAAAACTGGACACACTGAGGCGTGCCCCCATACCACGACTGTACAGCAAGTTTTAACGTGTGTGTGTGTGTGTGTGTGTATATGGCTTTTCACCACCATCCCACCTCTGCTGCAGACCATCTAAGCATCGGTTGTAAAACCTGAAGAGGCACGTGATTTTGTACGAGTTTCTTTTATTTCATTTTATCTTTATTCTTTCATAAGATTTGTATCAAGTGAAGACGGCTTCCCTACGCTTCTGTGCTCCCCTCTGTTGTCTGTAGTTCCTGGTTTTACGATCCAACGTTGCAAATAAAGTTAACGATAGATCCTCACATGTGATGTCCCTACATAAACTAGGATCGTAAGTATAGAGCTTCAGAAAGAGCTGATTGTTTAGAAGATAGGTGAAATTTCAGTAAGTTGCAGAAAAACTTTTCTAAAACCGATAATTGCGTCATCATTACCTCTTTTTTTTTTAATACAAACAAGCAAATTTCTGATCTGGTCTTTAATCTGGGTTTGATTTTTTTGCCTAATGTCAAACATGTTTTGCTCTTGATTAAAAAACACAAAGAGTTTTGAACCCAGCATGGACGTGCATTTTCATTTGAACTTAATATTTGATCATTTCTGGGAATTTTTAATGACTTCTACTGAACTAAACCCACTTCTGGTCCCTGACTGACGGGTGCTTTAAGGCGAGCTGGAAAAAGCCGAAACGTTTGAGCGAACAGAGCGTGCTAAATTTAGATTTAGATGAATTTATTGAGTTAACACAGATGAAAATTTTCTTAGATGCACAAAAAGCCCTTATTGTTGGAGGAAACTAAAAGAAAATATTTTCACTTCTTCCTCGGTGATAGAACACTTAAAAAAGATTGAGTCTATGTTTTATCCGGTTTACAATAAAATTAAAACATTTCTAGTTTAATTTCTATATGTCGACACCTTGTGAACATTAATTTGCGGCATCTAGTGACGAACAACCATAAAATTCCTAATAATTCAGTGTAACCCTCGGAATGATTTAAAATAGTTGTGAAAATGCTGATGCACTGGTCCGTGTTGTGCGGGCGCTAGGTAGAGCTCTTTGACTCTTTAAGTTACTGAAGAACAAAGACAAAACCTGGTGCTTCTGTTAGGGGCAGCTTTGAAAAGTGTCTGATTTAATAAAAAAAAATCATATTTTTATTGTAACATGTATAAAAATCCACCCAAGTCCCCCTTTTAAGGTTTTTTCAACTTTAATTAAATTTGTTCTGTAAAACAACTATTATAACTGCTGGATTAATTCCCTGAGGTGAGCTTTAGCTATTTTAAATGCAGAAATACAAGAAAAAAAAAGACATTTAGTGCTTTTTTTCCCTATTTGTTTCTTTTATTTGAACACGATATTGTTGCTTGCTTTGTACATAAATGTGTTGATGATTATTAAAAACCTCAGCAATCTGTACATGCGTTTACCCGTCTTTATTTAGATGAATCATGGTAGGAAAAAAACAGGTTTTAACTAGAATTAATGCTCTGTTAGTGTTGGAATATTTGTTTTAATCATAGAGGAGCCGCATATTGTTCTCCGTTTCAAGACTTGATGTGTCACACTGACAACACAAAGCCTGAGCTGACAGCCTGCTGCACAAATTCATGTTAATACCTGAGTTTTGCTTGTTGCGCTCTAAAATCTGACACCTTGTCAGGTGTGAATAGCTCCTGGCATGAATGTTAAGACAGGGTGGCGTCGCTCAACACCAGAGCAGGCTTTAGATCGGCATGGTTGACTTTAATCTGTTTTGTTGTATTTTACTTGGAAGAGATCATGAAAAGTATTTCAAACGTATATCCTACGGTAATTTGATTTGTTTTTAATACCAATAAAAAAACTGTAGTTTTGTGTCTTTCCAATAAGGGGTGCACTTTTATCTTGAAGTGGTCAAGTACTACTACAAAAACATTTTAATCCACACATCTAAATACTTAAATTAATAGATTTCCTTTCAGAATTAGTAAGGTAAGTAAATGTTATTTATGTTGCATTTATCACAGACATAGTCGCAAAGTGCTTCACATTGATCAAAACAAAATAAAACTAAGTCATGAAATCATAATGATCTCAAAACAGAAATAGAAAAAAATAAAATCATAAAATTTCATAAACAGATGAAAGTTTAAAAATTTGAGTTAAAAAGATTTATGTAAAAGCAGCTTTAATTTAAAGGGTCTTTAGCTGTTTTTTTAAAGGTGTTCACACTGTCAACGCTACGTAAGGATAAAGGAAGATCATTCCAAAGTCGGGGTGCAACAGTCTGGAAGGAGTGATCACCTCGGCTTTTGTATCTGGTCTTTGGAAGTTCTAGAAGGTTCCGGTGGGTGGACCTGAGGGCTCGGGTTGGAGCATAAGGCTTTAACAGTTCTGTAATATAGGAAGGAGCTTTACCATGTAGAGCATTGAAAGCTATAATCAGGATTATAAAATCAACTCTAAAGTTAACGGGTAACCAGTGCAGAAACGTTAGAATAGGAGTGATGTGTGCTGCTCTGTTTGTTCCAGTTAGGAGCCTCGCTGCAGAGTTCTGGACCAACTGAAGGCGGTCAAGGGCTTTTTTGTTAAAACGTGAAAAGTGTGTTACAGTAGTCTAGACGGGAGGAGAAAAAGGCATGGATAACCCTGTCAAGTTCATGTTTTGACACCAATCTTTGCAGTTTGGAGATATTTCTTTAGTGATAAAAACAGTTTCGGACCAACGTTTTTGAGTGACCTTCAAGAGACATTGATTGGTGAAAAACAACATCCAAAGTCCTTAAGTTCGTCTTGACGGCAGAGCATAAATGACCAAGTTTTAGACTAATCAGGGGCAATGATCAGACAATCAGTCTTTCCAGAGTTTAACTGAAGGAAGTTATCTTCTAGCCAACTGGTGATAGCTGATAGACACTAGTAATTCAGACAGTTTGTAGAGCTCAGAATCCTTAAAGGAGCAGAACAGCTGAATATCATCTGCGTATAGGTGATAAGAGACATTATGAAAAGAATCAATTGTCCAGGAGGGTGTATGTACAGTAGAAACAACAGTGGAATTAGGGGAACATGTGTCAAATGCCTAGGCTGGAGGTTTATGAAAACTTTAAAATTAGAAGCTACGATTATTGTAATATTAAGCTACATTCTGCTTGCTTTAAAACATGCCCCTGGTTCCAAAGTTGGGGTTGTGACCTCAGTGTAAAACATAAGTTCAGGGTCTGGAGATGATCTACAGAAATCAAATACAACTAAAAGTAAATTACTCGTGCAATATTTTTATTCATAATTTAGGTAAAAGTTAATCAGGAATGTCTAAGATTTAACCCAGGGGCCTTTTTGTGGCCCTCGGAGTGATTTTGTGCCCCCCCCCCCCCCCATTTGCAGGATGAATTTTCTTTCCCCTTTGGACGTCACAAATGATTGATTGACACTTTCTAACATTTTTATGTAGCTGTTTTTGGCAATTTTAAAAACAGATGTATAAAATGACCATTAAATAATTTTTGAATGTCTTTAAATAGAAGAAAATCACTTTTCTGTGGCCTGTGAAGACCATTAACTTCATGATGTAGGCTCTCGTCTTGAAAAGTTTGGACCCCCTTATTTTAAATGGTTATAATAAACACTACAGGTTGAAGTTGTTTGTTTTTATTATGCTGTTGCTTATTTTTTGCCTTTGTCTTTGTTTCTTTTGGAGGTCAGAAGCAAAAAGGTTTGGAAACTCATTCCACCCACACTCATTGTAAATTACAAATGATGACAAATCAATATCTGGAATAAAACAGCAAGGAACAGACTATCTGAATCAATCAGATTAAAGTAAAAACATCTCAGGAATATTATTGTTTTAGTTAGAAAACTATGTGGTAGATTTACATAGAGTGGGCGGGGCTTAAAACATATACTGCAGCCAGTCACTAAGGGGTGTTTTGGGACGTTTCCCTATACACTTCTATCTGGAGCAACAATGGTAGAGGTGTTAAGTGTCCGACCCCTGATTGAGAGGTTGGAGGGTTGAACCCCACTCAGTCTGTCGCAGTTGTGTCCTTGGAAAAGACACTTCTCCCATCCTGCTGGTGGTGGTCGGAGAGACCGGTGGCGCCAGTGTGCCACAGGGCAGCTGTGGCTACATTTGAGCTCCACCAGCATGTGAATGTGTGTGTGTGGGTGACCTTTCAGCAGCATCTACATTTAGAATAATGTTTTGTTAGTTTGCTCCGGTTTGCTCACATTTATCAAATGGAATTTGCTTTTGAAAAACATCAGCACCAAAGTGAGTTTTTTATTTAAATCACATATTTTATTTTCAGTTACTTTATTTAAATGATGAATAGCTGCTATAGATACGTGTTATTTAATATAAGAGTAGTTTTTTCCTTTTTGAAGTGTTTTTCTCCTTTAATTTGTTTTCATTTATTTAAAGCTGGGGCATGGGCGACAAAAGACTCAAAGTTCTTCGTTCCCGTTTCGCCACAACCAACAAACGCCGGCCTCACTTAGAAATGCAAAGCCATTGTTTTCAACCATTCTACTTTTATTTTCCATCACTGCTTTCTCAATTACTGCTCGAGGGCGAGGGTTAGTAATCGGAGTTAACTGCAATCTCCAAAACAACAACTCTCTTTAAAAAAATCCAGGCCAATTATACTCATTTAATTTGTGGACTGTAATTACATTAATCAGTCAGTGTCTGCATGTGCGCCTGTTTACTCACACAGCAGTCACGTCTGCATGGCCATGCGTGAGGGTTGCATTCTGAGCAGCTAGTGAGTCATTGGATTTTGCAGATCAATGGCTGCCAGTCGATAGACGGCTGAGTGCTTTGCAACGACCACCCTGTCCAAACGCTCTCTGTCGGGCAGCTAAAGCAAAGAGGTCACAAACAAATTTCTATGCGCAACCTCCTTGGCTTTGCATTTTCAAATCCCTCTTTTCCATCTCAAAATTGCCCCGCTCGTACACACAAATGCACGTGCACACGCGCACACCGGATAAGCTGATGTATTCAGCCTGTGGTGAAGTTCTGAATCAGAGCGGGACGTATTTCACTACAGTGTGTGAGGCAGACGATGCAACGTCGGCAGCGGGGACAAGAAAAAAAGAAAAGAGGATTTGTGAGAAAGGAGATAAAAGCTGAAGAGAGCGAAGAAAGAAAGAGAGAGAAAGAACAAAAGGGAACATAAGATGCCTAATTTCTGTGAGTGGGATTTAGAGCTCAGTGAAAACAGGAGCTCTGCAACTGTGAGGGTCCATCTGGGCAGAAAAGTACAACAAAGGTTGTGACTTTGCTTATTTCCATTGTAGCGTTAAAGCTGTGTGGGCGTGCATGTTTCTGCTCAAGTGCATGTGCCATTGTTTATGCACAGGATAGAATCATCTTTGTGCAACGTGGTACACGAGCTGGAGAGTGTGCTGCAACAATAAAACAAACCCCTTGTATACATGTTGCATGCTTGTGTGAATTTTTCATGAAGGTGCTCAGAAAGGAGCAACTACAGTTCCTGATTTATAGATGAGCAACTTTAACCCAGTTAAAATATTCATGTGAACCGTGGAGGGAAACCGCAAATCCCAACGATTATTTTCACGAACACTGTTTCTATTTTCAGGTCAGGCCAGGAATTTAAATAGGTACAAATGTGTGAATTTACTGAGAATATTTAAATGTAAGGAAAGTAACCGAAGGGTTCTTGCTGTTTGTGGTTAATATGCATCAAGGTCTGCCGCTGCAACGTTTAAAACCAAGAAATGATCTGATCATTTTATATTCTTCTCATCTTTATATTGCAATTTAATGACTTCTGACTTGACTTGATAAAATCTATGAAGACTTACGACTTGACTCGGACTTCAGTGCCAATGACTTGCGACTTGAATTGACTTCCATCTGTTTACTTGATGATGACTTGAGCATATTTGATATTTTAAAACCAAAGTGGCACCGTTACGGATGTCTGGGTTTGATTTACTGCTAAATGCAGCAGCTTTTTGATTATAATCAGTTTCAGCTGCGCTTTCTGCTTGTTTGAGCAAATAAATGAAGCTTTAAGAAGCTTTATTTCTGGAAATGATTTATTATCATTGTCATTAAATTGAAGTTGGACAGATGACTTGATTATGACTTGAAAATTCAAAGTTAAGAACTTGGTCTTGACTTGGACTTCCACATCCTTGACTTTTGACTCGACTTTGACTTGATTGTCTTTGACTTGGATTTGACTCAAGACTTGACGGGAAAGACTTGTGATTTACTTGTGACTTGAAAAGCAGTGACTTGGTCACACCTCTGAATATGAGCCCCTTCCGGATGTCGGAGCTTCTCAGCTTATAGCAGCCCGAGTGGGGGATGGGTGGGTGTGGCCTCCTCCAGCTTGTTTTCTTAAAGTGACAGAGCCCTGAAACAGCTCATTCTGGAAGGTACTGAAAATGTCAAG